CCCCCCCAAAGCATTCTATTCATTTTTACTTTATTTAAAATCACACTCTAAAAGTACAGATACCCAGCAAGCATGGGGTTCTGCACATACTTTGGAAGAATAACACATCACCTTTTTGGGTGTTTAGAATAATTTTTGAAAAAACAACACTGCTTCTGTATACAGCAGGCAGACATCTTAACTATAATTAGATTTGGGGGTGTTCTGGTGTAAACAGGAACAGGGGCTTAAAGGAAGAGAGAAATATAGGCTGCTTGAGGCATTCCGCTTGACACGAGGGCAAAAATATCTAGGGTTGGGCGGCAAGCGTTGGACCTGCCTCAAATGTCTCCAGGTGCACCAGAGGCATGCCTGCTCTTCACCCAACCTTTGTGTGAAGGTCTATAGGGGGCTTGTAAAAACATTTGCCTGAAAATGCTTATACGCTTCCTCACCATTGGGAACCTGCCTTGTCTGGGGCAACTGTAAGGCTTGTAGGCCTGTTCAAGCAAACATGTTTAAAGGCCCTCTTCAGACCTTTGGTTGGGTGGGTATGTTTACAACAATGGGAGCAGGGCAGACAACACTTTTGCACTTGCAGATCCAGGATGAACGACTGAATAAAGCTATATTAGATACGTCTCAAGCAGTCGAATATTGAGGCAGCTATCTTCTGTCCTGCTCGTCGTGTGCTTTTTTTTAAGGGCACCTCTGAGTCTTTGACCTGCCCCTGAGATGAGATTCGGGCTAATTTTTGTACCTCCAACCCTCCCCAGTCAGCGCGGCACCCCTTCCGGTCCTTTGCCCGTCTCAGGTCTCTCACATTTGCCTCAGAGGGAGTATTGCTCATGCTCACAAGAGAGCAGAGACAAAGAGAGAATTGGAAGCAGAACACATCATGGAGCCCAGTTACATGTCCCCATTCAAGGAAGACAAAACTTATCCCAGATTAAAACAATAACTTAGCATTCGCAGAGCATTCTCTGAATGTTCAAAGCGCTCCACGTAGAATATCTCATTAAAATCCCTATAAGGAAGCTCGGTATTATTATCTTCATACTGCGGTTGGGTAGGCGGCTGAAGCTGAGAGAAATGTGCGCCTGGTTTCAGGCCAAGAAGTCCGTTCACGGCAGAGGCGAGATTCAAGCCAAAGTCTTTGTGGTTCATAACTCAGGCAGCCTTCCCATACCCTATACCTGGGGTCAGCTGCTATCCTAATATTACTTTAAAACCATTCAACTCAGCTAAAAAGAAAGGAAGATCATTAGATAGGGGAAGAATTAACACTGGTATTTTAAAGCTCTGGTGTTGTCGTGAGCCCACAATGCATGCTAAAAAAACCAAACAGGGTGAGGACCCCCCGTTTGTTCTCAGTTAATGCCAGACAGGCCCTTTAATGAAGATTTCCCACACTGCCTTTCTTCTGACCAGAGCGGATGCCAAGGAACTTGAACGCTGAAGGCTGTCTTACATCAAGTCAGGGCACTGGTCCATTGGGCCCCAATAATGTCAACTTTGTCAGGCAGCGGTGTGCTCCAAGGCAGAGAGAGAGAGAGATATTTCCTATTTTAAACCACCCGAGACTTATTTTAGCTGTAAACGTCAAGGACTGGAAATTGGGCCTTCTGGACGCTGTGCTCTTGAGATATGACCCCCTCGCCAACTTCAGCAACACCCACAGTTCAGAGTCACCATGCCTTGGGGGTGATTCAGACTCCCAGTCAAGACTCCATTGCCTACTATCAGGATAAAAACAAGACAAGGGGACATGTCAGGCAGTTCTCTTTCTTGCTCCCTCTTTTGCCTTTTTCGCACTGCAGAGAGTGGCAGCATGCAGACACACAGGAAATCCCCTTGATGATGCTTATTAAGTTTATGCCACAACAGAGAAAATGGAGGGTGCTGGCATCATTACAGAGCTTGGTGTTAGGTTATAGTCTCATTGTCTTTTCTCTCTCTCTCTTTTCCTCAGCCACCTATCACAGCTTCCAAGAATTGGGTAAAAACCAATCAGAAACCAGAGGCCATTGAGAGAGAGAGACTCAAAATCCATAGGAAAACTCAAGAGCTGACCTGTCTGAAGGTGTTGACAACGGGACGACATTTTAAAACAAGTAAAAAGGAAAGAACACTGTATAGAATATAATAGGAAGATACTAGAATCCTGTTAAGAAGTGGATGGAGAGTAGGAGCCAGGTGGGGGAAAGGACATTTTAGAAGAATTGTATCCTATGTATTATTTCCCTGATGATAATCCTCCAATTCAAGTGTTGGACAAAAGTTCCTTTGGAAGACGGAGAAAGGTTTCCTATTTCACGATACCTGGCTTTACTTATTCTATAGTGGCTATAATTATGGAGATGAACTTCCAACGGAAAAGCATTTTAAAAAAATCAAATCACACTGTGTGGGTTTTCTGGTGCCTGGTCAAATGTGAGTTCCGATTGAACCTTCTCCCACATTTGAGGCACATGAAAGGTTTCTCCCCTGTGTGAATCCGCTGGTGCTTCTTAAGGCATGAACTCTGACTGAAACATTTCCCACATTCGGGGCACTTGTAGGGCTTCTCTCCCGTGTGAATCCTCTGGTGCTGGATCAAATCTGAGATCCCACGGTAGCTCTTCCCACACTCGGAACACAGATAAGGTTTTTCGCCGGTGTGGATTCTCTTATGCACGACGAGGTGGGAGCTCTGAGTAAAGCACTCCCCGCATTCTCGGCAAATGTAAGGTTTCTCCGCTGTGTGTATTCTTAGGTGTCTGATGAGATGGGAGCTGACCAGAAAGCCTTTCAAGCAGACAGGACAGCCAAAAGGCTTCTCTCCTGTGTGGATTCTCTGGTGAGCGACAAGATTGGAGCTCACGCTGAAGCTCTTCCCGCAGTCAGGGCACACATACGGCTTCTCTCCAGTGTGTATTCTCTGATGTGCAATAAGGGTTGAGCTTTGGGAGAAACTCTTCCCACACTCGGGGCATGTGTAAGGTTTCTCTCCTGCATGGATCCGCTGGTGCTTAACCAGGGCTGAGCTGTCGCTGAAGCGTTTCAAGCATTCCCGGCAGACGTAAGGTTTCTCCCCAGTGTGGGTTCTCCGGTGTCTGATAAGGGGAGAGCACCGTTTGAAGATTTTCCCGCAATCGGGGCACTTGTAGATTTTTCCTACCTTCGCGACTGCAGCTTTGCCAGGTTGTACGCCTGTTCCTTCTACCGGCACAGCTTTGCTCCTTCTCTTCTTTGGGACATAGACTTTCTGGCTCTCAGGAACAGGCTCGCTATAACATGGCTCATCATCCCCAGGAATCTGGAAAACATTTATTTCATATTCCTCAATTAGGGCCTCACCCTCTTCTGTCTGCTCATAACCTTCTGCCCGTTCATAACCTTCGTAACATTCTGCCTGTTCATAACCTTCTGCCTGTTCATAAGCTTCATAACATTCTGCCTGCTCATAATTTTCTGTCTGTTCGTAACCTTCATAACATTCTGCCTGCTCATAACCTTCTGGATCTTCAAAACCTTCTGTCTGCTCATAACCTTCTGGATCTTCATAATCTTCCGTCTCTTCATAAGCTTCTGTCTCTTCATAACCTTCCTCTGGAAGAATCTCCTCTTTTACGAAATAGTCATCATCCACTTCCTCCACGTGGATCGCCTCTTTCACCCAATACTCCTCTTCCTCCTGGGACTCCTCCTCCTCTTTCACCCAGTTCTTTTCCTCCTGGGGGATCTCTTCTTTCACTAGATTACCATTCTCTGCTTTCTCCTGGGGGACAGTGACTTCTTTCACCAGCTTTCCTCCCTCCTCCTCCTCCTCTTCTTCCTCCTGGGAGATCGCCTCCTTTTTCAGCTGTGGCTTCTCCTCGCTCATCATTGCTAAACTGCTGGAACAAAGAGATATGCATCAGATTGGAACATCAGCAAAAAGAAGTTATGAAATCAGCGGCACATCTGGAGGATAAGCAAGGCAGGTTGTTTGCAAGGAGGTGCTGCTCAGATTAAATAAGAGGAGCCAGTGAGGGACTATTCAGTGGTCTCGCATGAAGCTTTATTTTACGAGTGAAGTGTATCTGAAAAGCTACCTCGCAGTCTAGTGAGGTGGCTTTCTCTGTGGCAGCCCCTAAACTGAGGAACTCCCTTCGTAATCTGATGCGCCTAACCTTTCTGGTGTACTGTATAGCTTTGGCTGTATGCTGAACATACAGCTCTCTATCTCGGCTGCTGACAGTTAAGGCATTTTGGTTTTGGGACTCACTTATTTTGCTGACTCTATGCTGTCCTGTTTTGGCTGGAACAATTTTACTTGATTCTGTAATGACTGTGTACTATGCTCTTGTAAAAAAAAGAAAAAAAAAAGAAAAAAAAAGGTAAAGGACCCCTGGACGGTTAAGTCCAGTCAAAGGCGACTCTGGGGTTGCACGCTCATCTCGCTTTCAGGCTGAGGGAGCCAGCGTTTGTCTACAGACAGCTTTCCAGGTCATGCAGCCAGCATGACTAAACCGCTTCTGGCGTAACGAGATACCGTGACGGAAGCCGGAGCGCGTGGAAATGCTGTTTACCTTCCCACCGCAGCGATACCTATTTATCTACTTGCACTGGCATGCTTTTGAACTAGGTTGGCAGGAGCTGGGACTGAGCAACGGGACCTCACCCTGTCGCGCAGATTCAAACCACCGACCTTCTGATCGGCAAGCCCAAGAGGCTCAGTGGTTTAGACCACAGTGCCACCCACATCCCTTGTAACCCACATCAGGACTTTATGGTGATAGGTAAGAAATGTTAACATAATAAACAAATCTCGACTTTCATTTAGCCTTCCCTGCAAAACAACCAATAATTTTTAGCATTAGCACAGAACTTCAGAGGGTTCAAGGCCTTTCACATCCATTATCTCCATCATCTGTACCACAGCCCTGTAAAGTAGGCCAGAAGTATTATTACCTTTACTTTGCAACTGGAGAAGACAGATAACGATTTTCTGAAAGTCACTTAGTAAGCTTGTAACCGGGGGCTTTCTGAGTCACATCTTATACTCTTAACCACTTTGTAACACCACCCTTAGCAGCTGCAAAAAAAGAAAAAGAAAAAGATGCGTTAGAGAAACTAGAATGGAGACGATAACACTGTTTAATGGGCAATGGGTTGTGTTTCTTCTTTTCTTTTTTTAAAAAATATCAATTTAAAGTTTATTGGCATAAACACATACAGAATACAATGAAAATAATGGATATGGCAAATAAAAATAGATGTAAAAGTAGAAAAATAAAACACAGATACAGATGAGGGGTTAAAAACCCCCAAGAAACTACCAAAAATGCAGTGCCACATTCAATTGTTGCATATGAGAAGAAAAAGGTGGGTCAATTCAGTTCTCAGTAAAACCTCTCCACAGAACAGGGGATTTAGTGGGCTGTTCAGTTGAATTTCTGAATACAAGTTTAACCAGTGTTTCCTCCCTTATGTCAGTGAGGAAAAGGAAAGCAGAATCACCATCTATAAGAGAACTGTAACACCTAGCAGAGATTTAATTCATTCTGCAGTCTTGCTAACTTTATGGCTACAGCATCCAGCCTACTTTCTGTATATTATAATTATTTCTACAGTGGTGCCCCGCAAGACGAATGCCTCGCAAGACGGAAAACTCGCTAGACGAAAGAGTTTTCCGTTTTGGAGGTGCTTCGCAAAACGAATCTCCTATGGGCTTGCTTCGCTCCTTTCCCCCCCTTTTTCTAAGCCGCTAAGCCGCTTATCCGCTAAGTCGCTAAAAGCCACTAAAAGCCGCTAAAAGCGCTAATCCGCTAATCCGTCAATGGGCTTGCTTCACAAGACGAAAAAACCGCTAGACGAAGAGACTCACAGAACGGATTCTTTTCGTCTTGCGAGGCACCACTGTATTGTATTGGTTGCATTTATAACCTGCTTTTCGTCCATGGAGCAAGGTGTCGTACGTGGCTCTCTCCCTCTCCCATGTTATCCTCAAAACAACCCTGTGAGGTAGGCTAGGGTGGGAAACAGCGATTAGCCCAAGGTCACACCACACACTTTGTGTAGCATCTTGCGGCTGAAAAGTTCTGGAGATCTCAGAGGTTTCCCACACTTTTGTGATCTTTCAGTTGGCCATAATAAAGATGTTGCCCAACGGTGAATCTAGAGGTTACCACATAGCTGTTAACAACCGGCTGGAACTTTAGAGGTAAATTACACCCCCTGTTCTTTAGCTCCAGTTATTCAGCCCAGGGAAAAAGCTGAGGTACATAGGTTTGAAGGGCATATATTTATTTCAGAAAATGTATATACCACTTGATTTTTTTTGGGGGGGGGGGGAACCCATAACCTCCTAACAGTTTACAGTAAAAAGAATTAAACAATGAAATTATCAATACAAAACAGTAAGGAACAATTATTTAAAATATTTTAGAAATAATGAAAATTAACAATAAGCCAAAAACCAGATTAAAGCACACATCAACGTTCTATGTGTTAGGATAGGCTATGCTAAACAAAATTATTTTTAAGAGGCGCCAAACAAAAGAGTACAGTGAAGGCACCTGCGTAATGTCAATAGGCAAGGAGTTCCGAAGTGTGGCTGCTGCTACACTACAAGACCAATTTCTTACAAATGCAGGACGAGTAATCGTGTGACACCTGTAACCAAGGTCAGTTCTGCAGATCGAAGTGGAATGCCTGCAGGATTGTGGGGGGCGGGTGGGGAGGCAGAATCAGGGAGACACTGAATGCTAGTATCAGAAGGTGCAGGCAGCCCCCATTTTGGTGGAGTGGTCACCTAGAAGAACCAGGCCTCTTGGGACTCATTGGGAGCAGGGAACCTTGAAAACCAGGCGAACCCAGTTGTAGCTGGGTCTGGCCGATAAGCCTACATAAGCTCCCAGCTGAAGACTATTAATAAAGGTAAAGGGACCCCTGACCATTAGGTCCAGTTGTGGCCGACTCGGGGGTTGTGGCGCTCATCTCGCTTTACTGGCCGAGGGAGCCGGCGTACAGCTTCCGGGTCATGTGGCCAGCATGACTAAGCCACTTCTGGCAAACCAGAGCAGCGCACGGAAACGCCGTTTACCTTCCCCCCGGAGCAGTACCTATTTATTTACTCGCACTTTGTCGTGCTTTCGAACTGCTAGGTTGGCAGGAGCAGGGACTGAGCAACGGGAGCTCACCCCGTCGTGGGGATTTGAACCACCGACCTTCTGATCGGCAAGCCCTGGGCTCTGTGGTTTAACCCACAGCGCCACCTGCGTCCTACAAGACTTACGCCACAGCCTTGTTCCTGCTTCCTGCGCGGACTGACCTTATGCTCCTAAGCCTTTGCTTTTGCTAACTTGTCTATCTTTGGACTTGCTCTGCTGTGTTCCACCTTGGCTTTGTTTCATGACCTTGCTATTGGATCATGCCCCATGTTGTGACTGTCTCACAGTGCCTGGTCTTGGCTTCTCTTCAGCAACCCTGCATCTCTGGATTGCCTCAATATCTGACTGCTCTCACGACCCTCTGGAGTTTGACCAGCCCCAGTCCTGGAGTACAGCTTCCCCATCTCACCTGTGGCTTGGCGACCAAACCAGGACCAAGCCAAGATGTGAAGTCACCCAGTGTGATCTCCACCCACTCTGTGCTAGCCCATCACTCCAACCACTACACTTTGGGAGGCGAGGAACTGGTGGCCCTTCAGGGGTTGTGGGGCAACAGCTGACATCAGCCCTGGTCATGCTGCCTAGGGCCGATGAGGGTCCAATGACATCTAGTAAGGGGAGAGAGGATGTGTGTTGGATATCAAGGGGCGGTTGGTTTCTCACCTGTGCTGTCCCACGTCCAGTCCAAGGAATCTTCAGAAGGGAGTTGGTGCAATGGGCATTATGCGGATGTTTATTTCCTTGTGCTGAACAGAATGAAAGATTATGAGTTATGGGGGTGTGGAGTGTGGAGTGTGTGCATACAAACTCAGCAGTGCTTGGTTGCTATTTTGTTAATGGTCTTAATGTTGTTTTGCAGATTGTAAATGCTGTTTCACTAATCCTATAACGTCTGCTTTGATTGTGATGTTTAGCTTCTTTGTAGTTGTTGCTGAAATTTAGTTGTTGCTAAAATTGCAATTGTTTCACTGATGATTTGCTAATTATCCTATAGGATTGGTGCTCTATTTGTGATGCTCTGTTATGTGCTATCATGTTATTTATTGTTTGTAAGCCGCTTTGGGAGTCATTTGAATGAAAAGAGGCCTAGAAATGTAATAAATCAAATCAAATCTGGAAGGCCACAGGTTCCCCTACGTCAAGATAGGTTATGCTTCTTTTCAGATGAAGAGAGTCACCTTCAGAAGGTCATCCATCCGAATATTGCATATTGGGCCTGCAAGGACCCTGACTAGCGGTGCTGGTGGCAGCTGTGTTGTCTAAGACCTAGGAATGTGCTAATCCTAACAGTAGTATGATAAGAGACTGCTCAATATGTGTCCAATGAAGAAGCTGTGTAGCAGGATGAGACCCTTCTTCAAATCTAATCTCAGCCTTTATTATTATTATTCAGGGAACCAGGTAGACAGCCTTCATGGTAGTGGTGCCTGCCCTCACATCAAATGTCAAGGAGATAAATAGCTACATAACGTTTAGAAGACATCTGAACACAGCCCTGTATAGGAAAGTTTCTAACGTTTGATTTTTTTATTATGTTTTTATATCTTTTGGAAGCCACCTAGAGTTGCTGGTGTAGCAGACGGGCGGGGTACAGATAATAAAAGTATTATTAAATTATTATTATTAACTTGTTGGCACATTTTTATGAAAAATTACATGAAAACATTGGCATTAACTATTGAGTAAACTTGCTTAGAATTGGGCTGCCTAGGGGCTTTAGGCAAGACACTACTTATCAGCCTCCCACCCAACGCAGTGAAGCTATACAACTACTAGACTACCTTCCAGAATTGCTGAGTATAATCATGTCTATGAAATGTTTTGAATGCTAAAAAAAGAGAGAGCACTATATAAATGTTAAGCATTGTTATTTAGAAGGCTTGGAGAATATATTATTCAGGAATATAGCCTTCATAAAAAGAACTCTGCTCGATCAGACCAAAGGCTTATCTAGTCCTAAATTGCATTATCACGGTGAACATCCAGACGCCTCCTACTTGTGAGCTCCACCAACTGGTTTTCAGAGGCAATATATCAATAATGATAAATTGCCTAAATTGCCATACATTTGTCCGATCCTCTTTTAAAGGTGTCCAAACTGGGGGTGGGGTGGGGAGGTCATTTCTCCCTCTTTTGGTAGTGAATCCAATCGCTCGTGTCGGTAGGACGGATTCAATTGTTCAGGAATGTCATGTCATTCAGGTCCACGATGACCTCAGCAAAGACATCTCTTCCGAAATGACCATGTGTCAAAATCTCCTCCACAGAGTGGAAAAGTACCAATTAGAGAGGTATGTGCTAAAGCTGTCCCCCTAATTTGCTATATTACCACCTGGGGGGGTTATTCAAGCAAGTGTGTATTGGATCCAGAGATATGTATATTGGATCCAGAGATATGTATTTTATCCAGGCATAATAATAAGTGCCCAGAGGCACTTGGCTTACCAGGTAGATCCTCAGAAAAACTGCTTGACAGGCTCACTTTCCCCCTTTCTGAGCTCCCTTCTCACTTACAGCAAGCAGGAATCCCAAACGCTTTTTACTTGGAAGTAGGATCTATCGGTTTTGATGGGCCTTGATTCCAAGTAAATTCCTTCAGAGAGGCAGTCCCCGGAGCTAACTGGAGAGCGAGCGCTTAATCATTCCTACTGTGGCCACATTTTTTAAAATAAAAAACCCACAGTTGTTCTCTGCATAGGCTTAAAGGTCTCCTTCTCCACCTCCCCCCCCGCCCCATTTTTAAGGGCTGAGCCTTGACCCAGAAAGCAAGTCCTTCTGCCTCGAAATCAAAACCCACTAGGTTCGTCGGGGTCTGAAAAGAGATGCAGAGGAATCTAGCTCAATAATCCCCGATGCAAATCAAGCCTGATCAGCCTGGCTGAACTCCAAAATTATCATTATTTTAAACCTCATCTACAGCCCCCGCTCCTCCCCGCACGCGATTTCCTTCCTCCTCCGCAGCGTTACCGCGATCCCTGCATTGCAGGGGGGCTGGACTAGATGGCCTCTGGGGGATCCCCCTCCCGGGATTCTCAATTACTGCCTGCAACCTCCGGTGGCTCAGGGGTTAATAATGGCTGCAGCGTGCGTCGCCCCCTCCCCACCTCTCGGACCCCCCACCCCCCAAAAAACACCCCCCTCCCCCAGGCCCAGATCTCCAGGGACGCGCGGCTGCAGCAACCTCGGAAGGCTGAAGCCGCCCGGCGAGCAAAAACGAATTACCTCCGCGGAGGAGAGGGAAAGATCCAGGGACGGAGCGCAGCCTCGGATCCTTTTGTTCTTGCTCCTTTCTCCCTCCCCCCTCACTTCCCACCCCGGATCTGCTGGCCACGCACACCCACCCGCCTCCTCCGGCTAAGCCAGCCCCTTCCTGTGCCGTCGCCTTTCCAGGCCGGCCTGCAACGCTCTCCCGGCCCCGGGCTGGATGCTCGGCAAAGGCCGGCGGGGGGAAGATCTGGTCTGGATCCGGGCGGAGATGGCTACGGGCTGGGCAAGAGGGTCTTCTGGGTTGGGGGGACCCAAAGGCCACCTCCCTGCTAGATGAACCACCAGCCAGACGCCCAGAGTGGCTGGGACAACCCTAATAATAATAATAATAATAATAATAATTAACCAGTGCTTCTTTCTTAAAAAATGTTTAGGGGTACCCTCATTTTCTTACACATATTGAAATACTGCCCCTCAATGAAGCCAAACTTAGATTCACAAAATGTTTAGGGGTACGCATCCCCCCGCGTCCCCCCAGAAAAGGCACTGATCATGATGATGATGATGATTAGGATCTGGAAATATCTCCCCTTAAAAAGGGGGGGAGAGGGGAAACTGGGTAAATCCAGTCTGGTCTGCCTACTTGGATGTACAGTTTTTATTAAGTGTTTTTCATAATGCCATAAGATATAGAAAACTATGTTTTCAGATTTGAAAACATGGACACAATTAAGATAAATAGGTTTTGATGGATGTAATAATGGCATAGCTGTCAGCCTTTTCTTTTTTTGCGGGAAATTCCCTTATTCCAGCGCTGTTTCGCGCTGCTTCCTGCTGCTATCCTGGATTGTTAGATATCCCGTAGACTGTCCCCGGGACGGGTGAGGCTGCTGATCCCTTATTTTCAAATCTGAAAGTTGACAGCTATGAATAATGGGATACTGAATGGTTTAGTTTATATAAAATGTGCAGGGATATATGTTATGCAAAAGGAACCATGGGATGGGAGGAAGGGAAGTTGTTGATATTTTAAGGTTGTTTAAATGAATATTGTAAAATGTGAAACAGAAAATTTAATAAAAGTTATAGAAAAAGAAAGAAAACAAACGTAAATAAAAAACAGAAAGAAAGAAAGAAAAAAGAGAGAGAGAAAGGAAGGAAGGAAAGAAGGAAGGAAAAGAGACAATAAAGAAAGGTAAAAGGGACTTCTGATTTTCCATCTGTTGCTTACATTACACACACACACACACACTGAAGATGAATGTTATCATGGACTAATTGTCGTAAAATATTCAGTGAACCGCCCTGAGATATTACGATGAAGGGCAGTATATAAATTTAATTAATAATAATAATTTTGAAAAATAATCATGGCTGCTAGCCACGGTGTCTGTGTCCTGCCCTCCGCAGTTAAGAGACAGCAGTACTTCTAAATACAAGTTGCTGGAAGCCCCAGGAGGAGCAAGGGCTTTTATGCTCACGTTCTGCTCCTTGGTTTCCCACAGGCAACAAACTGTCCCGCCATTTTGAGAACATAGGGGGTTGGGCTAGATGATCCTCGTGGTCCCTTCTAACTCTTATGATTCAGTGAGGGCGCTGGGCTGGATGGGCCATCAGTCTGACCCAACAGGCTCCTCTTCTTACATATGGAACTGGTGTTTTTTATTGTGTCTATATGGGTTGTTTTTTTTTACATGTGGAATTTTCTTTATTGTGAAATTGCTTGGAAATATTTTATGGGAAGCCATTCAGTTTTGTTTTTTTTAAGTTCATGATGGACCCAGTTACACCAAATAAAGGCATTCCACCACCCTTTCTTCAGTTTGAAAACTTGGTCCCTAAATCAAGACGTTATTTTACTGCCCACGTGAATTTTGGTCTAATGGGCCAATGTGGCTGTTTATAATTTTTCTGAGGTAAGTTAATACCCATGTACGATTGCCAGCTGGTTGTGTACCATCTATACATGTCAACTGCACTTTCCTTACACTTAACTATGTAGAGGCGAAGTGGGTAATATCCTGGAAACTGCCGCTACTTAGGGGTCTATAACTGACACATTATTTTTTACCTTTAACATATTGTTACAACTGTTCTTTTATAGTACAGAGCAACAGGGGCAGAAGGAATCATGAGGGAAGGAATGACTGGCTTCGCGATTTTTTACATAGCACACAGATATATTTGTGATGCATCGCCATGTTGAATATTACGAAACCGTTACCGCGATGCGGACTTCAAACTGTTTTTTGATGATGTATCCATGTATTTCCCAGCCCTAATGTGCGTGTATGCAAAAACCACTATGCAGGGGAAACCGTGAAGCCACCCAATGCCTCTACAGTGGTACCTTGGGTTAAGTACTTAATTCGTTCCAGAGGTCCGTTCTTAACCTGAAACTGTTCTTAACCTGAAGCACTACTTTAGCCTATGGGGCCTCCCGCTGCTGCTGCGCCACTGGAGCACGATTTCTGTTCTCATCCTGAAGCAAAGTTCTTAACCTGAGGTAATATTTATGGGTTAGCGGAGTCTGTAACCCAAAGCGTATGTAACCTGAGGTACCACTGTACATAGCTTCATATTTATTTCTGACCTCATGATATATCGGAATATCATGTTGAAAACAGATTATCGACCAGCCCTCATGAAGAGCCTGCTGAAACAGACCAATGGTCAATGGCCCATTTGGTCCAGCAGCCTGTTCTCACTGGGGCCAACCAGATGCTAATGGGAAGCCAGTCCCTCCAGTGTAGGAGGCAATATGCCTCAGAATACCACTTCCTGGATATCATGAGCAAACAAAGGCTGCTGTGCTCAAATCCTGCATTCGGGCTTCCCACAGGCATCTGGTTGGCCCCAGTGATGCTGGATGCTGGCCTAGATGGGCCTTTGGGCTCTTCTGCTAGCCAGTGTGGCATAATAGTTAAAGAGTGTTGGACTAGGATGTGGGAGAACAGGGTTCGAATCCCCACTCAGCCATGAAGGGTAACCTTGGGTCAGTAACCATCTCTTAGCCCAGGCTTCCTCAGCCTCGGCTCCCGAGATGTTTGTGGCCTACAACTCCCATGATCCCTAGCTAGCAGGACCAGTGTTCAGGGATGATGGGAATTGTAGTCTCAAAACATCTGGAGGGCCGAGGAAGCCTGTCTTAGCCTAACCCTACCTCACAATTGTGGCTGTTGTGAGGATGAAATGAGAAGAACCATGTATATCACCTTGAGATCCTTGGAAGATAAATGTGGTACAGTGGTACCTTGGTTCTTGAACGTAATCCATTCTGGAAGTCCGTTTGACTTCCGAAATGTTCGAAAACCAAGGCACGACTTCGGATTGGCGCAGGCGCCCCGGAAACAATAGCCGGCAGCCACATCGGACGTTCGGATTCCGAAAAACGTTCAAAAACCGGAATGCTTACTTCTGGGTTTTCAGTGTTTGGGAGCTGAAATGTACCAAGGCGTTTGAGAACAAAGGTTCCACTGTATATAAATCTAATAAATTATTATTAGTAGTAGTATTCACAACTTCCTAATTCATTTTATCTTGAGCTTCTGAGCGCGAGGCTGCCTTTTGTGTTGCTACAGAACTATGCCAGCAGCGTTGGAAGGATCTGAGATGCATAGCAATAAACTGGGCTCCATGCAATATGCAATTTGTCCTTTGGGAATCTGGTCTCTCCAGAGGACAGAAGGGAAAGGAAGTCTCACTTGCTCCAGCGTTGGATGTCCCAGAAAACAAACGTTCTCTCAATTAATTCAGCTCCGTACAAAGATACTTTATTAGCACAAAGCATTTTGCCAGAGCGTATCAGACTGTAAGAAGAGGTTGGGGGAGACAGTGAGAAGAGGGACAAAACCTCATGTTTGTAGCAGAAATCTCCATCCTCCTCCATCTATATTGTCCATTGCCATCCACCACTTGCATAAGATGAAGGTTGCATCATCTTAAATGTCTCCAGTTACAATGACATCATCTCTGTGTGTCTCTTGACCGAAGCTTAAGTGCCTGTTGGGGGCTTATGGAAGAGTAAAGGATTGTTTCAGAAAGCAGAGACCTAGGTGCAACAGGAATGCACCAGACCATGCAGTAAGACATTGTATGTCTTTTTGGGTGGAGTGGCTGTGTGGTTTCTCTTTGAATCATTGTAGCCAACATGAGGCCCTGCAGATGTTTTGGAGTATAGCTCCCATTCCCAGCTAACATAGCCAATAATAAGGGAGTTATGGGAGTTGAAGTACAAAATGTCTGCAAGGCTCTGTGTTGAGTACCCTTAATTGGGACATCACCCCCCCTTTTTTTAGTAACAGCATTTGCCCTGACAAAGGGCATAAAAGGTAAGATCAGGTGAGGAACAGGGGAAGAAACTGTAAATGTTGGGCTTAAAAAAGAAATGGAGAGGATTCATGTGATTTCACACATGCAAAACACTGCCTTCTCAATTAAGAACTTCCTCCCTGCAGCCTCAGCTACTGAACTGCAACTTGAAGATCCACTACCCTTAAACCCAAGGTGTTTGGATAATGAAAAATGACTCTTTGCAACAAGAGCAAATATCTGCAAAACACAATTTTAGGCAGAGTGGGTATGTATATGCCAAACAGAATTTCCAGATAGCTGTATATGTTCGTGCTAATTTTATTTTTTTTTTTTTTTTTTGCAAGTAAATTTTTATTCAGAATTTGTATAAAGAAAAGAAAAAAGAACTAACAAATACAAAAATAAACATTTTAACATAAATTATTCATCCTATTTTCATACTATACAAAAAGAAAGCATATGTTCATACAAAAAATAATAATATAACCATTAGGCTCTCCTTAGCCTTTGACTTCCCTTCACCCTTTTGGTAAGTATCAAATAAGTCCCGGGTTGCGTAATTAGTTTATTAAAGTTTATAGTTATTAGCTGATAAAGTTTTTCTAATACCGCCAGTTCCTCCTATATATCCGTTCCAATATATTTCCAAAACTTACTCCAATTTTTTGAAATTTCTGGTCGTCTTGGTCTCGTATTCTGCCTGTTAATCTATCTAGCTCGGCATAGTTGATCATTTTGACCTGCCAGTCACTTATGTTAGGAATAGTTTCTATTTTCCAGTTTTGTGCCAGCATAATTCTTGCGGCTGTGGTGGCATAGAGAAATATTTTTTATCTTCATTTTTATTTCCTTACCCATTATTCCCAGCAAAAAGGCCTCAGGTCTCTTGGGAAAAGTGTATTTAAAAACTTTTTAAAGTTCATTATAAATTGCTTCCCAAAAAACCTTCACCTTGCTGCATTGCCACCACATATGGTAGAGGTCTCCCTCCCCTTCACCACATTTCCAGCATGTCTTATTTTCTGATCTATAGATTTTAGCCAATTTTGCCGGCGTAAGATACCATCTATAGAGCATTTTCCAAACATTTTCTCTCAAACTCGTACAGGCCGTAAATTTAATGTCTCTATTCCACAATTTCAACCACTTTTCAAACTCGATGTTATAACCGAAGTCAATTGCCCATTTAATCATTGCCTCTTTGACTTCCTCGTCTTTTGTATGCCATTCCAGTAATATGTCATATAATTTAGACAATGTTTTGTTTTTGCCTTCTATTATTTCTATATTGAATTTTGATTTCTTGTCCTCAAAGCCCATTTTTCTTTTATCTTGTTTTAACATATCATTCACCTGATGATATTGTAACCAGCCGGTGAATTGATCCTTTATTTCCTCATACGGTTTAAGTTTAAGCCCTTGTTCTGATTTTCTTAGCAAATCTTCGTAGGTGGCTGTCTTCCCTTCCATGTTGGTTTTTTTTATTGTTAAGACCTCTACTGGTGAAATCCACCATGGTGTTTTTCTTTCGAGAAGGTTCTTATTTCTTTCCCAGACCTGATATATTGGTCCCCTGAAAATATGGTTTAAGAAAGCCCTGTGGACTTTCACCTTCTCGTACCAGAGATATGCGTGCCACCCATACCGGTTATTGAAACCTTCTAAATCCAGTAGGTCTCTGTTCTCCAATTTTATCCAATCTTTTAACCAAAGTAGGCACGCTGCTTCATAATATAGGCTCAAATCTGGGAGGGCAAAACCTCCTCTTTCCTTTTTATCAATTAGTATTTTCATTTTAATCCTTGGTCTTTTCCCCTGCCAGATGAATTTCATCAGGGTTCTCTGCCATTCTTTACATTGTTTTAGACCTTTAATAACTGGAAGAGTTTGAAATAAAAACAACATCCTCGGCAAAACATTCATTTTAACCACTGCTATCTTCCCTAAAAGGAAAATTTCATCCTCCCCCATATTTCCAGATCTTTCTTTATTTTTTTCCATGTAACTTCATAATTATCTTTATATAGGTTTATGTTTTTGCCGTAATCCACACTCCCAAATATTTCACTTTTTTCACCACCATGATTTCCACTTTTTGTTCTAGATCTTTCGTTTCTTCCTTAGTTAGATTTTTAACCAGCATTTTAGTTTTATTCTTGTTTACCTTAAAACCTGCCACCTCTCCAAATTCCTCAATTTTTGTAATGCTTCTTTTACACTATCTTGTGGATCTTCCAAAGTCAAAACAATATCGTCGGCAAAGGCTTTAATTTTGAATTCCTTCTTTCCTACTCTAATTCCTTTCACTTCTGTTGCCTCCCTCAGTCTCTTATTAAGTACTTCCAAAATTACAATAAATAATAAGGGGGACAGGGGCAACCTTGTCTGGTCCCTTTATAAATGTTAAAATATTCTGTTGTATTGTTATTTATCACCAGCTTTGCTTTCTGTTCTTTGTATATTGCCTCTATGCCTCTTCTAAATTTTTCGCCAATTCCCATCCTTTCCAAAGCCTTCTTTAGGAAGTTCCAGGAAACATTATCAAATGCCTTTTCGGCGTCTATGAAAACCAGTGCGGCTTTTCTGTCTATTTTCATGTCCAGGTATTCAATAATGTCAATCAAATTCCTTACATTATCCCGTGATTGTCTCCTGGGAGAAATCCTGTTTGATCACCATGAATTTTATTAATCAAGACCTTCTTTAATCTTTCCGCCATTATGTCTGCAAATAGCTTATAATCATTATTTAATAATGAGATTGGCCTATAGTTCTTTACTTCCATAGTGTCCACCTCTTTTTTAGGGATCAATATAACATAGGCTTCCTTCCAGGTATTAGGTATCTTTCCTTCTCTCAATATATTGTTCATAACCTCTCCCAGCACTGGTGATATTTGGTTAATTAATGTTTTATAATATTTGGCCGGAAGGCCGTCCGGTCCCGGCGCCTTCTCAGCTTTCATCTTTTTAATAGCCTTTTTTATCTCTTCCTGTGTTATTATCTCATCTAGTGCTGCTCTTTCATCTTCTACAATTTTAAGTGCATACAGTGGTACCTCGGGTTAAGTACTTAATTCATTCTGGAGGTCTGTTCTTAACCTGAAACTGTTCTTAACCTGAAGCGCCACTTTAGCTAATGGGGCCTCCCGCTGCCGCCACGCCACGGGAGCACAATTTCTGTTCTCATCCTGAAGCAAAGTTCTTAACCCGAGGTACTATTTCTGGGTTAGCGGAGTCTGTAACCTGAAGTGTATGTAACCTGAAGCATATGTAACCTGAGGTACCACTGTAGTTAGAAAGATAAAAACACAAAGGTGGTTCTGGATATATTCAGGGACTGTGGCAGATTCTCTGGTTGCCAGTATGCTGAGAGCTGCCATAAGAGGGTTTGATTCCGTTGGAGGCGGGATCCAGTAGCTGAGCTCAGCAAATGCAGCTTGGGCTCTTGCACTGTAGGATATAGAATAGCTTATTCCTATAGATCTTTGACTTCCATAGCTGACAGTGAGTCACACCTCAGATGCATGATCTGAACTGGGTCAAGGTGTTTGGAGAGTCTTAAACTTTGGGGCTTACAAAAAAGTACTAAGTTTGAGTGCCTCACACTGACAATTGGAATATGAGTTCTACTCCCATCCCCTGGCCTTATAAAACATGGTTTGAGCTCAGACTGAAACCTCCGAGCCTTCAGAGTCAAGTCTTTATAGGACTTCCCTCCTTTGTAAGTTTTCTATGTGCCGGTTGAACACCCATGATGCAGACCTCTTGCGGATGTGCTATTTCAGAATGAATGTGGGGGATATCACATGTCTGAATTGCCCTGCACATTGGGGAAAAAAACCTTGCACATTAATTGTTTAGCACATAAGGTAAGAGGACAGGGCAAAGCCTCTCTTCCTATAATACTAGCTGCCCACAAGATTTTTTTATTTTTACATTTTTTTTAAGTTGTGCACTCAGTCACACAAATTTCCCACCCTTCATCTGAAGTGGTACAATTGTGTAAGACCATTGGTAAAGGTAAAGGGACCCCTGACCATTAGGTCCAGTCGTGGCCGACTCTGGGGTTGCGGCGCTCATCTCGCTTTATTGGCCGAGGGAGCCGGTCATGTGGCCAGCATGACTAAGCCGCTTCTGGCGAACCACCATTTACCTTCCCGCTGGAGCGGTACCTATTTATCTACTTGCACTTTGACGTGCTTTCAAACTGCTAGGTTGCCAGGAGCAGGGACTGAGCAACGGGCACTCACCCCGTCACGGGGATTCGAACTGCCGACCTTCTGAAGTGGTACAATTGTGTATGGTCATACCTTGAGGTTATTTTCCTGCAGAAATGACCTGACTTTTACTCTTTAAGAAAATGTGGATCACTAACCAGAGGTTTTTCTACTGCCAGTGCTTGCATATTTATTATGCTTTTTCTTCTGTGTGGATTCTCTGATGTTTAAGGAGACTGGTTGAATTACAGAAGCTCTTGCCACACTCTGAGCACTTGCATTTCCCCTCTCCCATATGGGTTTTCTCGTGGGCAGTAATGTTCGATCGCTGACTGAACCTTTTCCCGCAGTCTAGGCACTCGTACGGCTTCTCCCCCGTGTGTGTTCTCTCGTGTATTATAAAGCTTTCCCTCCGATTGAAGCTTTTCCCACAGTCTGAACATTTGTATGGCTTTTCTCCTGTGTGGATCCTTGCATGCTCTTTCAGGAGGGAACGGTAGTTGAAGCTTTTCCCACAGATGGAGCAGGCAAACGGCTTATCTCCCGTGTGGGTTCTCTGGTGTTCAATAAGGTGGGATCTCCGGCTGAAGTGCTTCCCACATTCTGAGCATGTGTGGGGCTTCTCGCCTGTGTGGATTCTCTGGTGTCTAGTAAGGTGCGATCTCCGACTGAAACGCTGCCCACACTCCAGGCAGTGATATGGTTTCTCTCCTGTGTGGATCCTCTCGTGGACCAAATGAGCGGAGGCATGGTTGAAGATTTTCCCACAATACGAGCATCTGTATGACTTTTTCCCGGCCTGGACATTCAAGTTTTTAAGAGGGTCGGTACTCTGGCTGCAGCTTTTCCCTGCGACTGTCTTTTTTTGAGGACTTGCCTCAAGCCCCTCGTGTAAAGTGCTCTCATTTAAACTTTTTGCCCCTTCAGAATGAAAGGCCTTTTCCGCTGCCTGTTCCAGGAGCCTTCCCTGGCGTTTCTCTGGGGCCTGCTGGCTTCCTGATGTCTCTTCAGTCTCTAGAAACTGGAAGACTTCCCTTCCAGTGACCAGCTGGTTTTCGGGCACCTCTCCCATCTCAGGAAATAAGAAGACGCTCCCTTTAGCCCTTTCCAGCGACATCCTGCGGTACTCCACTTGCCCCGGCCTTTCCAGCTGGAGATTCTCCTCCTCACTTTCACTCGCTTGGCCATTGCCTGCTGGAATAAAGAGACAACCACAGAGTGAATTTCTGGGGAGGCTGTGGCGATCACACAGGGCCCCCGGACGTTTGACGGTCTATTGATCCCTGTGCCACCACTGTGATTGCTTTCTTCACTGCCACCAACCCGTTTCTCCTCACGGGTACACACGGAGTCCAGACAGTTGTTAACAATAACAAATAATCAAGTTTATTTTATAGGCATGAATAATCATGCCTATGATTATTTGTTTATTTTATAACAAATAATCAAGTTTATTTTATAGGCATTATGGTTTCAGTTAATTTTTCTTGTCAGTTTCTTAATCTTAGTTTCTTAACTGTCCTATACGTTCCTAACAACTTCAAACTGATTATCCCAACTATCTACCTGACTCCACCTAACAATTCCTCTCACTCTCTCACCACACAACTCGACCAACCCACAGACTTATATCCTCCCTCTTCCTTCTCCAACTCCCAACTCTCAACTGACTTCCAAAAAACACCCACTCTAACTCTAACTCCTCCAATCAGTTTCCACTGGCCAATCACATCACACTCATTTAACCCTTTCCTTATGACCCACCTAGGAGGCAAACACCACAGAGGGGTTGTAGTACTGTGGGACGGAAAAATTGTTTGCAAGCAGAAAGCCCCACGTTTGATCCCCAACGATGCCAGATGAAAATGATCTGTGGGAGCAGAGCTGGGGGGCCAAGGGTGAGCCCCTGCCACTAGGCTGGACAAAATTGGGACTAGATTGGGATGGAGAAACTAAGCGTAGCCTTCCAGCCCCAGTGGGTTCTGCCTTACCTTCCCACTCTGCCGCCACCCTGAGCTTTGTAACATGATCCAGGCACACCACAAAAAAAAAAACCCTTACCCAACAAGCTGGTTATCCTTTCATCGTCCTGCATGGCCACCACGTACAGCTGCATCTTCAAGGGGTCTACCTTAGAGAAATTAACAGCCACTTTTTCAAAGGGCCCCGGCACCTGAATCAAAAGGAGGGACATCAGGTCATAGCAACAGGTTTGGAGAGGCAAATGCCCCAGCTCCAAAATCAATTTCTGTTACCTTCCCCAACCCTCACCTGCCTGGTCCGCCTGACCGTCTCGTTGCGATCAGGAAATAGACTGGATTCCTACCCCAACCTATTTAGTTGTCCGGGAGAGGAGAGAAACATAACCCTCAGATGAGCACTCATAAATTGAACCCTGCCATGCTGTCTGCCCTTCTACAGCTGCAGTCAATTCCATTAAGAAGAAGAAGAGGAGGAGGAGGAGTTTGGATTTGATATCCCGCTTTATCACTACCCTAAGGAGTCTCAGAGCGGCTAACATTCTCCTTTCCCTTCCTCCCCAACAAACACTCTGTGAGGTGAGTGAGGCTGAGAGACTTCAGAGAAGTGTGACTAGCCCAAGGTCACCCAGCAGCTGCATGTGGAGGAGCGGAGACGCGAACCCGGTTCACCAGATTACGAGTCTACCGCTCTTAACCACTACACCACACATGGAGGAACCTACAGCACTCCTGATGTTGTTAATGGACTACAGCTCCCTTCACCCCTGACCTTTGGCTATGCCAGCTGGGGCTGATGGGAGTTGGAGTCCAGCAATATCTGGAGGGCCACAGGGTGTAGCCTCCCCTCCAGAACTCTCACCTGCTGATCCCACCTCTCGTGGTCTTGCAGCTTCCAAGAGAAAATCTCTGCCAGGGTCACCGCCTGAGCACAGGTCTCCGGTCCGCGCTTCCTGACCCAGATCTGCATTTCCTGCGGCAATATGGCCAGGAACTGCTCCAAGACCAGCAGCTCCAGGATCTGCTCCTTCGTGCATTTCTGGGGCTGCAGCCATCGGAAGCAAAGGTCTTGGAGCTGGCTGCAAACTTCTCGAGGTCCCTCGGCCTCCAGGTAGCAGAACTGCCTGAACCGCCGGCGCCATAACTCCAAACTGGTGGCATCCTCGTCCGCCACTTGCCCAAGGGAGCCCAGGGTCTTACAGACTTGAGTGGCTTCTCCACTGAGGTCTAGCAGATTCTGGATCTTCCGCTCTTCTCGAGGCCACTGGATGGCATCAGCTATTCTCCTGAAGGAAGTCTGAAAAGGTTTGGTGTGGTCCCATCGGGTAGGCACCAGCAGCTTCCTCCGGGACTTGGCTGTCTTCTGGAAATCCTGATGTTGGGTGTCCTGGGGCCGCTGGAGTTTTTTGTCAGTTGTCTGGCTGGCCTGTTGCAGACCTGCTTCATCAGGTACCTGCTGAGCCTCCTGCGCAGCCTCCTCACCTGGAGTCCTTTTAGTACCTAGTGGTGCGGTCTCATCCGGTATCCGCTTAGCATCTTGTGGACCTTCCTCAATTTGGACCTCCTCAGTGCTCCCATAAACCCGATAAACAGGAAAATGTCCTCCTCCTCCTTCTAATGTCTCCTCTGCTTGGGGTCCTGCTGGGTCCTGCTCTTCCATCGGGTTTCCCCTCCGCACTCCTGGAGCTGCAAACAAAATGTGCTTTTCAATAACTGCACACCAGGCCAAAATGGCCGCCAACCAGGATCTGGAGAGAAATGTGAACTCTGCTCCCAAGATGTCAGCAAAGCCGCTGCCAAAATGGCAAGCCAAGTACAGTGGTACCTCGGGTTAAGTACTTAATTCGTTCCAGAGGTCCGTACTTAACCTGAAACTGTTCTTAATCTGAAGCACCACTTTAGCTAATGGGGCCTCCTGCTGCTGCCGCGCCGCAGGAGCATGATTTCTATTCTCATCCTAAAGCAAAGTTCTTAACCTGAAGCACTATTTCTGGGTTAGCGGAGTCTGTAACCTGAAGCGTATGTAACCTGAGGTACCACTGTACTAGGGAAGGCGAGGTAACCTGACTGCACTCACATATAAAAGTACTGTGGATAGTTTTAGTCATCTCAAGAAGGACATAATGTAGGAATATAGGAAGCTGCCCTATAATTAGTCAGACTGCTGGACTATCTAGCTCAGTATTGTCTACACAAAAATGGCTGACTTGTGGCACTCCAAAGGTTGTTAGGCTTCAACTCGAACCCCCCTTGAACACTGGCCTTGCTTGCTGGGGGTGATGGGAGTTGGTCCCCAATAAGGTCTGGAGGACCACAAGTTAGCCGTTCCTGTCTACACTGTCTGGCAACAGCTCTCCAATATCTTCTTCCTTGGAGGTTTTGAGGATAAGTTTGGAAAAGCATCAACGGCAGGACACTCTGAGCAGGAGGCTGGGCTAGGTAATCTGTTAGGCACCCTCCCGTTCCAATACAATTATCTGATGAGAAACATTAATGGAGAGCACGGCAAATGGGGATATTGGCTAAATGGAATGACAGAGGTCAAGGAAAAAGGAACCAAAGGTATTGCATGGGGGAAACAACTGGTGTGATGGACAGATGGTGGCATGAAAGGAATGAGATGAGCAGAGAGAAGAAAAGAAGGTACGTATGGTATGAGTGCAAGATGCAGACAAGGGAAGCTCAAGAGTCCAGCATCCAAGTGCTCCAACAGGGCATCATCTGCCCTGAGCATGAAAAGCCTATTTCATTTCAGGGTTTCTCTGAAACAGGGTTTGCCAAACTTCGGTTGCCAGCTGCTTTTGGACTACAGCTCCCATCATCCCTAGCTAGCAGGACCAGTGGTCAGGGATGATGGGAATTGTAGTCCAAATCCAACCTGAGACCCACGTTTGGGAAACCCCGATCTAAATCAAGGATGGGGGAATCTGTGGCCCTCCAAATGTGGTTGGATTCCAACTCCCACCAGCCTCAGCCAGCATGACCAATGGTCAGGGATGACAGAAGTTGTAGTCCCTACAATACCTGGCTGGCCGCAGATTCCCCATCCCTGTTCTCAGGTCTACACTTCCATTCTAATTCAGGGTTTGGGTTTTCAGCATCGGACATGCCTTCCTCAATAAACAGACAAACAAATAAATAAAACAACATTCTTCCTTTAAGGACTTGTAACAGGAACACACTACCTCGAACCCAGATGTCAATGACATTTGGCTATATTATAGACACTCTCACTTTGTTTCTAACGCCGCCGCATTTTGAGCTTAACTGGACCCAGATAAAAATAGCTCTGCCACAGTTTTGAACTGCCAGTCAATAACAGAGAAGCCTTCGCTAAGCGCTAAAACCCACAGATTGTGCGTCTAAAGACCCAGAGTCAACCTCTCATTAAAGGGATCTTGAGCACCAGGGCTGGGAGCCTCTAAACGCTGCTGGCACTCAGAGGTTTTGCAGCATCGGGTCCCTGGGCTGATTCGGATCAGGACAGCTCCTTTACAGACTAAATTGGCTCAAAACCCTGCATTTCTACATCCTGACTGCGGAGAAGCCTGTAGCTCCTCAGTGTGGCAGAGCACGCACTTTACACAGGGAGGATCCCAAGACTCAGATCCTGGCATCTCCAGCTTGAAGCACCTTAGGCAGCGGGTGATGGTTGTGACCAGAGAGAGCTGCTAACTAGCCCGGTGTAGAAACCACTAGCCGAGATGGTCCAGTCGCCTTCTTTGAATGACAGGGCGCTGTGGATCAGCTAACCTGAATGAGGGATACGCACCTGAGATTCATTTCCTCCCCTCTGTTTATTACCTTGTTCTGGCCCGGATCTGGAGAGGGGATCCGGACAAGGGACGATGTGGGGGATCAGCAACACAGGCTCTGATCTGGAGTGGGGCTTTGGGAAACCTTCCAGCGACCCTTTTGCAGTCTCTGGTCTCCTCCTTTCTCTTTGCCTCCAGGGCTTCTCCTTCTTGCATGAGCCGACAGATCCCCAAATCCACCGTTCTGCACCCTTTGCAATCCGCAGCGGTTGTATTTATTGTTTATTTGTATGTTATCCCCCCCAAAAAAGGTAATTTCTAGCCGGAAGAGAGGGTTGGGGAACGGGAAGGAAGTAGGACAGGAAGGTGGCCTTCGCTATTTCCTTCCTCCTTAATTTTTTGTTTTTTCCTGGAGCCTTCTAGGAATCTGATCGCTGGTGGTTTTAACCCATAGATTCCTTTGCAGGATCGAGAAGCCAGGAGCGGGGATCGTGTCTCAATTTTGCAGGCCGCCAGAGTTGGGACGTCCTGAGATGAGACGCGCTTAGGAGTGGCCCCTGCCTTGCTTTTGAGCGTCCAACCCCGTCATTGCATTGCATAGAAGGAAAATGCTGATTATATTATGGATGTTTTAGCTGAGATTTCTGCATTGCAGAGGGTTGGCCTAGATGACCCTTGGACCCATTCCAACTCTACGATTCTGTGAGGATGACGATTGGATCTGCGCTGCTTTTATTAAATCCTCATGTTTGCAAACAGTTCACTCTAAATGCACCTCGCCTCTGGCTCTGGCCAGCACCAAAAATCACAGAACTTAGCATGTCCTGGAGTCGCAGTACAAATTTAAAAAAACAAAACGGATCTGATGTTTTGGGTTCTTGTAGCTTTTATATGGCTGTAGTGTACAAACTATACTTTTATTCAAAGCACATTATCTTGTGGTAATGATGCCCATAACCTGTGTGAAAAGCAATATATTTTGTCTGCCTCAGACCTTCTGACATCCGTGTCATTCATCATCATCATCATCATCATCATTTTTAATTTGTATACTGCCTTTCTATCTTACAATACTCAAGGCGGTTTACGAGCTGAAGAAACAAAAAATGTACATCTTATAACAATCTAATGCAATACAAAAATGTGATAATAAAACATAACTTTAAAATAGGCAACCTCCGTCAAAAAAATAACATTCAACAATCATTAGAATAGTATAAAATAATATCAACATATAAAAGTTAAACAGAAATCCACTCAACAGTTACGATAATATCTAAACTATAATCAATAAAACAACGGCAAGCCACAGAACATAAAACAATACAATACACATTGAGAAGCAGAGGCTGGGGCAAGGCAGGTGGAAGGAGGCCTTGCCTGATGGAGTCTCTCCCCTCACAGTTCTTCCTTCAGGCACAGCTTCCTTATGAGGAGGAATGGATGGTCAGATCGTCTTGGGGGGTGGGGAGTGGTAGGCAAATCAGGTCTTGATATTGTTGTGTTACTGCCATCTTTGGCAGTGTGCGTTGTAATACACTGTACACCCCATCGAGATTCTGTGAATTCTGCAGTCCCTATATGCTATGCATAATCAATTTGCATCTACTTCCATAATTTATTCTGGGAGAGGCAAAGGGTCTTTCACAGGGCTTTGACAACTGGAAAGGAATCCCTGCTCTGGCCAACTTCCAGCTTCTAGGATCTTTGGAGAACAAAACAAATGGTTGCATCCGGCTGTAGAAATCTTCTTCAGTCATTCCAAAATCACAGGATGAAAAAGGACAGTCGTGACCAGAGACTTCAGGGTGGTACATGCCCCCCCCCCCATTTTATTCTCACAACAGCCTTGCAAAGTAGATTAGGCTGAGTGAGCAGCTCAGGGTCACTTCGTGACTATTGGGGAAGGTGGCGATTTGAATCTGAATCTTCCTGGCCCTAGTCTGATACTCTTAACCATCACACCACCATACATGTCCCCTGCCACTCAATACAGTACAGTGGTACCTCAGGTTAAGTACTTAATTCGTTCCGGAGGTCCGTTCTTAACCTGAAATTGTTCTTAACCTGAAGCACCACTTTAGGTAATGGGGCTCCCGCTGCTGCCGCGCCACCGGAGCACAATTTCTATTCTCATCCTGAAGCAAAGTTCTTAACCCGAGGTACTATTTCTGGGTTAGCGGAGTCTGTAACCTGAAGCGTATGTAACCTGAAGTGTATGTAACCCGAGGTACCACTGTAGATTTCAATTAAAGATTCAAACCATAGATGTTTATGAAAGATAAGCACATTTGCATGTGCTTATCTTATATTGACGAAGCATGGAGGGTAAAACTCATAGGAGCCAACTCCTAGGGGCTAAGGTCCCTTCAGTATCCCATGGAATATTTGAGGGGACCGTCCGCCCCTCCCAGTTGATGGTCATTGCCATTCAAATGGCGGGGTGTTTGCTGCATCATGTAATCGATTATGCAGGGTGGTGCTTACCTGCCCCCCCCCTATTTTATTTAAGTTGGTACCCCTGGCAGAACTGGACTTTCTTTAGCGTAGGACAACATACCAGATACGGTATGTTTGGAGTTCCTTGGTGTAAATTTGTTCATGTTTCAGAGCAGTATTTGAAAGATCCTTGCTGTTTTGCTCTGGCAAAAATCAGTTACAACGTGGAAGAGCTGCTTCAGAGATTTGATGCAGCAGCCACATTCGTCTTACGCAGCCATTTCCGGAGTAAACCATTAAACCGTGAAAGGCAGATGCATTTCCCGAAACCATGGAATTGCTGGACTACAGGGTGGGGGAAAAAATGAATGATTTTAAAAAATATATATTTAAAAATCAGATTTTTTTTTTAATTTAAATAAGATTTTTAAAATAAAATGCTTTTGGAGGAAAAATCTTTCCAAAGATAGTTTTTGATTTAAGTTACATTATAGTCCAAAGGCTATTCATCAGGAAATAAGGCTTTGTTTTAAGTTTTTCATGTGTGCTAAAACTCAGTCTAAGTTTTTTTAAAAAAACAACAACAACAACAAAGTTTAACCACATCCGTTAACAAACATGGATACATATGCTATAATGTTATTGTTTTAGTTAAATAAATTGTTTAAATTGTTATTAAGGAACCAATTATATTTTCCTTCCAATAAAGTACAGCAGAAAAGTTGTCCAAATATAAACAGTTAACTTATTAAACCTTACAATAATTTCATAATTATCTATGTATTTCTAATAGTATAACCAAATCAGTAATTTTTGATATAACTGTAAAAACTACTCTGAAAATTTATTATTCCAAAAATGAAACCTTCCTCTGGTTGTAAATATTAAGATTATACCAGAAAGAATGAATCTTTCTGTAAAAAAAATGATTTAAATCAAGTCTTACTAACTAGTGATTTAAATCAAGTCTTACTGACTAGTGATTTAAATTGTGATTTAAACCAAATCCACCCTGCTGGACTCCAACTTTGATCATCCCTGACCAGCTGGGACTGAAGGAAGTTGGAGTCTGATGACATTTGGAGGGCTATAAGCAGGCATTTGTGGCACGTGCTGGGTAGCTGAACTTAGACCCCATCTGCAATGTCATACCATTTTAAACAGTCATGGCTTCCCCCAGAGAATCCTGGGAACTGTAGTTTGTTAAGGGTGCTGAGAGTTACCTGGAGACCCCCTCACAGAGCTACAGTACTCAGTGGTTTAACAGTAAATTTTCATTCCTTGGGAAGCCTAAGAACTGCTCTGTTCACACTGTATATTTATTATTGCAGGGATTATTGCGATCACCCTGCTAACTCAGTGGCTGTATAAACTGCAAAATGTCTACTCCACACTGAGCAACCCAGTGACAATAGTAGTTCGGCAACCATCACTGCTAGTTAAGAAAGTACAGAATTACTAACAAAAGCATCCTTTTATTGTCATACGACAGGCACCAAAGTCAGGACTTTCCCCATTTACTCCCCCACCCGAAAATGTTTTCTGAGATCTTTGTCCTCTCTAATTCCAGCAAACTGGTTGGAGGCATAAAATCAAGGAAGCCATTTTTACTGAAGAGTCTTTTTCTCTTCCAGTTACTAGACCAGCCAAGGGCTGCAAAGCTATGCTTCAGATCCAAAGAGCCCTACCAGATGTTCAGGGTCAGCTGCACATCCTAATTCCCTGAAATGACAACTGGGGACGGTCAAAGGTGCAACAGCACTTTCTGTCAGAAGCCTTAAGGATAACTTATCCTTTGTGGGAATGCGTAAGAGAGTCGCCAGGATCATGTATGGTGTTTGAACATTTCCCCCACATGTCACCAGAGCAGAGAGAGGTCATTCTCAATAGTGGATTCTCTTCTGATTAGAAAGACAAAATGATTTGGGAGGAAAGCCTTTCTTGAAGTCACCAGGGGATCCAAGGATCCAGCCTGTCATGATTCCTTGATATATACTGAGCAAAAGGCTGGCTGAGGCAGATCCCACACAAAAGGACTCTGTTCAGCTGGAGGTTCTGGTTGGTGATGAAATGCAACTTTGCAGGTGTTTATTTACTCTACCTGAGCGCCTAATCGTATCTCAAACTCATTGAGGAACAAGCGACTGGGCACACTTGGGAAGGCTTCATGCATTTCCACAGGATGTGTTCCAAAGTCAGGACAAGGCAAGAAAAGACTGTCAAGTTCCTCAAAGACAGCCAGACCCCCAGACTGTGGGAATGTTCAGGGAGGCAGGAGAGGATATGTTGTTTAATTATATCCTTCCCAACTTGTGTTAACAAGTTCTATAATTTAGCAGAGTAACATTCCCTTTTTCCCTTTTCTTCTTGGGAGAAAAGCAATGGTAAACCTAGACAGCATCTTAAAAAGCAAAGACATCACCTTGTCAACAAAGGTCCGTATAGTTAAAGCAATGGTTTTCCCTGTAGTGATGAATGGAAGTGAGAGCTGGACCATAAAGAAGGCTGATCGCCGAAGAATTGATGCTTTTGAATTCTGGTGCTGGAGGAGACACTTGAGAGTCCCATGGACTGCAAGAAGATCAAACCTATCCATTCTGAAGGAAATCAGCCCTGAGTGCTCACTGGAAGGACAGATCCTGAAGCTGAGGCTCCAATACTTTGGCCACCTCATGAGAAGAGAAGACTCCCTGGAAAAGACCCTGATGTTAGGAAAGATGGAGGGCACAAGGAGAAGGGGACGACCGAGGACGAGATGGTTGGACAGTGTTCTCGAGGCTACCAGCATGAGTTTGACCAAACTGCGGGAGGCAGTGGAAGACAGGAGGGCCTGGCGTGCTCTGGTCCATGGGGTCACGAAGAGTCAGACATGACTAAACGACAACAACATTCCCTTTTTAAACTTGTACTGTACAGCAGATAACGTTTGCCAGGCTTGTATAAGCCTCTAAAATAAGTTTCCTGGTAATTTCCCCTTTATTCCCTCTTAAAAAGATTAGACACGACACAGTCTTGTATAAAAGTATAAAATAGTTTACTCACATTCTGTTCACAGATGGATCCCAGAAGGCAGACTTAAGTTACAAAATATATACACCTGGAATCTATCCCATAAGGAGATAGCTCCTTTGTCCTCTCTTGGCTGGAAGCCAAGAGAGAATCTCAGACTAAGAAGATGTTGCTGTTAGCTATTCCACTTGGCACCTTTAATTCTTTTATGATCTGTTGTCCGAGAATGAAAAGCTCGCGGCTCCTTTCTGTCTTTATGATCCGACGTTGGCTGCTAGGCTGACGACTGTGATTGACGAACAGAAACAGACTTAGGAGTACTTTTCTTTCTTTTGGATCTGCAGTCCTTTGCAAAATGTCCTTGTTTATTGAAGAACCAACAACTCTTGGCAGCTTTAAATGCAGTTGTATCACCACAAGTTTGCATATGGCATTCCTCATTATTTCTGGAAATAGGGGTGCTTATGGCACAAGCCTCCCTTCTGTCCAACTCGCCCATTAATCTTGCCGTTACCCCTTCCACAGTTAATTGTGCTGGTGGAACGGCAGATATCTGGCTAGCTACACCATCAAAGTCTTCATTAAGGGAACAAAGAATGATAAATACATACTGAATATCAGGTATCTCCATGTCCCTTCGAATCAATTCGCCGCGTATCGCCTCCAGACGTCTCAAGTCTGCCGCCAAATCACCACCAGGCTGCAACTTCGTCTGGTACAGCTGCTTGAAAAACGTCAATGGAGACGCTGACTTTTCTCTAACATGTACTGCTGCAAAACTGTCCCACATTTCTTTGGTTTTCTTATTCCTTATGTAGACTACTTGCTGGTCGCTGACAGCCAAATTAATTATCGCCCCGGCTTTAAAACCAGGTCACGTTATTTGCTCTGGCCTTTAAAGAAATACACATCTTGTGGAACAATAATGAACCTTCAAATTTAAAGAGACCATTCAACAGTTGCTTCTTCAACAAATGGAGTCAGAAAGAGAGATGGCTGCCTCCCCTGTGCTATTTTGTTACCTGCAAAGGTGAGGTCACGCCCACCACTGGTCACATGTAGAGGAAGTTTGTCCCAGCCCAGGTGGAAACAGGAAGTTCTGACTGGCTGGTCCAGACACCCCCTCTTTATGTCCACTCTAGGAATGTTGTATTTGACTGCTCTGTGTTTCACATCCCACACAGAGAGGCACCAGTCACTAGGTAGAGATGGGAAGTTCTATTTGATCTGAAGGATCCTTGTGGGGCCACCGAGGAGGCTCTCTCCATGGTGGAGCTTTCGATGCGTGATGACGTTGGAGCTCTGGCTGAACGTTTTCCCACAGTCAGGGCACATGTAGGGCTTTTCGCCCGTGTGGATTCTCCGGTGTTTAGTGAGGGACGAGTTGACGTTGAAGCTCTTCCCGCAGTCGGCGCAGACGTAAGGCTTCTCTCCCGTGTGGACTCTGAGGTGCGTCGTCAAGTGGGCCCGTTGGCTGTAGCTCCTCCCGCAGTCCGGGCACTGGTAGGGCTTCTCTCCCGTGTGGATTCTCTGGTGTCTGGCAAGGTTGGAGATGACGGTGAAGCTTTTCCCACAGTCCCCGCAGATGTAAGGGGTCTCCCCCGTGTGGGTGCGCTGGTGTGTGATAAGGTAGGAGCTGGTGGTGAAACTCTTCCCACAGTCGCCACACTTGAAGCGTTTCTCTCGGCGGTACGGGCTCTGCTGGTGCCTGGCCAGGCGAGGCCTTTCGGGGAAACTCTTCCCCCAGTCGGCGCCGACGTAGGGTTTCTCCACTGTGTGGATTCTCTGGTGAGCGATGAGCTTGGAGCTGATGGGGAAGCTTCTGCCGCACTCTGGGCAGACGTAGGGCTTCTCGCCCGTGTGGAGCCTCTGGTGCGTGATGAGGTTTGAGCTGCCGCTGAAGCGCTTCCCGCAGTAGCGGCACTCATAAGGCTTCTCGCCCGTGTGGATTCTCCGGTGTTTGATAAGGTCGGAGCTGACGTTGAAGCTTTTCCCACACTCCAGGCACCGGTAAGGCCTCTCCCCTGTGTGGAGGCGCAGGTGAGTGACCAGGTGAGACCTCTGGCTGCAGCAGCGCCCGCAGTCAGGGCACTGGTACGGCTTCTCTCCCGTGTGGCTCCTCTGGTGGCGCAGAAGGTTCGACACCACGTTGAAGCTTTTCCCGCATTCGTTGCACACGTATGGCTTCTCCCCAGTGTGGATGCGCCGGTGAGTGATGAGGGCCGAGCTGTGGCCAAATTCTTTCCCGCAGTCGGGGCATTTGTAGGGCTTCCCCCCAACGTGGGTCCTCTGGTGGCGGATGAGGTTCGAGAGGAGGCCAAAGCCTCTCCCGCAGTCGGCACAGCGGTGGAGCTTCATGCTCCCGTGAAGTCTCTGGCGGCTAATGAGGTTGGGGGGCCGGGCCTTAAGGATCTTCCCACGCTCCTTGTGGTGGTTGCTGAGCCCCTGGTGGGTTGCACAGTCCCGAGTGCCCCCAAGAACCTCCATATAGGGAGGAGGGCAAGCCCAGCTCTCTCTGAGGAAGCTTTCATCTCGCTTCTCGCGGGACTCCCACTTCTTAGCACCAGAGGACCCCCTCCTTCTACAGGCTCCAGACAAGGCCATGCGAGACCTCACAGTCTCTGGGTACTCTTCCTTGTTTTCACTCTCTGAAAAGAAACCCACATGAATGTGTCATTCACAGATTCCGGAGGATCCTCCGGAAAAAATAATCTCTCAAAGGACCTGTTGATGGCATTTTACCATTGTACTGTTGAGCGTGTATTAACTTATGGTCTCTGTGTGTGGTTTGGGAGCTGCACGGTCAGGGAAAAAACAATGTTGTCCAAGGTTGTAAAGACTGCGGAGAGAATAATTGGGTGCACTCTCCCTACCTTGGATCAAATCTATGCTTCCAGGTGCCATAAGAAAGCTGCAGAGATAGTGCAGGATAGTGCGCTCCCCGGAAATGATCTCTTTCAGCTTTTGCCTTCTGGAAGAAGGTACAGGGTTATAAAGACTAGGACTAGCTGCCTGAGAAACAGTTTCTATTCAAATGTGATTTTGGTTTTAAATGCAGTGTAAGATAGTCTCTATGGGAGTATATTGTATTTAATTATGGGGTATCAGAGTTTTTAGGGGGCTAACCAGGCTGGGGTAGCTGGGATAGCAGGCTTGTTGGTTTCTGAATGTCTGATGTAGATTTTCAATTTTGTTGTTCTGTATGGGACAATGACAATAAAGATTATCATATCATATTGTAAAGCACAAAATGGCTCCCATTACCACAGCGGCCAGAATGGCATGGACTCCAAAGGCCTGATTCTAGAAGTCAGACATGGCAAACCCATGTCCCTCCAGATCTTGCTGGACTCTACAGCTCCCGTCAGCCCCAGCGAGCATGTCTAATAATCAGGAATGATGGGAGTTGTAGTCCAACAGCATCTTGCACAGATGGAGCAGGTAACTTAGCGCTGCGTTAGATGCAAGGCCTTGTTTTGGATGCCTGCTACAAACTCTCTTGTTTTGGCAAGCCCACCCAAACGTGCAGTTTTCACAGAATCACTTGATTCTTACTCCTATCTGGGTAGTTTTATTATGTGTGCTGTTATTTAAGTCTGTTTTATCTTTTTAAAAATGAATATTTTATACTATTCTAGTCGAACGGCATATAAATATTGCAAAATAAGCAAAACAAAACAAAGCCCAAAAGCCTCCAGGAACCCATTGCTTGCTCCATGAGCTCCTGACCTGGGCAAGATGGGATTGGGCAAGGAGAGCTCACAAGGACTGCCTGAGGTTCCCAGCTGTGGTCTCCATCCGAACCATCGCTATCTCTTGGGCTCCTGGCTTCCTCTGAGTACTGGAGATAAAGACCCCAGGCCGTTTCTTCTCCTTCTGGTTGGGCACCCCCAGCAGAACTTGGAGATCCTGTTTTAGATAGACAGAATCTCCTGTCAGGTAAATACCAGAATTCTTTTCTGAGAGGCTGCACGTGAATTCAGCTAAGTCCTTGCATGTGCAGAACAACTTCCTCAAGGAATATATATACCTGACATCTTTTCTCTGCCAGAGCTCCTGTTAAATCCTTCCTGTTTGCCCAGGGATGGAGAACCCGTAGTCCTCCGGTTATGAGTAGACTCCAGTTCCCATCAGCCCCAGCCAGAGTGAGTGGATGTCCACCTCCCATCTTCAACCAAGAAACCACAGACACGTCGCGGACCACCAGAGTGAAACTCACAGATCTCTGGTAGCCTGCGGACCACAGTTTGAGAACCCTTGTCCTAAAGTAAAACTTTCTCTTCCAGTCATTGTGTGCATGTTTCAAAAGGCTGACACACAACGACAACAAAGCCAAACCCCGAAGTTTAAAAATAGCAACTGAAAATGATATTACCTAGCGTGCATTTCTTTATCTCCAAGAAAGGATGTCAAATCTCTGGTGTCCCTTAGATTTGCATCTGACTGCCACATGGGACAAAGTGCAGGCAATCTGTCCTGAGCACTTGAGCTACTTCAGAGGACCGTCATGGCCGGGAGAAACCCAGAACTAAAGAGTTTGAGGGAGGTCCTAGTGCAGCGAAGCCAAGGGTGATGCAGTGGCTCACAGAAAGACAGAAGTAACTGGGGCTTTTTACCTGGGGATGCTGCACAGTCCTCTTCTTCCCCCATTGGAGTATCATTTGTGGGGGATGCTTGCTCAGGGTGAGACAGGTGCACTGTTTTCTCCCCTTCTTCGTCTTCCTCCTCAGGTGTGCCCAGCTCCTAAAACAACAAGGCTCCTAAGCTCACTGCCTGCTGTATTAACAACAGTCACACTAGGATGGCTGCAGGGCGTAGCCTTCCTGTGCCCAGGCCTCTGTCTGTTCCACACTAACACAAATCCTAAACTCCTGTGCCATGAAAAGATGCTAAAAATATAATAATAATAATTTATTATTTATACCCCGCCCATCCGGCTGGGTTTCCCCTGCCACTCTGGGTGGCTTCCAACAGATTAAGAACAGAATAAAACATCAAACATTAAAAACTTCCCAACACAGGGCTGCCTTCAGATGTCTTCTAAAAGTCAGATAGTTGTTTATTTCCTTGACATCTGATGGGAGGGCGTTCCACAGGGCAGGCACCACCACTGAGAAGGCCCTCTGCCTGATTCCCTGTAACCTCACATCCCACAGTGAGGGAACTGCCAGAAGGTCCTCGGAGCTGGACCTCAGTGTCCGGGCTGAACGATGGGGGTGGAGACGCTCCTTCAGGTATACTGGGGACGAGGCCGTTTAGAGCAGGCACCCCCAAACTCGGCCCTTCAGTTGTTTTGGGACTACAATTCCCATCATCCCTGACTACTTGTCCTGTTAGCTAGGGATGGTGGGAGTTGTAGTCCTAAAACAGCTGGAGGGCCGAGTTTGGGCTTTAAAGGTCAACGCCAACACTTTTAATTGTGCTCGGAAATGTACTGGGAGCCAATGTAGGTCTTTCAGGACTGGTGTTATATGGTCTTGGTGGCCACTCCCAGTCACCAGTCTAGCTGCTGCATTCTGGATTAGTTGTAGTTTCCGGGTCACCTTCAAAGGTAGCCCCACGTAGAGCGCATTGCAGTAGTCCAAGCGGGAGATAACCAGAGCATGCACCACTCCGGCAAGACAGTCTGGGGGCAGGTAGGGTCTCAGTCTGCGTACCAGGTGGAGCTGGTAGACAGCTGCCCTGGATACAGAATTGACCTGTGCCTCCATGGACAGCTGTGAGTCCAAAATGACTCCCAGGCTGTGCACCTGGTCCTTCAGGGGCACAGTTAGCCCATTCAGGACCAGGGAGTCCTCCATACCTGCCCATACCTTGTCCCCCCAAAACAGTACTTCTGTCTTGTCAGGATTCAACCTTAATCTGTTAGCTGCCATCCATCCTCCAACCACCTCCAGACACTCACACAGGACCTTCACTGGTTCTGTTTTAAAAGAGATGTAGAGCTGGGTATCATCTGCATATGGCAACATGTCTAAGACCACAACCCTATACTTCAGAAGTGGGGGAACTTTGGTCCTCAATACGTTGTTGGACTCTCATCAACTCTAACCATGCTGGTTGGGGCTGATGGGATTTAAAGGGCCAAAGGCTTCCCACCCCCCCCGTCTACATATTTTCTGAATGAATGAGAAGCACACGAAACTACTACTGCATTCAAACCAACCAACCAACCAACCTAACTAGATTGTGCCCCAGAGGACTGATCAATGTTCCCCTTCATGGTACTCAAATCCCAACTCCTAAGATGCCCACCTTTCTTGCTCCAAGGGCACGATGGCTCAGAAACCTTCTTGAAATTGCCTCTACTAAAATAAATTATTTGAAGATCTCCCCCCCTACCTGAGTTGGTTCTGCTGTAGCCATTCCTTCTTTCAGCAGAATGCACTGGGTTGGGGCAGAAGATGGCAGGCGGATACGTGGCAGACTGTGATGTAAAAGAAAAACAGCAAAAGGGTTCATTTTAAGAAGGGATACTCCCAGGTTCAAGTCCCTGGCATTTCCAGTTTGAAAAGGACCAGGAAGCAGGTGATGGGGGGGGGGGATAGAGGCCTCTGCTGGAGACCTGCTGCCAGACAGAGTGGGCATCACTGCGCCAGCTGCTAGATGAACAAATATTTAGGCAACTTCCCAAGCTCCTTTCCAGCAAGATACCTGAGTGTTTTATAAAGGCCTGTTTCAGGGATGGGGAACCTTAGATCTTGGGGTGCAGTGGGGAATTCTGGACCCCCTCAAGACTCTCCGCAGGCCATACCTGCCCCCTTCTGGCAGGCTCTGCTTTGTAACCTCCTTGAGAGTCTTTGCCCGGCTGGAGTGTGTAATCTTCAAATACAAATATCTGCATTAGGCTGATTGTTAGGGTTAAGAAACTGCAGATCGAATAAAAATAATATTTTATTTATATCCCGCCCTCCCCAGCCGAAGTCGGGCTCAGAGCAGCTAACAATAAAAGTAACACAGCATTTTAAAAGCAATATTCTTAAATCAATTCAAAATCAAATTAATAAATAGCAACCACTGGGCCAGAGTTCTACGAGGGTCACCAAAGGAAGGGGTCAGACTGTGCCTTGACCAAGGGCATTGAGTCTCACTGGGGAAAATATGGGGAACACCACGCAGGTGAACACAGCCTGGTCACACAATCCCAGCCTCGCCTACCTCACAAGGTTGTCGCGAGCATAAAGCAGGGTCGCCTTTACATAGGCCGCCTTCCGTCCCTTTTGAGGAACACGTGGGAAAGGACTACACAAGTGCGCAGGAAACAAAACAAAACAAAACAACTCTCTCGTTTGGCTCTCAGATCATTTACCCATTGTCAGCTGATCTGACATTCCCCAGCAACGTAGCAGGAGGAAAAGGGGACGGAGACCCCGTCCTGCCCCACGCCACAGTTACCTAGAGTGCCCGGCTGTTCCGGAGTTAATCGCTGGCTCCCCTCTTGGGGGCTGAGTCCAGGGAGTAGGTGGGCACACAGTCTCCACTTCGGTCGGGCGCGCAGGAGTGGGCGGAGACCCGAAAGGTTTCTCTCCCTCTGCAGGCGCCGATCAGCAACTGGGCGCCCCAGGCGAAGGGGGCTTTCCCTGGCCAATAATAAAGTCAAAGAAAAAGTCGATTTCCGATCGCAGCGCCCCATGCGACCCCTCGCCGCCCTGCTTCTTCCCCAGCTACTTCCAGCCCCTTCCTGTGCCGGCAGAAAAGCAAACCCCGCTACAACAGTCGCTGCAGCGAGGAAAGAGAGAAAAAGTAGGCAGGCAGGAAGGGGGATCAAAACAAAACAAAACGGCAACCTCTGCGCGGGGTCTGGGGGAGCTGCAAGGCATGTTATATATATAAAACAGATGTCAAATTACCATGCGGGAGGGTGGCGCCACCCGTTTTCTATACACGCAACTGCACGGGGAAAGAAGGCAGGGTTGCGAACTGAGCCGCGTGGAAAACGCCGCAGCCGGGCGCTCCTCTCCTGCAAAGGCGGGGATTCCCCCCAAAATGCAGCTAAGGCTTGTAGAGTAAGGCCGCTACAGCAGCAGGCAATGCAAGGGTAAGGGCACGTGACTTTGTAACGTGGGAATGAGCGCCGTAGTCCTTGGGTGAGGTCACCCCTTGTCAGAACACAGGGGGGCTTCCGAAGTAAAGCAAGCCAGCAACCCCAAATCACACCGTTGTTGCAATGTTCCTCAAATTACGCAGAGCCTGGGCATCTAAATGGGACTGGGAGAGTCGAAGGCAATTTCTTATTTTCCTAAAGTTGCTCCTCCCGCTGCCTTTCCCAATAATCACCATCCTTTAATATCTTTAAAATGTTTTATTGCAAGCGTTCCTCTGAAGTTTTGTTTCAAGTGAAGAGTTTTGCTGTTGAGAACCACCGAGAAACACAATTAAAAAACAGGACTGTAACATTAAAGTGTGAAAAGCCTCTTTTTAAAAAATCTTGAAAATATTCCTTCCTCTGCCCTTATGAGTAAGACTACAGTATGGGCAAATTTCTCCCCAGAACTTGATACAAATTTCTTTTGTGTGCCTTCAGGGTGGAGCAAGACTGGGGACAGTATTTGAATAATCAGTTTGTTGCTCCTATTCCAAGGCACTAAAATCATAGAATCTTAGAGCTGGAAGGGATCCACGGGTCATCTAGTCCAACCCCCCCCCCCCCAATGCAGGAATCTCAGCTAAAGCATCCATGACAGGTGGCTATCCAACCTCTGCTTAAAATCACCTTGACTTCTATGAATCCTGATGTGGTTACATCACAGATAGGGAACCTGTGGCCATTCTGCAAACTGCCCAATTAATGTTTAGCAAATTATGCTCAGAAGCCGCTCATAGGAGCAGTTTTAAAAAGTTATCAATACTTAAAGCACAAGAAAAGCAAGCACATTCCCTAAATACTGTATATTCCTTCCAGTAGCACTTTAGAGACCAACTAAGTTTGTTATTGGTATGAGCTTTCGTGTGCATGCACACTTGGTATCTGAAGAAGTGTGCATGCACACGAAAACTCATACCAATAAGAAACTTAGTTGGTCTCTACGGTGCTACTGGAAGGAATTTTTTAATTTTGTTTCAACTACGGCAGACCAACACGGCTACCTCCCTAAATATAGTATTTTATATCCGCATTAGCAAGCTAAACAAAGCATTCATACTTAAAAATATATACAGTGGGTTAAGAACTTAATTCGTTCCGGAGGTCCGTTCTTAACCTGAAATTGTTCTTAACCTGAAGTACCACTTTAGCTAATGGGGCCTCCTGCTGCCCCATGATTTCTGTTCTCATCCTGAAGCAAAGTTCTTACCCCGAGGTACTATTTCTGGGTTAGCAGAGTCTGTAACCTGAAGCGTCTGTAACCCGAGGTACCACTGTATCCCTAAAGGTATGGAACCTTATGGCTGAGAAAGTTGTTGAAACCAGGTCTCCTATGCTCAAGTCGAACAATATTGCTGGCTTTACAGAGCCATGAGCTGTGGTGCTTGGAACACTCACCGCCAAACATGTTCAGATAGTTGATCTTGGTGGTGGCCTGTCTAAGTAATACATTGGAATGTAGGTAGGAAACATTATTGGCTCCTCAACCAATTGTGTAACAGAAAAACCACACGCTTAGGTATGTATGACACATCTGTCTTTCTGAATCAGAGGCTGCCTACCAGGAGGGTGGGTAGCTTTTGGCCTCAGAGCTCCCCCTCGGGCTGAAAAAGGTTCCCCTTCCCTGGGCTAGACTAGGCTGTGTATTGTTCATTCCGATTTTTTGTAAGTTGCTCTTCATCTTTATCAGGGCAGATTTTTTGTTTAAAAAAGCACTTCTTCACACAGCGCATAGTTAAAACCATGGAACTGGTTCCGGCAGAAGGCAGTGGTGGCCACCAAGTTTTGCAAGAGGCTTGGACAGATTTATGACTTATCAGTGGCTGCTAGCTATGATGTCCCTATGAACTGCTTCCACAGCTGGAGCCAGAAGCCACAAGAGGGAAGAGGAATCGCACTCAGGTCCTGCTTGCAATTGATCAATTCGGTCAGTCGCTTTATGTAACCCAGGGCAACATCCTTACTACAACAGAAACGGAGAGGTGACAAAATTATAAAATCGGGAAGGGTAACCACTTCCCCACCCCTTTCAAATTAAGTCCTTTCTCCAGTGGGTGGAAGATCATTCAGGGGCCAAGGATAGCTCAGTCCGTAGAGCATGAGACTCTTAATCTCAGGTCCTGGGTTTCCACGTTGGACGAAAACACAGGAGCCAACTCCTTGAGGCCGAGGTCCTTTTGGTTCCACCCCAGTTGATACGGCATTGCCGTTCAAATGGTGTTTGCGTGCCATGTCTTGTGATGCGGGCCTACCTGTGCCTCCCCAATCATTTTCCCCAGTTGGCACCCCTGGGCGAAAGATTCCTGCATTGCATGGGGGTTTTGGACCCTCGTGGTCCCTTTCCAACTCTGCAATTCTCCGATTTGCCTCCAGCGGTAAGGATTCCCCAGAACGCACCGAAACCGCTCGTCTTCTAGAACGCGCCCAAAGATCTAGAACGCCGACGGAGATTCTTTTTCAACTCTCGGGGGGGGGGGGGGGGAGACACCTTTTTCCTTTGCGGGAAAACTCGCACGGGCAGGTCGAGAAGAAACATTTTAAGGTCACCGCGGAGGAAACTCGGATGAGAGCAGCAACCAGTCCAGAAGACATAAATATAGATATATTCCAGATAGGATCGATCGATTTATTTATTAAAGAGCGCAAGCTCTTCTTCATCCACCCCATCTTTCATCCACACACTCCAACCCCACCCCCTCGCTGCAAGAGCCACTCGCGATCCCGATCTGGGGGTCCTCGCCCAGCAGAGGGCTCCCCTTCCTGCTGCCAGCCGTCCGAGCTGCGCCCTTCTCTGCCGCCGCCGCCGCTCGGCAGCCCCGCACCGAGAGAGGCGGAGTTTCCTGAGTCAGCCGCCGCTGCACATCCGGATTAAGCTGAAGCGGCGGCTGCTGCTGCTTCTCCTCCTCCTTTACCCCCCCCACCCCACAACACGCAGCAGGGACGACCCCCCCCCCCGGCCGATCTGCAAACTTGCCGGAGCCGCGCTGCAGGTGACCAAAGGCGAGGATCCCCGCGGAGAGGTGAGGGAGGGGCTGCGCGCGGGATCGAGGCCTGGAGGGATTGCCGACTAATTGGCCCTGATCCCTCCTCCCCCCCGCTCATTTTTTTGTTTCATGGTGGGGGGTGGGAGGGAAGGGATGGCGAAGCAAAGCCCTTCTGCCGGTTGAGGGGTGGGGAGCCCTTTAAAGGGGAGGAGGGGGGAGCGATTAAGCCTCGGCCCATTTTGCTGCAGGGGGTGGGTGGGACTGGGAACAAGGGCGAGCGCCAAATTGGCCGCCGGGGGCGGGGGAGGGAGAGAAAAGGAGACTTTATTATTTTTTCCACCTCCTTAGAAGATCAATGGCCAAATCGAATTGGGCTCCTGCGTCCTCCTGCAGTGGAATCGGAGCAAGCAGTTTCCCATCTGTCCCTATAGATTTCGGGGGTTAAGGCCCGGATTTAGTTTTCTGGGTAGCCTCGTAAGCGTGTTGCAGCACGCACAAAAGTTTTAATTTGCAAGCAATCCGGGTTTTCTTTTTTCTTTTTCGTGGTAGCCGAGCGCGTTCAGTTCATCCCCATGCCGAAACTCCTAGCCCTTTCTTGTGGGTTACTTTAATATGGGGGCGGGGGGGGGGGTAAATAAAACAGCGTCCCTGCCCGCTTTTGTACCAGAAGTTACGCCCACCTTTGTCATGTTAAGTATTCTTGCTTGGAATCTAGTCTTCGCAATGCTACTGCTTCCAATAATTATTAGTAATTCTTACAAGATTTTTGAAAAAGAGATTTCTTACATGGCCTTGGGAGTTAAGCTCTCAGGGGCCCTTAGGGTATGAGCACAGCAATTTGAAATCTCAGAAATTAACCAGTATCACATACTGCTGTATTTATGCTTATTGCAATATTATATTTGCACTTGTATGTGTTTTTAAAAGTTGCAGAGAGTGATCCCTGAGATGCTGCAGGATAGCTCACTTCCAACAATAAAGTTCTTATTATTCTATGTTCTGAAGTGGCCAAGTTTGCCTTCTGCTAAAGCGTTAACAGAAGAAATGGGCAAAGTATGAAAACATGCAAACTTTTTTTAAAAAAACCCATTATTGGAAAAAGCCTTATTAGAAGATGAATTGGAAGAACAGAAATGGTATTAGCATTGGGTAAAATATGGAGGCAAATTTCCAGTTATTCTAGTCCAGGATTTCCCAAACTTGGGTCTGCAGTTGTTGTTGGACTATAATTCCCATCATCCCTAACCACTGTTCCTGCTATCTACGGATGATGGGAGTTGTAGTCTACAACAGTTGGAGAGCCAGGTTTAGATGAGCAAGGGCATTAACCCCCTGGATGTTTTTGGGCTTCCAGCTCCTATCTGCCCTAGCCAACCTAGGCCAGGGTTGATGGGAGTTGTAGTTCAGCAACATATGGTGCACGACCAGTTAGCTACTCCTGCTCAACAGTCTAGTATGTTGTGTCAAAATCCACAAAAATGTGCTTGATTATGCCCCAAGCTTTCCTGGATGAGAGCCTGTTTTATCAAATGATGCCTCCGATGTAGTGATTTCTGGTTCATAAATGCTCATGCCTTGCTAAAGCAAACAAATTATGAACAAAGAACTTGCAGCACCTTGGACGATATTATTATAAATAAGGCTTGCACAGATTTCTCCGTTTTTAATCTGCTTTTGAACCCTTGCAGTGTAGGACATAGCACCGTTTGGACTTTATGCCTTGAGTTGCCCTAAATATCTCGAGCTGGACTTCTGAACTGCATAAGGCAGCGTTTGCCAACCTGGCGCCCTCCAGCTGTCTTAGACCACATCTCTCATCAGCTCCAGCCAACTGGGAGTTGTAGTTCAAAACTCCTGAAGGGAGCCAGTTTGGAGGCAGGGTGGAATCTCTTTAACATGAGGCATCACAGTTTCTGGTTTCCCACCCCCTTTTTTAATTTGTGTTTTTATTTTATTTAAAAAAAAAGCATTCCCTCCCAATCTTGGGAGAGCTAAACTGCAACTGGTCTCACACACCCTGTTTGTAGACTCTTTACCTGACTAACCAATAGCAGATTGCACAAGAAATTAGCAATCCAAATAAGTATTGCCGCTGTGCAAATAAACATGCTCTGGATTGGGTAATAGTTTGTGTGTGGCTCTCCAACTCTTTATCTGTTCTTATTTTTTCCTCTGCCTTTTGATATCCCACCCTTTTGTATATATCAAATTAAAATCAGCAAGAGGTCAGCTTTCAAATGTGCTGGGAGAGTTATTATACCCACAGGGAGTTAGAATCCGTCAGCGATATTCATCAGCGAGGTGCTGTTGATGATAAATATTCCTCGTTTCTTCCAAGGGGCTGAGGGTGGAGTTTATGGTCTCTTTTCCCCTTCCACCTCTTCATACCAACCCTAGCTGAGGAGAGTGAGCTCATACTTTGGGTTCCAAGCTGGGGTTCAAGCCTAAATCACGCGCTCTCCAGTTGCTGTGACTGGCCTGGTGCACTGAATGCTAAGCTTGGGTGTGGGAGCTGTGGGTTCAAATCTCTGCTCAGCTGGGAAGCTCCCTGATTGGTTTGGGACGTAGCCAATCACAGCCTGCGTAAGCAGCGGAAGGGAACCTTCTAGACCGGCAATAGGGAACCTGCGGTCTTCTATATCTATCGTTGGGACTCCCAGCAGCCCCTGTCAGGGTGGCCAAGGGTCCAGGGATGATGGGAATTGTAGTCCCCATCAGCACCTGACACACCACAGATTCCCACACACCCCTGTATTAAGAGCAGGCATAGGCAAACTCCGGCCCGCCAGATGTTTTGAGACTACAATTCCCGTCACCCCGACCACTGGTCCTGTTAGCTAGGGATGATGGGAATTGTAGTTCCAAAACATCTGGAGGGCCAGAGTTTGTCTGTGCCTGATTGAGAGGATCAAACCATCCGCTTCCGGGTCTGCAAAACAACAGGGTCCTGTCATGCAGCTAGAAGATTCCTATATATGGCAGGTTTTTTGGGTCCTGAGGGGATGGAGAATGTCAAACTGCACTGACCTTGAACGGGAGAAGGTCCAGAATTTGTGACCCTGAAGGCCCCAATGAGCTTTAAAAATGGAATTTAAAAATTCACATTACCTCTGGAGTTGGAAGGCGAAATAAGCAAGACTTGGGATGGCTTTTATTACTTGAAGAGAGCTGCAGAAATTCCTATGCAAAAGCCTCAGTGCAGAGAATATGAGCAGATTAAAGGTTTAGCCAGACACCGTTTTGGGGAAGAAACTCGGTGGCCCCACCTTTGTGGAATTGGACAGGATTTTCTGAGACCTTTTCCGCTCCCTGTAGAACCACAATCTCCAGGGTTTCTTGTTGGGAGGGGGGGGGCATGGCTGTTGAATTAGTATAAGCCCAGTAGTGTAAACATCCTTAAAGAGCAGTGAAGCCTGTTCTGTATTGAATCTGGCCGCCATGGAAACCAGGAATAGTCCAATGAGATGGATGCCTGCAAAAGGGCTGGAGCTTTGCAAGCGCTTCAACAATGGGGCATGGGCAGTGGGCGGCATTTTAAATGTAGTAGAAATTTTCTCTGGGTATTAAGTGGGGCAGCTTGGTGTTTCCACCCCCTTTCCTGCCCCAATCAGACTCACAAACGGTGCTGCTATGTTGCATTCGGCTACTTAAGGGTTTTTGTTTCTTAAAAAATAAATAAATAATTGAATGTTTTGCACGCTGCGTTTCCCACGGTGGAGCTGAGTTCCAAAAGCCTCCCAAGAAAACAAGCCATTATAATTTAAAAAATAAAACAAAACAGCATCTCCTAATACAGTGGTACCTCGGGTTACATACGCTTCAGGTTACATACGCTTCAGGTTACAGACTCCGCTAACCCAGAAATAGTGCTTCAGGTTAAGAACTTTGCTTCAGGATGAGAACAGAAATCGGGCTCTGGAGGCTCGGCAGCAGCAGGAGGTCCCTTAGCTAAAGTGGTGCTTCAGGTTAAGAACAGTTTCAGGTTAAGTACGGACCCCCGGAACGAATTAAGTACTTAACCTGAGGTACCACTGTACAAGAGAAAGATGCCCTCGTGGAAGCACAGTAAAGGAATCTGAATAGCAAAAACACAAATCCAAGTTGGTCACATTGGGATGTGTGTCGGGAATGCCAATGGAAAGAACGTCCAGTGAACCACCCCAAATGCTTCCTTTACGGGTGAGAGAAAGGAGGAGGTCCTAAAAACAGGCTCTCAGCTTAGGGGGCCAGCAGCCTCTTTTCTCACCCACTGCAGCCAGCTAAGCACCAGGCGAAACGCACCCCACCCCACTGTCTGGGGTTATTGGGCAAGATCCACAGGAACAGGACTCTCTCACCCTGGAGAATGAAACTACAGCGGTATCTCGGGTTACAGATGCTTCAGGTTATAGACTCCGCTAACCCAGAAATATTACCTCAGGTTAAGAACTTTGCTTCAGGATAAGAACAGAAATTGTGCTCCTGTGGCGTGACAGCAGCAGGAAGCCCCATTAGCTAAAGTGGTGCTTCAGATTAAGAACAGTTTCAGGTTAAGAACGGACCTCCAGAACGAATTAAGTACTTAACCCGAGGTACCACTGTATCCCCTTCTCCCTCTGCTGATGCCCCCCCCCCACAGTATTTCGCTTCAGGCTGAGGGAGCCGACGTCTGTCCACAGTTTCAAACATAGCACCCATGCCCCCACCGTCCTTAGAAAACCACTTAATCCTGATTTGATTTGGAGGTGTTCGGTGTGAAGAAACAGTTGCAAAAACTTTTTTTTTCGCAATCTGAATGTTAAATCAGAATCTGTCAAGGTGTATCTTCCTGGCATAAGTTGGGTACAGTGGCTGGTGGCATGTGAAGAGCCTTTCTTGCTGGAAGTTTCCTTCCCTTTGGACGTTTAGAGAAGTTTGAAAAAATCAAAGCCCTGATAGATTGCAATGTGAGACGGGGCCTTTTCTGCAGTGGCACCCTCAGCTGTGAAATTGCCTTTCAGAAGGAAAGGCGGCTAGAGCCACATCCCTCAGCGCTGTATAGACAGGCGGTGAAAACAGCCTTCTTCAGCATGGCTGTTCGATGGTTTGCTTTGCTCCTTTGAAGCCTCGAGGCTTTGATTTTTGTTAAAAGTGTGCGTTTTCCAGTTTAGTTTTTGCTACTTTATGCAAACCTCATTGAGGTTGGAAACTGCTATAAGAAAGCTTAATAAATAAATAAATTGGGTTGTAGCCCATGCTAGCCCTACTCAGAGTAGATCCACTGAACCATCAACTTGCATTAATTAATTCCAGTGGGTCTACTCTGAGTAGGACTCAGTTGGATCCCACTTGTGTGGAGGTTGCGGGGGGGTGGGAGAGATCCCACGGGCCTATGCTGTGTTAGAGACTGGGGGTTTTTTGGCTTCCACTCTTGGAATTCTGGCTGTGGCTGAGTTTGTAGAGCATATTTATACAGATCATAGAATCACAGAATTGTAGAGTTGGAAGGGACCCTGAGGGTCATCCAGTCCAACCCCCTGCGATGCAGGAATCTCAGCGAAAGCATCAATGGCAGATGTGTATGTGTGTTTATTTTTGTAAAGGTCCTACTTCCAGACATTGCAATTAAGGTGTGCCGGAGTACCCATTTGCCAGATTCCAGCTTTTCCATTTGGTGTAAAAACACCTTAATTTGGTCCTTTCCTGGGCCTCTCAGAATAACAGTTGTATGTACGCATATAACACTTCTTATCATGCCTGTGAAAGAAGACAGGGAGTATATTTAAAACCCAGCACACCTGCAGAGGTTGCGACACTGTGTACTGAATCTGGTGGAAAGGGCTTTAACCAGGCTGTCTCCTCTTGTCCATTAACCTGCTGTTGGCTGGTGATTTTATGAGCAAAGAAACCTGTTGCTTCTCCTCCTAATGTTCTCTAAGGCATAGCAGGGGGCCGATGGGGGGAGAGACCTGTGGTCCTCTGAATGGATGCCTTTGGACTCCCAAGTCCAGCCCCCAGCCAGCACGGCCAGCAGTCTGAGATGATGGGAGATGTTGTTCAGTGGTCTCCAGAAGGTCGCAGCTAAGCCACCCCTAAGTAGTAACAGTAAAGGGACCCCTGACCATTAGGTCCAGTCGTGGCCGACTCTGGGGTTGCGGCGCTCATCTCGCTTTATTGGCCGAGGGAGCCAGCGTACAGCTTCCGGGTCATGTGGCCAGCATGACTAAGCCGCTCTGGCGAACCAGAGCAGCGCACGGAAATGCCGTTTACCTTCCCGCCGGAGCGGTACCTATTTATCTACTTGCACTTTGACGTGCTTTCGAACGGCTAGGTTGGCAGGAGCAGGGACTGAGCAACGGGAGCTCACCCTGTCATGGGGATTTGAACCGCCGGCCTTCTGATCGGCAAGTCCTAGGCTGTGTGGTTTCACCCACAGCGCCACCCGCGTCCCCCCCAAGTAGTACATTCCAATAAAATCATAGAATCATAGAGTTGGAAGAGACCACAAGGGCCATCGAGTCTAACCCCCTGCCAAGCAGGAAACACCATCAGAGCACTCCTGACATATGGCTGTCAAGCCTCTGCTTAAAGACCTCCAAAGAAGGAGACTCCACCACACTCCTTGGCAGCAAATTCCACTGTTGAACAGCTCTTACTGTCAGGAAGTTCTTCCTAATGTTTAGGTGGAATCTTCTTTCTTGTAGTTTGGATCCATTGCTCCGTGTCCGCTTCTCTGGAGCAGCAGAAAACAACCTTTCTCCCTCCTCTATGTGACATCCTTTTATATATTTGAACATGGCTATCATATCACCCCTTAACCTCCTCTTCTCCAGGCTAAACATGCCCAGCTCCCTTAGCCGTTCCTCATAAGGCATCGTTTCCAGGCCTTTGACCATTTTGGTTGCTCTCCTCTGGACACGTTCCAGTTTGTCAGTGTCCTTCTTGAACTGTGGTGCCCAGAACTGGACACAGTACTCCAGGTGAGGTCTGACCAGAGCAGAATACAGTGGCACTATTACTTCCCTTGATCTAGATGCTATACTCCTATTGATGCAGCCCAGAATTGCATTGGCTTTTTTAGCTGCCGCGTCACACTGTTGGCTCATGTCAAGTTTGTGGTCAACCAAGACTCCTAGATCCTTTTAACATGTACTGCTCTCAAGCCAGGTGTCCCGCATCTTGTATTTGTGCCTCTCATTTTTTTTGCCCAAGTGCAATACTTTACATTTCTCCCTGTTAAAATTCATCTTGTTTGTTTTTGGAGGCAGATGTTGAATGGGTTTCATTTGTTGTTGGTAGGTGCTGCTGGATTCCTGAGAACTCATTCTGCCATGGAGCCATGGGTGTATCTGGACCCGCGACAGAGGGCACTATATCGAGATGTCATGCAGGAGAGCTACGAGACACTGATGTCTCTTGGTAAGAATCCCATTTACCTTCCGCTTTGTATCGGTTCTCCTCTTCCATTCATACTTGGTTTTGCTCCTCTTTTTTGTGTGTGCACGCTATATTCACTGATAACATTTGCAGGGAAGCGGTGTTCTTTGTTCTGAAAAAAAGGTGAGGGGGGAAGCAGTGTGAATTTCCCAGAAAGGGAGAAAAAAACCCACGAGAGACCCTCAGACTCCTTATTCTTAGATGAGAATGGCCTGAGAGATTCGGAGACTCATAGCAGAGGCAAGATCTCATATGTGCTGTCAGCTGCCCAGAGTGGCTGGGGAAACCCAGCCAGATGGGTGGGGTGTAAATAAAATTATTATTATTATTATTATTATTATCATCATCATCATCATCATTAGGAAGCAGAAATGTACCAGGTTACAGTTTATAGTCACAGTTGCACGCATTTTAAATTCCCGGGGAGCAAATGAAGAACTTGGCTGGGAAAAAGACACACAGCTTTCCCACCTCAAGGAGCAAATGGGGTACAAGCACAACATTTCAGATAGTGAGGTTCCGACAACAGTTTTCTAGGCACCCAGCTCACCGTTTGACAGGAGCTCCTCTCGTCTTGCCTAGGGAACCTCTTGGTTTAGCATTACGGTGGTACCTCGGGTTACAGACGCTTCAGGTTACAGATTCTGCTAACCCAGAAATAGGACCTCAGGTTAAGAAATTTGCTTCAGGATGAGAACAGAAATGGCGCGGCGGCAGCAGGAGGCCCCATTAGCTAAAGTGGTACCTCAGGTTAAGAACAGTTTCAGGTTAAGAACGGACCTCCAGAACGAATTAAGTTCTTAACCCGAGGTACCACTGTACGTGCAACATTCCTCCCTAGGGAATAACATTCCAAATAGGCAGGTCCGAAACCTGTCAAACAGGCCGCATAAGCCCAGACGTGTGTGCTTAGTCCCTGCACAACAACTCTCGCTTGCTTTGATGCAATGTGCTGGACGTGAGGCGTACGAGGGCTTCAGTCAAACCTCTCCCCTGGCTGCTGTGCCCGACTTGAACAGGGAGTTCAAAAGCTACTCTGTGCCGGGGGGGGGGGGAGAGTCCAATTCTCCCCCTCATGCAGTTCTTTCGCTTAATTCCCAGAGTTAATTTTGTTGTTGTTTACTCGTGTCCGACTCTTTGTGACCCACTGGACCAGAGCACGCCAGGCACTCCTGTCTTCCACTGCCTCCCGCAGTTTGGTCAAACTCATGTTTGTAGCTTCGAGAACACTGTCCAACCATCTCATCCTCTGTCGTCCCCTTCTCCTTGTGCCCTCCATGTTTCCCAACATCAGGGTCTTTTCCAGGGAATCTTCTCTTCTCATGAGGTGGCCAAAGTACTGGAGCCTCAGCTTCAGGATCTGTCCTTCCAGTGAGCACTCAGGGCTGATTTCTTTAAGAATGGATAGGTTTGATCTTCTTGCAGTCCATGGGACTCCTGAGTGAAAAATGACCTCCGTAATGACCTCAGAAGGATGGACCTTGGCTCCCCGCGCCCCGAGGCTGGCTTCCATACCTCACCTGTGTAATAAACGTAAATCTGCCCTTATTCCCTTATGGGGGACACAAGAGCCCTTATAGAGTCCTTTGCAGGTTCTCCATCGGTAGGAGAGAATAACTGAGGCCAACCAGAGAATATTGAGAAGCAAAGCAGCTAGTAAGCCTGATCTTTATTGAACTGTTGCAACAGGGTGCCCCCTTCACACGCAGGAGAAGGAGGAGGACCCCAAACAAAGGTGTGCCCGCCCTTATATAGACATTTTAAATTGCCCGCCTTGGAGTCCAAGACCACCCTCCGGATACATCACACCTACATCACAGAAAGGGCGGCCTACAACAGAAATCTGAGTGCTTTGTTTACCTCCTGTCTGGCAGATTACCTCCACAGATGGAGAACCTGCAAAGGACTCTATAAGGGCTCTTGTGTCCCCCATAAGGGAATAAAGGCAGATTTACGTTTATTACACCTGTTCCAGAACACCCAAGACAACCCGTGTCAGGTTTGCAATCCCATACAACACTCATGGAAGATGCTCCATGGATGGTGTGGAAGTATGGATAGGGGTGGGGTGGAGTCGCTCAGCGCCTCGGCTTTTATCCCCCTTCTGGGTCTGCTTGTGCAGAAGCAAGTTCCGCTTTTGTGCAGCTCACTTTTTGTAAGGACCAATTGCACCTGCAGGCCAAGCAAGAAGCTGCTGTGAGATCCGTAGGACTCTTTTAAGATGGATGTTGTCTTGTGTGAAATGTACGGTGCTCCAGTGCTAACATTTGAGAAGACAGAATCCTAGGTAGGAAAAGGCCTGCTCATTAAACTTGGAAACCCTGGCTACACATTCTGTATCATCCATAGGTTTAGGAAACAGGTTTCCAGAATATAATATAATATACAGTGGTACCTCGGGTTAAGAACTTAATTCGTTCTGGAGGTCCGTTCTTAACCTGAAACTGTTCTTAACCTGAAGCACCACTTTAGCTAATGGGGCCTCCTGCTGCTGCCGTGCCGCTGCTGTGCAATTTCTGTTCTCATCCTGAAGCAAAGTACTTAACCCGAGGTCCTGTTTCTGGGTTAGCAGAGTCTGTAACCTGAAGCGTCTGTAACCCGAGGTACCACTGTATTAGCATTATTAGCACCCCACCCATCTGACTGTGTTGCCCCAGCTACTCTGGGCGGCTTCCAACACATATAAAAGCATCATCAAACATTAAACATTAAAAATTTAACTGCACTATCTAAGCCAGCCTTTCTCAAGCTCGGGTCCCCAGATGTTTTTTTTGAAATACAACTCCCATCATCCCTGACTGCTGGCCATTTTGGCTGGGAATGATGGGAGTTGTGGTCCAGCAACATTCAGGAATGCAAGGTTGAGAAAGACTGATCTAAAGGGTTATAACCCAATAAAAATTGAAGAGGCCTCTCTTTCTGTTCAGCATTAAACAAAGCACTTTTTACTCACTTGGCATAACACAGAACCTCTTCACTGGGCATGTAAACTTGGGGAAAAGTACCCTATACTTTCTGCAACCCTTTAAGGAAGCAGCTTTCTCTGGCCATCAAGGCTTCCATAGCACCTGGAACCAATTTGTCTGCTGCTTCCACAACAGTGCTGAGAAATCAAGCGCAGGTTCTTCCTTGAGCTCCTGTTACTATTCTTGCCACTTGACGATCCATCGAGCTTTCTTTTCTAATAAGATACTGGCCATTTAATGCCTTTGTTTCCCAGCTCTTTCCCCCATTTTCTGCCTGTGGATCACCTGCATCCCTGCTGTTATCCACAGAGATCTGGAGACAGTTTGCATTTCCTTTACCTTGGGGGCATGGGGGTCGGAGGGTCCTGCAGGGTAAGAGAAAGGAGCCTGCGTTTGTCTTAAAGAGTCCTTTAAGCACCTTAGCTTAAATGTGCCCCAGGAGATGCTCTTTAAAGACCCCACCCACAAAGAGAGTGAGTGCCCTTTCCAGCCAATAAATTGCCCTTCTCCCTCCCTCAGCTGCCTCCCTGAGAGGAGAGAGGCAGGCTGCTTCAATGGAAGCAAGGAACACAGGGGCTGAGATTCCGGTTTTCTTCTTCCCTGTTCTTCCTGGTGAGTATTTATTTTTTGGAATTGGGTATCCTTTTGCCAGGTGTGTTCTTTAGCAGGTTCCTGTTTTGCCGTCATCTCCTATTTCCTATGCCCACCCTCCTCACTCTTGCCCCTTTTCCCACGCTGCCAGAGTCCCAATTTCCTACAGCCTCGCATGTTTCATCTTCATAAGAAGCTAAGGTGAGCTGTGCTGGATCCCATCTTGTCCAACATCCTGTTCTAACATGGGCCAACCAGATGCTTCCTTTTCTTTTAGTCCCTGGAGGATAGATACCATTTTGGGCCACATTTGCACTGCACCTTCTGGGAGCTGTAGTTTGTGAAGGGTGCTGGGAGCTGTTAAAAGAAACCCCTATTCCCCTCCCAGTGCTATAATTCCCAGAGTGGTTTAGCAGGCAACCCATCCTCCCAGGGAACTCTGGGAATTATCGTTCTGTGAAGAGAATAGTGCCCCCGCAACAACTCTCGGCACCCTTAGCAAACTACAGTTCCTGGAATCATTGGGGTGGGGGGAGCCACACCTGTTTAAAGCAGTATTATAGTGCTTTAAATATATGGAGCGACTGTGGCTTTAATTACCCTCCCATGGACTTTTGTGCTATCTCAGAAGGCCTTCTCGGTAGTGGCGCCCGCCCTGTGGAACGCCCTCCCACCAGATGTCAAAGAGAACAACAACTACCAAACATTGAGAAGACATCTGAAGGCAGCCCTGTTTAGGGAAGCTTTTAATGTTTGATGGATTACTGCATTTTAATATTTGGTTGGAAGCCGCCCAGAGTGGCTGGGGAAGCCCAGCCAGATGGGCGGGGTATAAATAATAAATTATTATTAATTATTATTATTATTATCTCTTTCACCCCATTTCTTCCTACACCCTAAAGCTCCTTTCTTGGTCACCTTGACCCTACTCAGTCCCCTTCGCTTTTGCTTTTCATGTGCTGCAAGATTCCTGTCTCTTCTGAGTCCCCTGCCCTTATATTTGTCCAGAGTTCCAGAACTACTCTATGCCAGTCTTTGCATCCCAGACATTTTGTGTGTGGAGTTTGTGTGTCTGTTCCTTGATGCAGATCAGCTGTGGGCTGCTTTTGGCCCTCCAGATGTTGCTCAACTACAACTCCCACTACGCTTGGCCTGAGTCAGGTTTGCTGGGGCTGATGGGAGTTGTAGTTGAGCAACATCTGGCGGGCCAACGCTTCCCCCACAACTGATAGTGATGGTTGATGGTGATGATTCTGTTTTTAATGCAGTGGGACGGGGAAAGATGTTCTGCATACATTTTGCAAACCGCTCTCAGGTTTTTTTTAACCATCATATAGACCTGAAATGAGATAAATAAAATTACTATTATATGGCACAGCTATAGCACTTCCTATGTTGGAGAGCTCTGGACTTAACCACCTTTTCTGTTTTCTTATCACATATGCCCATCCCTTTCTTCCTGTTGTTATTAAAGGACCTGTAATGCAAAAATAAAAAAAATACTTTGCCTGCAGCTTTTTAAAATAGACATTTGGGAAGAAAAGTAATTAAAGTAGAAGTAACCCTTTGTTACACTCCCCCCACAGTCACCCTGACTTTTTAGTGTTAAGCTTGAGTTTGTATCCTGTTTTAATTTCTTACATTTATATATCACAGTCTCCTCCAAGGAGCTTGGAAGTGGCCTATGTTATTCTCTTTCTTCTTGTTTTCTCCTTACAACAACCCTGTGAGATAGGTTAGGGAGGGGGAGGGAGAGAGAGATTGGCCAGCGGTTACGCCATTGAGCTTCATGGATGAATGGGGATTTGAACCCTGTTCTCCCAAAGTCCTAGTCCACGACACCTAACAACCTGCACTCCCCCCCAAGCGGCTTACTAATCCAGCCTTTCTAAACTTTGGGTCCCTGGACATTGTTGGACTACAGCTCCCATCATTCCCAGCCAGCATGGCCATTGGTCAGGGATGATGGGAGTTGTAGTTAAAAACATCTGGGGATCCAAGGTCATGAAATATAAGATAATGCAAAGGCTAAAGACATCTCCACCCCCCCCTGCTGTTTTTTAAAATTGTAGCAGTCAGAATTTCATGTGTTTACCTGTAAAATTGGGTAGCAATAAAGGGAACTAATTGCCCATGTAAACTGCTAATGGGTTAGAGTTGATTGATGCTTTACAACTAAGGTGTGACTTGGCTGATTTTACAGTCGCTATGTTAATGCTTGTACTGCATTCCTTTGTGGCAACTTCTGGATAGCTTATTCTCTAAATCGCAGGGTTCAAGGCTCCCATTGGACAAAAGATTCCTGCATTTCAGGGGGCTGGAATAGATGACCCTCGGGGACCCTTCCAACTGTACAGTTATTTTTTTAAAAAAAATAATTATGCTTTTCAGGTTTATACATTTCACTAATTTTACAATCATATTAACATTTCAGAGCTTGACTTCCTTCTCCCTCTTTCTGCGGTTCCTTAAATTTATTTTTAACATATTCTGCCTACCTATCCAAACTAACTTAATTTGCTCATTTATGTGGGGTGTAATCCTCAAGATTCCCACAATTTATTCATCTACTTTAAAAACCTACTCTTATTATAAAACAGCAGGTTATAACAATAATCCGGCCAATCATCTTATCTGTTTACAAATTAGCTGTAAATATTCAAGAAACCATTTCCGTTCTTTTATATAAAAAAAAGTTATCTTGATTTCTTATTCTTCCAGTATCCAACTGTACAGTTCTACAATTCTACGGAGGGGGTGTTGCTACATTTCATGTGCAATCAATAGGTGTTACTATTATATAAATTCACACGTTATGGCCTTCTTAAGTTGGTTGCCTTGTTTTCCAGCTGCAGACAAGTTGCTGAACAGCAACAACAATGAAGAGGAGGAAGAGGAGGAGGACGATGAAGAGGAGGAGGACGAAGGGCCCGAGGAGCTGCGGCCAGGCACATCTCAAAGCACCCCCAGGCGAGTCAAGCCCGTGGTGCGCCGCGCACCGCCCAAGCAGCCGCCACCACCACCGCCACCTCCCCCCAAGATCATTCCGGTGGTGAAGAAGGACAAAGCGACTCAACGAGGGCATGCGCTGAAGAAGAGCCTGGAGAGCCGCTGCTCGGACTGCACGAGGAGCCTGCATGCGCCGCCCCGGGGCCGCCAGCGGAGCGAGGCCAACGCGGCGCGGGAGAAGCCCTTCCAGTGCTCGGACTGCGGCAAGAGCTTCATCTGGAGCTCCCACCTGGAGCGCCACCGCCGGATGCACACGGGTGAGAAGCCCTTCAAGTGCCTCAACTGCGGCGAGGCCTACAGCCAGAACTTCCACCTGCTGCAGCACCGCTGCTCGCAGCTGATCGAGAAGCCCTTCAAGTGCCCCGAGTGCGGGAAGCGCTTTGCCCAGAGCTCGGCCCTGGAGAACCACCGCAAGGGCCACACGGCCGAGAAGCCCCACAAGTGCGCCGACTGCGGCAAGTGCTTCATCTGGGCCTCCCACCTGGAGCGGCACCGGCGGGTCCACACGGGCGAGCGGCCCTTCAAGTGCCCTGAGTGCGGGGAGACCTACAGCCAGAGTGCCCACCTGGCAAAGCACCGGCGCAACCACATGGGCGAGCGGCCCTACAACTGCCCAGCCTGCTGGCGCAGCTACGCGCTCATCTCGGAGCTGGAGGAGCACAAGAAGACCCACCTGGGCTGCGAGGACTGCGGCAAGGTGTACCGCAGCCGCCAGACGCTGATGCGCCACCAGAGGGGCCACCACCGCGAGCGCACGCACCTGTGCGAGGAGTGCGGCAAGGGCTTCGTGTGGGCCTCCCACCTGGAGCGCCACCGCCGCGTCCACACGGGCGAGCGGCCCTTCCCCTGCCCCACCTGCGGGGAGAAGTTCGCCCAGAAGGTGCACCTGCTCCAGCACAACAAGACGCACTCGCACGCGCGGCCCTACAAGTGCGGCGACTGCGACAAGCGCTTTGGCGACAGCTCGGCCTTCCTGGCGCACCAGCGGGGCCACGCCATGGAGAAGAACCACAAGTGCCAGTACTGCGGGAAGAGCTTCGCCTGGAGCTCCCACCTGGAGCGGCACCAGCGCATCCACACGGGCGAGAAGCCCTACAAGTGCCCCGACTGCCCGGAGCACTTCAGCCAGACCTCGCAGCTCTTCAAGCACCAGCGCAGCCACCTGGGCAAGAGGCCCTACAAGTGCAGCGAGTGCGGGAGGAGCTTCGGCACCACCCTGGAGGTCATCATCCACCAGCGGACCCACTTCGGGACCAAGCCCTACCGCTGCTCCAACTGTGGGAAGGGGTTCACGCGGCGAGCCAACCTGCTGAAGCACCAGCGGAGCCACGCGAAGGAAAGCCCCTAAAATAAAATTTAAAAAAATGGAAGAGGGGGCGCGAGAGAAGCGGGGAAGGGGGGGGGAGAGACGGGAGACGCGCGCCCTCTCCCTCACGTTACCAAACGAGTCTAGAATCCACACAAGGAAGAGGAATCCTTTTTGTACATTCTGCTTAACGGGGGAAAGCTACGGCGCAGCTCTTGCGGTGACCCCGGCGGATCTGCACGGGGTTGAGGAATTATTTCAGGGGTTAGGGTGGGGTGGGGGAAAGATAGCAATGGAAAAGAAACACGCGGCTGCAGCATATAAGCGAAGAGATTGTAGACACACACACCTCGATAGCGGGGCGGGGGGAAAAGAGGTTCTTGGAAAAGAAGGCCTATTGAGGTGAAAACCTAGTAACCATGTCCACTGGGGAGTTTTGATCCTGATTTAGAATCCGTATGGGTGTCTCGCTCACCTTTTTTGTTTTGACACTGTGTACGTATAAATATAACCCATGTTTTGGGAAACGAAAAGCTTTACTTGACTCTTCCTCGCCCTGTATTGTATCCGACTCCCCTCTCCCCGCCCCTCCAGCCCTGTTAGAAGAGCGCTGATGGATCAGATCGGAGGCCAATATAGGATTGTGCGTCCTGTCCTCCTAGCTGCCGTTCAGATGCCTATGGAAAGCCAGCAAGCAGAACCCGGGTGCAGCAATCACTTGTGATTTCCAGCAACTAGAGGGGTTTTTTGTGTTTTTGTTTGCCTCCGACAGTTGAGGGGGGAACATTGCTCTCACGGCTAGTAGCTGCTGCTAGCCTTATCTTCCATGAATTTGTCTAATCCTCTCTTACAGCTGCTTCCCCCATGGGTAACTTTGAACTCTGGATAACAAAGCTTTAACATGCTGAGGACTGACCTCCAGACCTTAGATGCCTAACTGAGAAGGACTCAGACTTCACTAGATGCTAGGGAATCCACCTGGGTAACAGGGAGGGCCATGAAACTTTGGTAAGCCTCTTGAATGTGGAGGAAAAGCTTTATTGACTTATTCAACACAAATAATCTAAACATTTTTGGGGGGTGGGTGGGTAGGGGGAGCATGAACTATGCCTTGAGCAGCGCTCCCACCCAAGTAGCCGGTGCATTGGAACCTAAATGGCCACTGAGGGTCAGATTGCAGCATTTAGCTAGAGAAGCTCAAATTGGTTTTGCTTGGATCTCGGAATCTCTCCTGCTCAATTTCTGCTTTCCAAAGCTGCTGATGGCACCCTCCCGACCCAGGAATCCCTGGAGGGTTTCGTTTCCTGAAGTCTAAAGGAAAAGCAGAGAGGATTGAGACCCCATTAGAAAGTGGGAGCTTATGTGCCGCTATTCAGCTAGATGGTCCCCTTCTTTGAGCTCTTGTCTTTTGGGGTTCTTAATAGTTTGGCCACAAATGTGAAGCACGTGTGCGAAATCTGCTCACTGAGGTATTGGTGAGAAAGCCCATCTCTTCAGTTTAGGGAAGAGGATACAACATAAGTGTGCAACTTACTGAGGGGAAGAAAACCGTAAAACACTCAAGGAGGGTTCAGCTTTGGGCCTGGAAGCATGCTGGGGTAGTGTATTGTTGATGGATAAGATTCAGAATAGGAGTTCAAAGGCTCAAGGTCTCTTTATTTTTATTTTTTTGAAGGGGCAGAGGGTAGCTGGCTGTAGGCATCAGCCTGTCTTAAAACATAAAATCCAGATTTCTAGGAGGGTGGATCTTGGGTCCAGAAAGCCCAACAAATAGGCATCTTGGAGTTTTCCTATCCTGGTTTGGCAGTAGGATTGATGTACACACACACATACATGCAATGATAAAGAAGTTGAGCCTTTGGGTGGTGTGATGGATGCATGAGAAACTAAAGAAGCAGAATTTATAATCTGGAAAAGAGGCAGAGGAGGAATGTGGAGCTCTCAGTGGGAGAAAAGGGAAATGTTACCTTGCCATGCAAGGTTAACGCCTCAGAACTTACTACCGTAACACATCATGGCTCCACCTGCACCTTACATTTAAAGCAGCCATTATTATTATTTTTTTAGTATTCATATTTTCCTGAAAACGTTTCAATTATAAAGAAAGCGATGCAAAGGAAAAATAATAATTAAGACACTGCTTTAAGCAGTTGTGGCTTCCCCTCAAAGAATCCTTGGGGTTGGTAGTTTAAGGCTGCTGAGAGTTGTGAAGAAGACTCTCCTATTCCCCTCCCAGAACTACAATTCCCTAGAGGGGTTTAGCAATCTAACCCTCTTCCCGGGGAACTCTGGGAATAGTAGCTCTCTGAGAAGAGAAGGCTTTCCTAACAACTTCCAGTGCCCTTAACAAACTACTGTTCGTAGGATTCTTTTTGTGGGAGGCCATGACTGTTTAAAGTGGTGTGATACGACCTTAAACATATGTAGTGCAGATGAGGCCCTAGACAGAAGTTGGGGAGAACTGAGAGCGAAAAGGCCTTGCCTCTCCGCTGTGGCGAGGACAGGCGAGCTGTTACTACTGACTGAGAGCAGCGCATCTTTGCTCCAGGGAGGGGCGACTGTAGATTTTGGCCACCTGCCATGGGTACTTTGCTTGAGCTTCCTGTGCTGCAGCGGGTTGAGCTAGATGACCCTCAGGGGTCCTTTCTGGCTCTGCAATTCTGTGGCAATCTCTCCTGTCACCTACCTCGGAATCTCGCTCGGGAGGACTGACTGAAGAAGAGCCCTGTTTCTCGCACCCCATTCTTCCTCAGCCCTGTTGGGACGGAGAGGCCTGCGAAGGAACAGAAAGCCTTGCTTGTCACGGGAGGCCTTTGCGCTGCAACAAGAGACACACCCCAAAGAGGCATGGCGCCACAACACCCTCTTAACCATGCAAGTGGGTGGACGGATGAGGCCTGGACTCTGGATTTCCCTCTGCTTCTGCCTCCGGCTTAACCTCCCCCCCGTTGTTCTGCCCCTTCTTCCAAGCTTTATTTACTTTATTGCATTTGGGGCGGGGGGCAAGGGGAGTCTGTTTGCCTCAATGTACTTCTGTTTATTTTTCTCCCCCCCCTTTTTTTGTTCTCATCCAAAGCAAGCGTCTCTTATGTTTTAGGGTCCTGTCCCCTCGACTGACTTATTAAAAGGGGGAGTTTCTAAGCTCTGACTTCTTTGTTGTTGGTTAGGAGTAATAAAGATTGAAAACGTAGCTCACGCAAGTGTGGCGTGTCTGGTGTTTTGTTACAGCCCTGTTGGTTTACAGAAGGCGGCGTTGGCGCTCTTCCTTTCGCTGAGCTCAGGGCATTGGTGCAAATGCGAGGCCTGGGATCCACTAGTAAGCACAACGGGTGGTGCTGTGGTCTAAACCACTTGCCGATTGGAAGGTCGGCGGTTTGAATCCCCGCGATGGGGTGAGCTCTGGTTGCTCGGTCCCTGCTCCTGCCAACCTAGCAGTTCAAAAGCACACCAGTGCAAGTAGATAAATAGGTACTGTTGCAGTGGGAAGGTAAACGGTGTTTCCGTGAGCTCTGGCTTCCGTCACTGTGTCCCATTTCACCAGAAGCCGTTTAGTCATTCTGGTCACATGACCCAGAAAGCTGTCTGTGGACAAACGCCGGCTACCTTGGCCTGAAATTGAGATGAGCGCTGCAACCCCATAGTTGCCTTTTGACTGGACTTAACCGTTCAGGGGTCCTTTACCTTTTTTTACCTATACAGTGGTACCTCGGGTTACATACACTTCAGGTTACATACGCTTCAGGTTACAGACTCCGCTAACCCAGAAATAGTGCTTCAGCTTAAGAACTTTGCTTCAGGATAAGAACAGAAATCATGCTCCAGTGGTGCGGCGGCAGCAGGAGGCCCCATTAGCTAAAGTGCTTCAGGTTAAGAACGGACCTCCGGAACGAATTAAGTACTTAACCCGAGGTACCACTGTATAATAAAATGTATACCATAAGGTGCCAGGGTGGGTTACTATAATAGGTTATATACAGTTAGGGGGGAAAGACGACCATTCTCATTCCCTCCAAAGTAAGGGAAGCACAACGGCCGTATCAATAAATGGTAAGAAACTGAGTGCATCTGAAAATGCAGGTTTGGGCTGAAGACGAGTCCTCGGTTGAAGAGTGCTGACCTTAAACAGTTGCTCCCAAACTGGTCTGCCAGCTTCATTCTGGTGGTCCTTCGCATATCTGGTTGAAGACCAGCTGCAGCACATCCGTCGCATTAAATACTCATTTTAATTGCCTCTTTTATCTGTTGTATTGTGTGGTCTGAATTCAATGGGGTACAACAGATGAGAAACCCAACTCCTAGGGGCCAAGGTCCCCTCATCATGTCCCCCCAGTAAAATATTTGAGGGGGCCGGCCCCTCCAAAGTTGATGGGCATTGCAATTTAAACGGTGTGTACATTGGGTCATATGATCAGTTATGTGAAACGGGGCTTACCTGCCCCCCCCCCCAGTATTTTATTCAAGTTGGCACTCCTGAAAGAAGCAATTAAAAATATAGCACTTCCAATTGCTTAACAGCAAAATGACAGGGTCTCCACCTGTATCAGGCTGCTGAAGTGAAGAAAGCAAGCAAGCTGGGCTTCTCTGTAGTAGAATGTGCTCAGAGGCATTCTTTTCATTCATAGTAACTCTTCCCCTTTCCTGCCTGGCTGTGTCCATTACCCAAAGGTCTACATATCAAAGTAAATCAAGACGCTCAGAGTCTGCCCACTCGTAAGGGGTTAATGGAGGGATGGGGGATGTGGTCCTCCAGATGTTGAACTTCCAACTCCTATCAACCCCAGCCAGCAGGATTGGTGGTCAAGATGGTTGTGTAGAATAGCTACATCTGGAGGGGAACAGGTCTCCCACTAGCAATAAGCTCAAGGGGATGCTCATCATCTGCTTTTGCAAAAGGCAGCTGATTGGGGGCAGGAAAGAGGTCTATAGGATCAGATGGGCAGGAACTGTCTGAATGGGTGTTATGCATCACTCACTAGACCTTAAGAAACCTTGGGTGAGTTGCATTTCATGGACTTGCATGGGCGTAAGGGTCAGACCGGTGTAGATTAAATTATTATTATTATTAGATTGAATCTTTAAAATCATAGAATCATAGAGTTGGAAGAGACCACAAGGGCCATCGAGTCCAACCCCCTGCCAAGCAGGAAACACCTTCAGAGCACTCCTGACATATGGTTGTCAAGCCTCTGCTTAAAGACCTCCAAAGAAGGAGACTCCACCACACTCCTTGGCAGCAAATTCCACTGTCAAACAGCTCTTACTGTCAGGAAGTTCTTCCTAATGTTTAGGTGGAATCTTCTTTCTTGTAGTTTGGATCCATTGCTCCGTGTCTGCTTCTCTGGAGCAGCAGAAAACAACCTTTCTCCCTCCTCTATGTGACATCCTTTTATATATTTGAACATGGCTATCATATCACCCCTTAACCTCCTCTTCTCCAGGCTAAACATGCCCAGCTCCCTTAGCCGTTCCTCATAAGGCATCGTTTCCAGGCCTTATGGCTGTTCTGTTTCAGCTACCTGCAATCAAAATCCTGCAAATCAAGCAACGTTGGCATACAAACACGTTTATTCTGCTTTCAAGGTTCAGAATTAAAACAATTGTTCGTAAGGGGAAGAACCGAAAAAGATGGCTGGAAGGACATGGAACAGAGAAAAAGGGAAGATTCAAACAGGAAGGGAGAGGCAGCTGGTGGAAAGTTATAGCCCAGGCTGTGCTTACAAAAAAGAATAAATATTAAAGTGAGATGTATTTAAAGTTTTGCATGAAGGTCATCCAAACTCTTGCCAAGAACAGCTAGATTCTGTGACCTGTGTAAAGTATGCATGTTAGGGCCATCACATTAGCTGATTTGGGTTGCGATCCAATGCACGTTTACCTGCGAGTAAGTTCCCATTGATGTAAATGAGGTATACTTTTGAGAAGACACGCTTAAAATTACACATTTGCTGGACAATTCACATTATTTTATTACAGGTTTATCCCACCTCTCCAAGAAACACAAGGTTCTCCCCCATTTTAGCTTCACAATGATCCTGTAAGGTAGGCTGAGAGAAAGCGACTGGCCCAAGGTCAGTGAACTTCATGCCCGAGTGGGGATCTGAACCCTGGTCTCTCGGGTCCAAGTCCGACACGAACCATTACACCACACTGGCACTCTAAAAAAAATATTTTTTTTCCCCAAACAGTGTCCTGATAATAAATCAGCAGGTGGTGGTTGTTGTTGTTTTAAAAAAAACACTTTTAAAAACACAAATCATTGTTGAAACTGCAGGTGACAAGAACAGGTAGCAGAGGCACTTTCCTCCTGAGTGACAGCAAACCTCTTCCTAGTTGATGGCTGCTTTGTGTGAGAGATCTAAAAACAAAGTTTATGTTTATCTTTTCTCTCAGCTAATCATTCCTTTAACTTGCTGCTCCCAATTAAAATCCGGAATAGGGGACCTGTGCTTCTCCAGCTGTTGTTGAACTCCCAACAACTTATTTTTTAAATATTGTGTGTTGTTATTCCTGTAAGTTGCTTCAGGACTCCTTTTGTGTGACGCGGTAAATAAATAATAATAATAATAATAATAATAATAATAATAATAATTTATTTATACCCCACCCATTCTGGGCAGCTTCCAACAAAACACTAAAATACAATAATCTATTAAACACTAAAAGCTTCCCTAAACAGGGCTGCCTTTACAAGTCTTCTAAAAGTTTGGTAGTTATTTTTCTCTTTGACATGGAACTGATTTTGAATTGCTGGTTTTGAACTGGCGCCAGTCATCACAGTCAATGGTCAGGAGTGATGGGAGATGGAACACCATTTGTAGTGTCACAAGCTTCTTCCTGTTCTACACAATATTCAGTTTCTGCTTTTTGTGGGCAGCAGCAATGGAACGGGCGTTGTACAACCCTCCAGCTTCACCCTCCGACCCCTGGAAAACTTGTCGCTTGCAAAGATGCCCACTTCTGTCTCATCGCTGCACAGCACGAGGACTAGAACGTTGGCTTGCTTTTAAATGAAAGCTGAATTTATGAGGCGGGATTTCTACACCTAAACCAAACCTTTTGCAGCGGTGCTGAATATACACACAGCATCGTTGGAACACCTGGGGCTCCACCCCATGCTTTCACCTACTCCCTGTTCTCAGATTTCCAAATTACATACTTCTCCGACACCACTAGGGCTGAACAACAAGAAAACAAAAATGCTCTTAAAAAAAATAATAGTGCTTCTCAGCATGCAACGCGCAGACACACTGCTCTGGGTAATTTCTTTTAACCACTCACGCAAAACCTTTGTGTGTATATCCATTTGCAGGCATCATTCCACATATAGTGGGACCTCGGATTACAGACGCTTCAGGTTACAGACTCCGCTAACCCAGAAATAGTACCTCGGGTTAAGAACTTTGCTTCAGGATGAGAACAGAAATTGCTCAGCGGCAGCGGGAGGCCCCATTAGCTAAAATGGTACCTCAGGTTAAGAACAGTTTCAGGTTACTGGAGTAAATATATGAACTATTTGAAAAGTAATTGTGATGAACAGATTACGCTAGTAGGATTGCAAGAAGTTTTGTAAAGTGGATTATTTGAAATACGGCAAGAAAGACTATGAAGAGAATTATTAGTTAAGGATAACTAAATGTAATATAGAAATTAAGAAATGCAGAATAAGTGATAAAGAACGGAAAATCATCAGAGGTGTTGACGGAAGTCTAAAATATTGTATAAGATGAGAAGATATGCTGTATGTTGGAACTGATATGTATGTATGTGTATATGTGTGTGTGTGTGTGTGTGTGTGTGTGTGTGTGTGTACAGTTTCAGGTTAAGAATGGACCTCCAGAACGAATTGTTCTTAACCCGAGGTACCACTGTATTTCAAAACCGAATCAAACTTTGGGGGAAGCCGTGACTGTTTAAAGTGACATCATAGTGCTTTCAAGGTATGGAAAGGTAAGGAGCACATGTCCCTTTGATGGGTCCCTCCCTCAGTGGTACAACCCAGTTAGCAGTACAGTGGTACCTTGGTTCTCAAACGCCTTGGTACTCAAACCTCTTGGTTCCCAAACACCGAAAACCCTGAAGTAAGTGTTCCGGTTTTTGAACATTTTTTGGAAGCCAAACGCCCAATGTGGCTGTTGGCTATTGTTTCTAGGGCGCCTGCACCAATCAGAAGCTGCGCCTTGGTTTTCGAACATTTTGGAAGTCAAATGGACTTCCGGAATGAATTAAGTTTGGCACTTTTGTTTTAGCTATTTGTTTTGCTTTTTTGTTTTTGAGGCTTTTTCGGTTAATTTGTTTTTGTGACTATGTGGAACCCAGTTCAGCTTACTGATTATGTGGCTGCGGAAATGGATAAAAGCCCCCCATCCAAACAATGGCTATCATCAGTGCAGGTAAGGAATTTAAAAAAATATTTTTTTTTATCATCTGCAACACTTATTTATTTTATAATACAGTACATTGATTATTGCTTTCATTTTATGGATCAATGGTCTCGTTAGAGAGTAAAATTCATGTTAAACTGCTGTTTTAGGGGTTGTTTTTAAAAGTCTGGAATGGATTAATCCATTTTGCATTTCTATGGGAAAGTGCACCTTGGTTTTGGAAAGCTTTAGTTTTGGAACGGATTTCCAGAATGGATTAAGTTTGAGAACCAAGGGACCACTGTACTCCTATTTTTTCTTTGCTTGTGTCCTCTTGGATCTTCTTCATTCTAGGGTGCCAGTGGTTTCATCTGTGGAGGGAGAGGGTCGTTCTGAAAGTTGGACATGACATGTTTCCAGCCTCTGCCACACTCTGTGACACAGCTGAGTCCAATGAGACCCCCTTGGCAACCAGAACCTGAACTTGCAATACGAACAATTCAGTGGGTCCCACTTCCTTCCTCGTGTCACGCAACTTTGGCTCTCAGCCCAACTTCAGCTCTTTAACTAGGGGTAAGGGACTTTAGCCAAGCCACACCCACCTGCCAATCACCAGGTGTCATATATGACATCACATGCAGGCACATAAAAAGACAGTTGGGTAGGGCCACAAACGGCTTCCGAAGCCGCAAAGATCATTTGGTTGGCAGTACCTCAAAGCACAGCACAGGGTCCCTTGCAGAGCTCTGTGTGGTGCTTTGACGTGCCAACAATCAACTGAGTGCTGGGCCTTCAAAGCACAGCATCCCGTGATGTGGGCCCTGCTCACCCGTCGAATTTGGCCCATGGAGTTGTGAGGAGGCAAGGCAGATACGGACCTGTCTTTCAAGCCAGCTACAGTTGGTTTACTGGGTAAGGGGGAAGTGTTTAAGTGTTTCTGTGTGTGAACAGCAGAAGGGGAAGCAAATGGGAATGAGATTTGCACAGCATCGATCAAGGGGGGTTAGTAGTGGGCATGTGAGCAACTGGCTGAGTCCAGCTTCTGGCAGGGGCTGTCAAACTCTCGGCCTCTTGCCCCAAACCGTTTCCCCCTATGGTCCTCCATGCATCACCAGCAGATTTGGCCACCCACGGGAAAGGGCCAACGGGATCTAGTGGAGACGACCAGACTTCCTGCTGCTCCAGCGGGACCCTCCTTTCGCCGTCCCCTTCCCACCATTCGGGCACGGCCATTGCCAGAGATGCATCGTCTTGGTTGCTCTGCGGCGGGCATTGGTCTTCGGAGACCACGTGAGCACGCTGGTGCCGGTTACGGTGGGAGCTGCGGCCGAAGCACTTCCCGCAGTAGGCGCACGGAAAGGGCTTCTCTCCGGTGTGCGAGAGCCGGTGGCGGTCGAAGTGCGAGCTCCAAGCAAAGCCCTTGCCGCAGACATCGCACTGGTAGGGCTTCTCTCCGCGGTGCAACCGGCGGTGACGTTCAAGCACCGCCGCGCTGCTGAACCCTTTCCGGCATTCGGGGCAGCGGTGAGGCTTGGACTTGGCGTCGTGGAGGCGCCGGTGGGTGGCCAGTGTGGCACCGACGGCAAAGGTCTTGCCGCACTCCCCGCAGCCGTGGGGCCGGGCCCCGGTGTGGATGCGCCGGTGCCTCTCCAAGTGGGAGCCCACCGTGAACCCCCGGCCGCAGTCCCCGCACTCGTAGGGCTTCTCCCCAGTGTGGATACGCCGGTGCCGCTCCAAGTGCGAGCTCCACCCGAAGCTTTTGTCGCAGTCGGGACACTGGTGAGGTTTCCCGCCAGTGTGGCTGAGCTGGTGTTTGGCCAGAGAGGCAGGGTCCCGGAAGCTGCGGGCGCACTCTGGGCAGGAGTGCGGCCTGCTGTTGCTGTGGGCGCGTTGGTGCTTGAGGAGGGCGGAACACCAGCTAAACCGCCGCCCACATTCCGGGCACTGGTAGGGCTTTTCCCCTGTGTGGACACGCTGGTGTTTGAGCAGATTGGAGCTCTGGCTGAAGCGTTTCCCACAGACGGCGCACGGATAGGGCCGCGCCTCGGCCTCAGCCTCCTGTTCCTCCGCCGCCTCTGCATCCTCGTGCTCCAGAGGGGTCTGGGTGGCTTTGTGCTTGAAGCGCTGAGGCTGAGTGATGTGGTTGACCCGCTTGCCGCAATCCGCGCATTTTGAGGGCGGCGCCTCCTCGGGCAGAGCCGCCCCGGCGTGCGTTCGCCTGTGGCGATCCAGGTGCGAGCTCCAGGCGAACGCCCGCCCGCACTCGGGACACTTGTAGGGCTTCTCGCCGGTGTGGATCCGCCGGTGCCTCTCCAGGTGGGAGCTCCAGGCGAAGCTCTTCCCGCAGTCGGCGCACTCGTGGGGCTTCTCTCCGGCGTGGCTCTTGCGGTGCCGCTCCAGGGCCGCCGGCTCGCTGAAGCACTTCCCGCACTCGGGGCAGCGGTTGGGCTTCTCTCCCCCCGGCGCGTGGGTCCGCTGGTGGGTCAGCAGCGTGGAGCTGACGCTGAAGCTCTTCCCGCAGTCGGGGCAGTGGTACGGCCGCTCCCCTGTGTGGGTTCTCTGGTGGATCGTCAGGTCAGAGCGCTGGATGAAGCCCTTCCCGCACTCCTCGCACTCATAGGGCTTCTCTCCCGTGTGGATCTTCTGGTGTTTCACCAAGGCGGACTTGTGGCTGAAGGTTTTGCCACACTGGAGGCAGTTGTTGGGGTTGTGGAGGGCGGCAGGAGGAGGGGGCGGGGATGAAGGCGGAGCGGGCGGCAGGGGGGTCTCAGCCAGGATGCTACTGCTCAGATCAACACCCCTGGGACTCTCGGAGTCTTCTGCTGCCGGCTCCACCTCTTTGGGGTCCTTCTGTGCAGGAAGATTCTCTTCCTCCATGTTGCCACCGATGGCTGGAGAGACAGGAAGAGGAAAAAGGAGGAGCCAGTTACACAAATAGGCCTGAATATAGGTTTGATGCGGTGTTCCACAGGGTGGGCGCCACCACCGATAAGGTCCTCTGCCTGGTTCCCTGTAACCTCACTTCTCGGAGTGAGAGAACCACCAGAAGGCCCTCGCAGCTGGACCTTAGTGTATTCAGGAACTATGTTCAGCTTCTAATATCACTTCTCCTTTTCTGCCCCCACCCCTTGACTGCCTGTGCACCCCACTCTCATGTCCTCTGCCAGCCAGCCAGCTGCTGTCTATGCACTGGACCAAACATATGGAGTCCGGCTCTCTGCCTTTAAGCTCCCTGTGGGATTCATCCCCAGTGCGTGGAAGGCAGGACTGGCAGGGCTTATTCTGAATATCTGCAGCAAAGAATTTTAGGAAAGCCCATGACTCACCTGGAAGGATGACACTCGGGTCCTGCAGGTCAAAGGTTGTCGCCTCATCTCCTTGTTCCAATCGGGACAGCAAGTCAGGCTTGGACAGTGGAAATTCTTCTCAGTTGAAAAGATTGAGGTGGGGGGAAGAGGAGGGAATGCAGCTTTAGTTCAGCTTATAAATCAACCACCGCCACCCATATCTCAACTATTTTTAGGCCAATGTGGGCAGGATCTCCTGCTAAATCTATGGGTGATTTGAAATAGATCAGTAAGCGTTGTTGACTCCCCATGTTTTAACAGCAGCAACAAACCCACCACCCACCCCAATATTTGGCTTCTGAAACTAAGAATGTTTGGGCAAGGAGCAAGGAGACCAATAATTATTTTTTATATATAAAGATTGTGAGCTCAGTGTCGATACTGAAAGCAGAATATCGATCTGAACTGTGGAAACCCTCTCTGTTTACTCAGTGGTCAGGGAACTGAACTTTGAACCTGTTTATTCTCATGCCATATTTGTGTGTTCACTATGCAAGCTCAGAATTCCTGAAAGTCTCATCTCTTTTCCTTTTCTTTTAAAAAAAGCCTGGGCTCTCACAGTTGCAAAGAACTGGAAATTCTCCAGTGAATGAGTCTGTGTAACTTGAAAGCTGGCACACAAACAGAAATCATTTCTGTGCCAATTTAGCACTTCTTACTTTTAAGCTGACAGCAGCAATTACACCAAGCAACAAAATCATAAACGTTTCGGCACATCTCTTCTCACTCCTGCCGCCACCCCGATATAAATATGAACATTCCCGTATACAAAATGGAGTTCATCTCCCCAGATGGCATGCAGAGAGGGCACCACTCCCTTAGCAACAGACTCTGTGAAGATGTGGGCCAACCCCCTGAACCCCCACCCCACCCCTGTAATCTGGGTTTTTGGGGGAAAATCTGAATTTGAAAATAACCTGGGGAATTTTCCTATGCAAATTAGGGTTATCTGCATAAGGCTAATTTCCATCAGAACCATTTTCAGCTTGCATCGGAAAACGTTCCAAAGCCCTAGAGAGTGATCCCGATTAGCATGCACATTTTATTTGTATTTAGTAAACAAAGCTGAGCAGTTTGACAATTGCCTAATATTGCATTTGTAATTAGTTTTCACGATTGAACTTATGAAACAGAAGACTTTCCGCAGAAGGAAAAAACACACGTTTTGGAGGTTTTCTGCTTCACGTCACTGGCTTCCCCCTGTAAAAGTTTATGGGCAGAGGAGAGGAGGAGGCAGCCAACATCAACCTACCAAGTGCCATCAGCGTCTCGTAGCTCTCCTGCATGACGTCGTGGTACAAGGCCTTCTGCCGGGGATCCAGCAGCACATACTGCTCCATTGCCACCAGCAGCCGCAGCTCAGACAGATCACAGCCTCTGGAAGAACAAGCAGCAGGTCCCATTGGCCAAACTCCAGGCAAAGGAAGAACTGGAGCAGAGCCGGATTTAGGTTTCATGAGGCCCTAAGCTACTGAAGGTAATGGGGCCCTTTATATGCCCAGCTGTCCTTTGTCAACAACAAATTGTCACTGTTTTTTGTGTTGAATATATGCTATATGAGGGACGCGGGTGGCGCTGTGGGTTAAACCACAGAGCCTAGGACTTGCCGATCAGAAGGTCGGCGGTTCGAATCCCCGCGACAGGGTGAGCTCCTGTTGCTCGGTCCCTGCTCCTGCCCACTTAGCAGTTCGAAAGCACGTCAAAGTGCAAGTAGATAAATAGGTACCGCTCCGGCGGGAAGGTAAAACGGCGTTTCCGTGCACTGCTCTGGTTCGCCAGAAGCGGCTTAGTCATGCTGGCCACATGACTCGGAAGCTGTACGCTGGCTCCCTCGGCCAATAAAGCGAGATAAGCGCCGCAACCCCAGAGTCGGTCACGACTGGACCTAATGGTCAGGGGTCCCTTTACCTTTACCTTATATGCTATATGGTAATTGATGGACCTAATAGGTATCTAAAGCCATTTGCACATAACAAATAGGAGCTTACACAACACAAAACATTGTTGCTGTATGTAGATTTTATTTCATTTGCTTTTTCTCTTATATTTTAGAAATGTACATCCAGTTGTTGTTTTTCCTTTAATTTTTTGGGGGGGCCCCAAGAGAGTGGGGCCCTAAGCTATAGCTTGTTTAGTTTATACGTAAATCCGGCACTGAACTGGAGGTTATGGGCAACAGTAAGCAAATGATGACTTGATTTCACAATATACATTTTAGACTGGATTTTATTGCAAACTGTCTCAGGTGCCTTTGCTGCGAGAGGGTGAGCAATACCTTTGAATGGGTGGGTGTATATACGTATTTGTCTTATTTCATAAAATTTATACATTGCTTCATTGTAAAAAAACAAAAAAAACACACCCCAAAACAGAATAAAACGATACAATTTTTGGTAAAAACAACTACTGAAAACATTTCTTAAAGAATTAAAATCTGCCTGTAAACTAAAAACACATATAAAAATCTCACCAATCTGGGTAGCCTTGCCTGAGGGAAAAGTCCTTAGCAAGCGCCGAAAAGAGCACAATGGAAGTACTTGCTTGATATCAAACCAGCAGAGAGTTCCAAAGTATAGGTGCTACCACACTAAAATATCTAATTATTATAAATGCAGGGTGAATATTTCTGTGGCACCTGTGGCAGTGCCTGTTCCACAGATGGAAGCAGCTAAGTGGGCATATTTGGGGTCAGGTGAGCTCAGACGTCAACTGCTCCTAATAAGCTATTGAGGGCTTTATACACCAATTAGAACACCTTGAATTGGGCTCAGTAGCAATAAATAGATATACTTCATGCTCATACATCCTCATTCTTTTCTCATGGGGGGATGGAACCCCTTCAGTTCCATGACACAAACAGGTACAAGCTCACCTGCTTCTGTCACCATCCCTTATTACCTTTCCAATTTTCTTCCCCTGTCAGGACTCAGGGATTCGTTTAACTGCCCGGCAGCCAAACATAATATCAAATAAATAGGATCTTCTCTGTCTCGCCTTCTTGTGACACTATTTTTTTTTAAAAAAATCTTCCTCCCCTAACACACCTGTGAAGTTGTTAGTTGGTCCGGCCGGGAGGAGGAAGGAGCAACCTTCTCACGTGGCTGTCAAAAGAACAACACAAAAACCCCTGTGCTGAAATAAAACATATGTAATCCCTAGCGGAAACGCTGCTGTCAAATAAGGATATGTCTTGGGCTATGCTTTGAGGGCTATGTTTAAATTTAAAAACGCCGAAGGATATAACTGCAGGGTTTCCCCTAAGCTCCCCCCACCCATTTTCTGGTGGTGCTGGGTTTGGTTTCTGAATCCCACACCCCAACAAAACGCGCTGTGTCGTTTTGCAGCACACGCCAGAGCAAGCATCCAAAGAAAGCGGTGCTTCTTGCAAGTGGGTTTTTCGCCCCACAAACGCATCGTCGGGTGGGGGGGAGCTGTGGAAAAGAGGGTTCCCTCCCGAAAACGCAAACATGTCTGCTGTTTTTCAAGTGCCCCCCTTCGCTGCTCTCTCTATTGATCAGATGCATAGACTGATCTTGAGGGGAAATCCCCCTCTGCCTTGTGTTTGCTGCGTAAAAACCAGCGCCACCACCGCGCCTCGTTTGGAAAGGGAGGCTTTAAAATGGAGGCTTTAAAACAAGAAGACTCTTTCTCTCCGTCTCTCCCTTGAACACATCTGGTCCGTTTTCCCGATCTCTTCTGGGTTACCTGGAGTCTCCGGCTGCTGAAGGGTTAAGGGCTGCGAGCGGCGCCCGCGGCTGCTGCGCCACGAGGCTGAGCCCGGCCAGCGGCAGTTCTCCCTCCGGTCGGCCGCCCGGCCGAACGCCGCGCTTCGCCGGGAGCAGCAGCCGCGGCTGCCTGGTTGCTACGGGGGAACCCGCAGCTGGGGTGACCTAGGAAGCTCAGCCCCCTGATATCCTGGGTGGGAAAGAATAGAGAGCTTGGGAAAGGCAGGGAGCGAGATCCCCTCCCTCAGCTGTAGCCAGAGCCCTCTGGTGGTCGTGCCTGCGACGCCTCTTCCTCGCCTGCTCTCCTTGCGTCAGCCAGATCATTCCCCTCCAAAAAGAGAGTGTTAAAAGTGGTCTCACAAATACTGTGCTGACTTTTAAAGCCCTAAATCGCTTCGGCCCTTTATACCTGATGGAGCGTCTCCATCCCCATCGTTTAGCCCGGACCCTGAGGTCCATCTCCGAGGGTCTTCTGGCAGTTCCCTCGCTGCAAGAAGTGACGTTACAGGGAACCAGGCAGAGGGCCTTCTCGGTAGTGGCGCCTGCCCTGTGGAACGCCCTCCCACCTGATGTCAAGGAGATAAAGAACTACACAACTTTTGGAAGACATCTGAAGGCAGCCCTGTATAGGGAAGTTTTTAACGTTTGATGTTTTCATATGTGTTGTAAGCTGCCCAGAGTGGCTGGGGCAACCCAGCCAGATGGGCGGGGTATACATAATAAAATTATTGTTGCTGTTATTGTTGTTATTATTTTTATTATGCAATACCTACATGGTTTGTAACACACACAAAAGATCCATAAAAAAGAAGCGGGCAGATGCATTCAAATCAAAGCATTTTCAAACCACATAGTAATTTACAAAAAGACACATCTGCCAAAAGGCACAAAATGCAAAAAGAACCTAGACTTGAAAGCTCTTCCACACAGAGGACATTTTTGCAATTGCCCTAAGAGTGGACTCTCTCATTATGTTGAACAAGACCTGAACGTGTAATGAAGCCTTTGCCACAGTCGAAGCACTGATGGGGTCGCTCGCCTGTGTGGGTTCTATAGTGATAGACGAGTTTCATGCGCTGATTAAATCTTTTCTCGCAATCAGGACACTGGAATGGCTTCTCTCCAGTGTGAAGTCTCTGGTGCTGGGTCAGGGATGATTTCGCTCTGAAGCTCTTGCCGCAATGGGGGCACTGGTAAGGCTTCTCCCCTGTGTGGATCCTCTGGTGACGAACAAGACTTGACCGGGCTTGGAAGCTCTTGCCGCACTCATGGCATTTGTGGGGCCTGTTGGCTGTGTGACTCATCCGATGCCGATCAAGGCTTGATTTGCAAGCGAAACTTCCCCCACAGTCCTTGCAAGCGTACGATCTTTCTCTTGTGGTAGAGGCAACATGTTTAAAGAGGACTGAACTATTGCTTAAGGTGTTTTCGGAGGGATTCAGTTCAGTGAAGTGGCCTACAAAGTCAGAGCTGAAGGGGGGCCATTTTTCACATTCAAGCCACATGTAGGACGATTTTCCTCTGGGGTCCCTTTTCTCATACCCTGATGTGCTTGTGTATGTTTCCCCAGGCCAAGTAGAAGTGTAGTCAACCACTTCTTGTTCGGTTTGTAAGTGGATCTGTGGATCGTGGTTTTCTTCCAAATTGCTTCCAAAATGAAATGCGTTTCCCTCTTCCTTCCATGGGTGGCTTCCTTGCTGATCGCTTTGCTGTGGCCAGTACCAGCTCACATTATCTTCTTCTTCCTTAATAGGCCAGGAAGGAATCTCATTCCCTTCGTCTTTAGGATCATCCTGCCAAAATTCTCTTTCTGAATTTATTTCCACCGTAATGACATCTGGAACAACAACAACAACAAAATAGCATTCTCCCATTGGACATTCTTGCATCGCAGGCAATTGGCTTAGATGATCATCAGGGTCCCTTCCCATTCTATAATTCTATGACCCATGAAGCTGAAAGTTGGGAGATTCAGGACAGACAAAAAAAAGTACTTATTCACACAATGTACAGTTCAGACTATGGAATCTGCTCTCCCCAAGAGGTAGTGAAGGCCACCAAACTGGACAGCTTTAAAAGAGGATGTTATGTACTGAGTTGAATAGGATCCAAAATGCAGCAGTCTGATTGGTCCTGGAACAATAGGATTCAGAATGCAGCAGTCTGATTGGTCCACAGGAGCCACTCAATCCAGCTCCAGGTGGAAGTGAATCCGCAACCTGATTGGCCTACAGGAGAATCCCGGAATTAGCCAATCACGTGGGGTCCATTGTGTAAATAATGTATATAAAGCAGACATTCTGGGGGAACTTCCATTCCTCCTCACCACTATGAGCTAAATAAAGAGCATGGAATCCACTCTTGACTCCAAGTATATTTCAGAGGATTAGCCAAATTCATGGAGGGCAGTGCTATTGATGATAACAATGGCTAGGTTCTGCCTCCACTGTTGGAGGAAATATACCTTCTGAGGGCCAGTTGCTGGGAATCACAAATGGGGAGATTGCTGTTGCAATCGGGTCCTGCGTGCCTCTTTTCTTATGGGCACCTGTTTGGTCACTGCAGCGAAAGAGGATGGAAGACTTTGCCCTTTGAGCATTGTGGCTCTCCAAGTCCTCCAGCAGAATCCTTTCCTCTTCCCTTAAAACTGCAAATTCCAGGGACTGAACCTCAGCCCTCCTGCCCAGCACATGTGCCCCCAACCGATGCACTGTCCCCCTCGCAGTGCATTGAAGACAACATGCGTCAGTGACAAAGGAGCAGAATATGATGCCTCTGAGTCTCTAAAGCCAAGAGATGGCCCTACATAACACAGGGGAAATACTGCTGAGCCAGAGGTGGCTGGTGGGTCGGAAGGCAGGGAGCCCGATCAGTAGGCGGAGCCAAGGAGAGGCGGAGCCAACTCATTCCAGTGGGGTCTCCCCATTCTCCTCCATGCTTAGTTCTACAAGGGAAACTCAGACATAGGCAGGGGAAGCTGGCAGGCACTGCTGCCCTTGTAAGTCCGAAGGCAAACACATGGCGGTGTGTGTGTGTGATGGAGGGCAGGCTGTAATTGGTGGGGCAGTGCCTCCTCCACCCGAATGGACCAGCTCCCAATGATTCAGAGCCCTCCAAGCTCCCTCTGTTGATCCTTTGTGAAGCAGCCAGGACAGCCCTATATTTTATCTGCATCAAAGAGAGTGCCATAGGTGGTATCTTTTATTTTCATTATTTTCCTGACCCTTCACTGTAAGATCCCAGGGTGGGTTCTAACAATATAAAGATAAGGTAAAGGTAAGGGGACCCCTGACCATTAGGTCCAGTCATGGCCGACTCTGGGGTTGCGGCACTCATCTCGCTTTATTGGCCGAGGGAGCTGGAGTACAGCTTCCGGGTCATGTGGCCAGCATGACTAAGCCACTTCTGGCGAACCAGAGCAGCGTACGGAAACACAGTTTACCTTCCCGCTGGAGTGGTACCTATTTATCTACTTGCACAGGCATGCTTTTGAATTGTTAGGTTGGCAGGAGCAGGGACCAAGCAACGGGAGCTCACCCCGTTGCAGGGATTCGAACCGCTGACCTTCTGATCGGCAAGCCCTAGTTAAACCACAGAGCCACCCGCGTCTTTTATTTTTGTTATTTTCCTGACCCTTCACTGTAAGATCCCAGGGTGGGTTCCAACAATATAAAGATACAATATTCAAATCCATTAACAGCAACCTGCAAAGCTTACCACTTGCCTTGTTTGCAAAATGTCATTGCTTTGGTTTTAAATTGAGGATCTGTTTGCTGCCCTGGACTCTCTGGGGCAAGGGAGAATTATAAATTCAAAAACTAGGTAAGTAACTAAAATAATTTACCTGGATTGGTAACAGTGCAAGTTGAGACTGGATGTGTGGATTCAGGCTGTTAAGGTCAAAAAGAAAGTGAGTGAGTGACACGCACCCCTTGCATTCCTCATTTATCTCCTCCCCCAAATCCCTTCCCTCTATTCCCCAAGGTTTGCTCACCTGTATAGATGCTAGGATCCCTGTTTCAGACTTCTTAAGACTGGCAGCTTTTGTTTGTGATGTGTTGCTGTCTGACAGCTGAAGCACTGAAAAAGCAATGGTGATCTGTAAGAGAAATGCTTCACGGACAACTGAATTCTACCTTTTGGCTCAGGAGACCCCAATCCAGGTTGCATAAAGGTAAAAGGTAAAGGGACCCCTGACCATTAGGTCCAGTCGTGGCCGACTCTGGGGTTGCGGCGCTCATCTCGCTTTATTGGCCGAGGGAGCCGGCGTACAGCTTCTGGGTCATGTGGCCAGCATGACTAAGCCGCTTCTGGCGAACCAGAGCAGCGCACAGAAACACCATTTACCTTCCCACCGGAACGGTACCCATTTATCTACTTGCACTTTGATGTGCTTTCGAACTGCTAGGTTGGCAGGAGCAGGGACCGAGCAACAGGAGCTCACCCATCGCAGGGATTCGAACCGCCGACCTTCTGATTGGCAAGTCCTAGGCTCTGTGGTTTAACCCACAGTGCCACCCGCGTCCCTAATCCCGGTTGCATAGCGGTTAGCAATTAAGGGACATGACAAAGCGAGCGGTTACTCAGCTGATGAGTATGTGTATAAGAGAGAAAGAATAATTGTTTTATGCATGATATGTAATCCACATCTCAACTTTGCTAAAAAGCATGCATCAACAAGTCCTCCTTCACTGGCTCAGTTGTTTGCATCCAGCAACAAAGGGAAGGCAAGAGTTCTTACCCATTGATGATGATCCGCTCTCATCACTCTCCTCCATGACTTTCCAGTAAAGGGTCTTTTGCCTGGGGTTCACTGAAGTCTGCTCACTTTCAGAAAGGGACTCCGATGGCTCCTCAAAATTCACTGGCAGCTGAAAAATGTTCACACCTAAAGTTTTGTTTGCTGTATAGTCACAATAGTGCCATAAAGAATCAAAGTTCAGATTCCTGAAAACCAGAGGTTGGTTTTTGTTGTTGTAGTTGGAACACATTTCTGGAGCTTGCGGTTTTGCAGAGTTTATGTGAGGCTTATAGCGGCCAGAAGGAAAAAAATATTTTCATTTCCCACCAGCTTTAACCAGAGCAAAATTTCTGACCCACATTGTCTAGCCCAGGTGTGGACAACCTTTGACCCTCCATATCAGTGTTTCCCAAACAGGTCTCCGGCTGGTTTTTTTGGACTACAGTTCCCATCATCCCTGACCACTGGTCTTGCTAGCTAGGGATGATGGGAGTTGCAGTCCAAAAACAGCCAAAGACCCAAGTTTGGGAAAAGATGCTCCAGATCATGGGTGTAGCCAAGGAGGAGGGGGAACTGCCCACCCTAGATCAAGTAAAACAATAGAAATAACTAACTGACCAATCACATCGGTTCTTCCCCCCCCAATGAAAAATCCACGCTCCAGAACTACAACCTCCATCATCCCTGGCTATTGGTCATGCTTGTTGGGGCTGATGGGAGTTGTAGTTCATCAACATCTGGAGGACCAAAGGTTCCTCACATCTGGCCTAGCCCAATACGGGTAGACAGCATTATAGATTTTGAATAACCAGAATTAGTCATTGCACAAATCCTTCAGCATTCCTCACCTCCACGACGACTTCAGCTGGTTCTTGCTGCTGCAGGGCAGCCTCCACCATGCGAGCAATCTCTTTGCTGCCGCTGCTGCCTGGCCCTCTAGTTCTCAGGCAAACTTGCATCTCCTCTGGAAGCAGAGACAAGAATTGTTCCAGGACGATCATGTCCACAATCTGTTCCTTGGTGCGTTCTTGAGGGCGCAGCCATCGATGAGCAGCATCGCTCAGGCGGGACAGAGTCCCCAGAGGAGTTTCTCCATGCGGGACAATGCTCTGGCGGAACATCTGCCGATGAGATTCCTGGCTGGCCAGACACAACGCCTTAGTCTCTGCAGGAGTGCCAACTTGGTCCGCCATCTTGGATGGGGGATGTGACCGAGGAAACTTTCCAGGAAATAGAGAGGCTGGAAGGAATATCTGGCTCCTCAGAGGCCCAGCTAGAGCCATCGTTGTCCCAAGGAAAGTCCTATCCTATGAAATAGAGATTACAGAGTGTCTTGAAGTCCTCCTGAAATCCCAGTGTGTGACACAATATTCACAATCATAAATTTATCTCAGTTCCCCAGAAACACTAACTGCTACACATATTTCCATCTTCCATTCTTTGAAGGATGAAGCGGTATATAAACGACCTTAATAAATACATTTTAAAAAGCGAGTGTGTGTAAAAGTCTGTTTTTTATTCCTGTCTTGACCTCAGCCCTTCACCTGAAGGACATTGTTCTCTTATGAAAAGGAGATGTCAACAGATACATAGCTTTCCAAAGGCAAATGGCTGAACTCCTGGGCTGCACAATTTGCATAACAATTGAAGATACTCACTTTATAATGCATTGTATGAACGGCCATTTAGTTCTCTTTGCTTCTTATTGCCTTAAGGGGATTGCCTCTAAGGAGGGGAGACAACGTCTGGGAGGCAGATAACTGCCATGACTACCCTGTTGTACCAGGAGATGTAAAGGATCACAGCGTTTTACTTTGCATTAAGAGAGATAAAGAATCTTGCGGCACCTACTTCAAAATCAGTATTTAGGCCAGTCAAAATGTCACAAAATAATGGTCAAGTTTTCAGGTTCTCCAGAACTCTGTCTCAGCCTAATAGTTTACTATTAGCAAGGAGGGGGAGGAAAAAAAGTTGGTGGGTAATGAAGCTATGGATTCTGCTTTTTCAAAAATTTCTAAAGTTTATTTGATTTGATTTTTTGCTTTAAATGACAATGGCTTTATTAAGCCCACTTGGTTATAAATTAGTCTATGGATTTTAGCAGTGCTGGCTCCCAACCATTTGATTTGTATAGCGCTTGGGGAGCTCTTTGATCAAGTGGTTTATAAATCTCCTAAATAGAGGGGCACAGATTTACAGCTTTCCTCTAGCCCTGAGTGCATTATTTCTGACCTGCATAAACAAGCGTAAGCTTTGGAAACAGGGTGAGCGAATTAATTTCTCATCATATAAAGGATCTGGAGCAAACGGAAAGAAAGAAATGGCAGGTGTTTGTTGTTGTTGTCCTGTCCCCTCCCTCCCGCCCCACGGTACAAAATCTTTTATCTATATTTGTTCTATTGAGTCTTACCTGGAGCAAGAAGTTCAGAGGAATTCTGAGCAGGGTGTTCACCTGCTGATCTCTCTACTGCAGGAGGCTCTGGGAAAGTCTTCCACCTTCTCACACAATCCCATGAAACTAGCATCAAGGTGTAAGGAAGGACTAATCAACTAGAGGTTCAGCCTCTTAAATAAAACTCCTTTCATTCTAGCCTGGTAACACAACCCCCATGCACTGCCCTCTGGTGGGGAGAAGCTTAAATGACCCCCTACCTGACTGGCATCACCTCTTCTGTTGAGGAAGTAGGTTAGTCATCTGACTGTGGAGATGGTGGGAGTCTGGGCTCCTTTTGTGCCTTTAACAGTAGCTTGAGCTGAGAAAGAAAAATCAGCAGGGGCAGCTTTCCATAGCAGAGTCAAACCCAGCCCCTGAATCAATCTGCAGCTCCTCCTGACTGGAGGAAAGAAGCTGGAACATTAACTATGACAATCTTTCCCCAACTTGGCGCCACCCAGATGTTTCGAACTACAACTCCCAGTGCCCCTGATAGGAGTTGCAGCCCGAAACATCTGGACTGTGTCAGGTGTCATGGTGACACTGAGTGCTGGAGGGGCAAACATTTTGCTTATTTCCCTCTTTCCCCCCCATCCCCTTTATTCAATTTGCATCATGCCAGTTTCTAATAATAATAATAATAATAATAATAATAATTTATTTATACCCTGCCCATCTGGCTGGGTTTCCCCAGCCACTCTGTGCGGCTTCCAACAAAATATTAAAATACAGTAATCCATCAAACATTAAAAGCTTCCCTAAAACAGGGCTGCCCTCAGATGTCTTCTAAATGTCAGGTAGTTGTTTATCTCTTTGACATCTGGTGGGAGGGCGTTCCACAGGGCAGGCGCCACTACCGAGAAGGCCCTCTGCCTGGTTCCCTGTAACTTGGCTTCTCACGGTGAGGGAACCGCCAGAAGGCCCTCGGCGCTAGACCTCAGCATCCGGGCAGAACGATGGGGGTGGAGACGCTCCTTCAGGTATACTGGGCCGAGGCAGTTTAGGGCTTTAAAGGTCAGCACCAACACTTTGAATTGTGCTCGGAAATGTACTGGGAGCCAATGTAGGTCTTTCAAGACTGGTGTTGTGTGGTCTCGGCGGCTGCTCCCAGTCACCAGTCTGGCTACCGCATTTCTATCTCACTTTCCCAAATCTTATATTTCTATCCCGCTTTCCCTCCAAGGAGTTTGAGGCTGCGCACCTGCTTTCCCTTCCCCTATTTTATCTCTGCAACAACCCTGCGAGGTTGGTTAGGTTGAGAAGCAGGGGTTGGCCCCAAGCCACCCAAAGCGAGCTTCACAGTGGACGAGTGTTCATGAATTGGCAGGACGACAGGGAGGAGGAAGGGGTGTAGCCACAATTGGCACACACCAGGGCAAGGTGGAGGAGAGGTGGGTGGGGTGGCTGGAATGTACTCACAGGGCGGCAGAGGATTGCAGAGGGCTGAGAGTCAGTGCCCAGGAACCAGAGAAGCAGGACCTGTAACCAGAGACAAAGGGGCCCCTGTCTCCACGAACTCAGCCAGCTCTAAGGCATGGGGAGCGGTGGGCGGGTGCTCTAGGAGGCTGAGGCAGGCAAGGACCCACAGCCCAGCTCCCTAGCTAGCCAGGTGGGGCTTGTTAGCTCTGGGAAGTGTGTGATTCCTCAGTAAGCTTGGAACAGGGGAGGGCCACCTGTTCCTCATCAAGCCCTGATGCTGCAATCAGCTTGCAAAATACAAAAGGGAAGCTGTGCCTGCTCAACCGCCCATGTTGATGGATCTCAGCTTAGATATTCCAGGAGTGCTATGGAACTGTACTTTTTGGGAATGTAGACACCTCTAGGTACTTGATGCCAGGTATAATTAGGCATTTGAATCCAGGTCTCCTCAGGTCCCCAGGCAGGACCCTCACATGGATATACAACACAAGCTTTCTAATTGGACTTTAAGGCAATGTTGTTGTTTTTCTGGGGATGCTCAAGGGAACGCAGTGCCAGCACCTCCCCCGCCAAAGAAAAGCTTTAAGGCAGGCATGGCCAAACGTGGCCCTCCAGATGTTTTGGGACTACAATTCCCATCATCCCTGACCACTGGTCCTGCTAGCTAGGGATCATGGGAGTTGTGGGCCAAAAACACCTGGAGGGCCGAGGTTGAGGAAGCCTGTTTTAAAGCACTATGATGCCATTTTAAACAATTGTGCCTCCCTCCCCCCCCCCCCGTAGTTCTCTCGGAAGAGGCATTGAGCATTATGCCACTCTGAGAAATTTAGCTCTGTGAGGGGAATGAGGGGTTCTCTCTCCTGACAACTTCCAGCACCTTTAGCAAACTACAGCTCATAGCAGCGCTGGGTTTAGGGCGGTGAGGGTGGTTCTCCCTGGCACAGGGTGCCAAGCTGATGGGGCGCAAAATTGAGAAGCTCCATAATTCAGGGATGCCAAATTTTGGTGCCATATTACCAAAGATTACTAAAGTCCACCCCTGCTCCCAGAATGCTTTGCGGAAAACAATGGCTGTTCCAAGTGGTATCATAGTGCTACAAATGTATGGCGTGAACGTGACCTAACTCTGTAGGCCGCTCCCTCTCCTCCTCCTCCTCCTCTTCTTGTTATTCTCCTCAAACTGCCTAAACATTATAGGTGCTTTAGAGATTAATAAATATCTGCACGTCAAGCTGTTGTTAAGAGGCGCAGCTTTAGTGGCTGATGGGAAAGTTGGCAATACTATATGGACGGCCTTTGCTGTGACACATCCTGCTGTCAGGAGCTTGCTCTGTCTGACCGTTGCATTTATAGTGCTGTTCGTTCACCCTCTTTATCCCAGGGAAGTCAACGATATCTCTCATCTGCCTCAGCAGCCTATAGGTGCTCTGTCGTAGGGTGACCCCTGTCTTCCAGGCAGAAGCTTCTAACTGCAAGCAGCACTGGGAGACAGGCAACACTTTCAGGCTGTGCTTTTCAACATGGCGATAAAACCAGCTTCTTGGGGAAAGCTGGTTCAGTCAGTTCCTGGATGGAAAACTACCAGGGAACCCTCAGTTACACCCTTTGGGGTTCCACAGAGGAAAGGTAGGAATTTACATGCAATGTTAGTGATTAGGGACGCGGGTGGCGCTGTGGGTTAAATCACAGAGCCTAGGGCTTGCTGATCAGAAGGTTGGCGGTTCGAATCCCCACAGCGGGGTGAGCTCCCGTTGCTCGGTCCCTGCTCCTGCCAACCTAGCAGTTCAAAAGCACGTCAAAGTGCAAGTAGATAAATAGGTACCGCTCCGGCAGGAAGGTAAATGGCATTTCCGTGCGCTGCTCTGGTTCGCCAGAAGCGGCTTAGTCATGCTGGCCACATGACCTGGAAGCTGTACGCCGGCTCCCTCGGCCAATAAAGCGAGATGAGCGCCGCAACCCCAGAGTTGGCCATGACTGGACCTAATGGTCAGGGGTACCTTTACCTTTACCTGAATGTAGCAAGCAAAACTGGCTGCCCTCATCCCCTTTGTTCCCAGACTACTCTCCTGCCCTCCATTCCTAGATAGGCCAAGTATGACTTGAATCAACATCAGCAGAGGCACAAGAACCATTTTATTTTAATTTTTTACTGTGGTCACCAAAGGTTTATTGAAAGAAGCAGAGGGTCAAAAGCTTGCAAAGGTTTTTCTAAGGCAGCAGAAAGGAGTGGTGGATTTGTGACCGGTGAACAGGTTGTCTGGACCAATCGCATCCAAGCCTAGTTTTGGAATGATCGGTGCTTGATCTCTCTCTGAGCCAAGTCTTCAGAACATCCTTACACATTAGTTAGGGGGCTGATGAAGGGAGGCTGCCTCTCTCTGACCCCTCAGCGACGACCACAACCCTGCAATGACATTGGTCTGGACGGCTTTCCCAATGAGTTTGGCCTCAATAGCTTTAATATCGTTACACTGCTTCACAAGCTGGGCCTTTGTATTTCGGGTGGTGTCCTCTAAGTCGGAAATCCTGAGCTCAGCCTCGTCCGAACACCCAGAGAGACTCCCGAGGGCGCTGAGGATGGCAGTGACTGAGGTGTGCAAGCGGGAGACTGCAGACTTTATCTCCACAGCGTCGGCAGCAACTTGTTCTAGCAGAGCCATGAACTGGGCCAGCGTTGGCTCAGCCGCCATTTTGTAGAGAGGGGGAGGGGAGGGAGATACTGGCTCGGGTTTCAGTCTTTTGGGGTTTGGAGGGGAAGGTCCTGTCCCTGAGGCCGTTCTGATTGTCGCTGTAGTCTGATGCAATGCTTCGCGAGTCTGGAGATGGTCTTTGAGGGGTTGCCTTAGTCTTCTTCTTGGTTCAAGAAGTCTGCATTGGCTAAGTTTGTAGAGGCCCTTGTCTTTCCAGTCCAAACGTTTCTGAAGTTTTCCGGCTGGCTGGATTCTTTGAGGCACTCCAAGAACAGACTTGGCATGCATGTTTTCCCCATTAAAATACTTTCCTCTTTTGTAAAGTCGCCTTTGTTTCATTAAAGCCAAGAGGTCTCTGGGCTTCTTACCTGAATCGGAACAGCTAGCCTGGCCAGCATTTTTGATGAACCGCCTATTGGACTTGGGACTTTTATATAGGTCTTCCCTGTGAGCCATTTCCCGGCTAACAATGTGCTTTGAGCACTGATCTTGACCCCCACAATCAGTGCGGCTATTCTGGTTCTCTGGTCCTGGTTCAGCATCTAGCTGAAGCATGTCTTTGGACAGATCTCTCAGACCATTTCCATAGAGAAGGCATTTCTCCTGTCCGTCATCATTTCCTGAGATGCTGGCGCGATGGCTCTCCAGAACGTTCTGGTCCTCGCTGATTGAATCTGAAATCCTACACCCACTTCCCTGGGAGTGAGCCCCACTGGTACTTACTTCTGAGTAAACATGTGCAGGTTTGTGCTGTAAGTCTGCCGTCTCGTTCACTTCGGCAGGAATCAGGTTTGAGCAAAGCTGCGTAGGCTTGGACTGCAGGTCTTGCTTGGCAGAAATCTGAGAAATCTCGTCCACAGACATTTCCAGTGCCACATAGTCAGGATCTTCCCTGCTGTGGATTTTCTGACTGCTGCCAATTCTTAGTGATTCCTCCAGTTCTGCAGAATCAGTACATGGCCTAGAGTCAAGTTGAAGTGGGTCCCTCAAGCTGTTTCTAAGAAGAGTAGATCTCTCTTGGCTTGCCTGTTGCCCCAGCAAACTGCTCTGGTCCTCTTTGATTAAGTTTCCCTGAAGATTCTGGAGGATTTTCTTCTCAGATAATTCATGTGACTCCCCAGATTGAGTCATAGGCTTAGAACTTTCCTTGCTGGGACTTTCCTGAGTATTGATAAATGCTGATAAGGATTCGCCCCAGTCCTCACAATCGGCACATGTCTCCATCTCTAGGTGAACCATGTCACGGTCTAGTTTTTGCAAACTCTTCCAACAGAGAACATCCTTTTCTCTTTCTCTTCCTGAGTTGGTTTTTTGCTGCCTCTCCAGACAGCTCTGCCTTAGCATGTCTTGTTCAGGACTCTGCAAAATAGCCTCCTTGGATTTTCCCATCGCCACCGATTCGCACGCTTCCAGCCAAGGATCCTCTTCTCTGCTTTTGCTATCGGTCCCGTCACCTGCTGAAGCAAGGAAAAGCAATCACACTGTGTCCTAAAAATTCATTAAGAATACATTGGCTGCACCAGTTCCTCTCTACTGCAATTAAGAGAAGTCACAAAATTGAATACTCAGCTCAATCCTATGCCTATCTAGATCAGCAGAAGGCTTGGTGAGTTCAGTTTATTTATTTGTAAAAATATGCATATACTGCTAACTTGTATAGAAGCCATCTAAGCAGTGTACAGCAAATGTTAAAATAACAGTAAATGCAAGGAAAGTACAGAAGCAGAAAATGTCATGAGTTTAACTTAAAAAGACTGTTGATGAAAGAAAGTATTCAAAGGGCATCTAAAAATGGGAAGCTAGATGACCACATAAAATAGTTAATAAAAGATGTACAAGGGGATGATTATTTCAAGAGAAATCTGGGTATAACTGAAGCATGCCTAAACTGTATGCTGCAGTGATGTAAAAGTGGAAAGAGTTGGTAACTGCACCAGGATTCTCTAGGAACACTTACTCATCCAGGCCACGTTATCGTAATTCTCCTGCATGACATTCCAGTAAAGGGTTTTCTCTTTGTGGCCCAGCAGAGCCCATTCTTCCTCCGTGAAACGCACAGATACATCTTCAAAGGTTACCAGGCCCTGAAACAAACAAGAGGGATATTCCATTAATGTCACAGCATTAAGACTTCTGTTGACTGTGTTGGGCAAAGCCTTAGAAGGTTTTGGGAGAAAGGGACATAGCTTAGGGGCAGACCAGAGAATTTGCATGCACAAAAGCGGCAGCGCACATACATTGCACACACATAGCTCAGTTGGTTAGAGCATGGTGCTGATCATAACGCCAAGGTTGCAGGTTCGATCCCCGTATGGGACAGCTGAATATTCCTGCATTGCAGAGGGTTGGACTAGATGATTCTCATAGTCCCGTCCAACTCTACGATTCTATGATTCTATCTCCAGCTGAAGGATCTTGGGTGAGGGCCTTTTTTTCAGCCTTGGTATCCAAGACATTTGAGATTCAGGGCCAGTCAGAGATGACTATGCTAGAGGAGATGGACCAGAGGCCTGGCAATTTCTTAAGTCCAATAACTTGCATTTAGACACCACACCAGGTTTATTATTATTATTATTTAAAATCATTTGCTAAAAAGGTACTATGGTTACCCAATTTCTCCCCCTGGCTCTGATAGCATAGCATTCAGGGCATGTTTTTGTGCAAACCCCTTTTTCCTCAGTCTAGCCCCAGGCCATTTCTGGTTATCCCATTCTATGCCACTCCATATCACAGCACTTGGCATTTCCCACTTAACTGTACGGAATAAAAGTGAAGGGAAGATCAGCAGGAAGCTTCCCATTTATTTGGTCATGGGAACACAGGCTTAACCTCACCTCACACCAACGCGATTAAATGCACACCCTGTCACAGGCACAAACGAGATATAATCAGAGAAGAGACCAAATCAGACTGGTTACTCAACCAGATTATGAGCAATAATATGCCATCTGTGCCTTGTATCCCTGCCTTATATCAACAACAGAGAGAGAGAGAGAGAGAGAGAGAAGCAAACATTTTGCTTCCAGCAATGCTCTCCTGCAGTTTAGAGCTGCGTGACAAGCAGGAAGAAAGCTTTTCCATCATGGCACCTGCAAGCCAGGAATAGCTTCAATTGCACCTCACGCAGCCTTTAATAATAATAATAATATTTTATTATTCTGGGCGGTTTCCAACTAAACACTAAAATACAATAACCTATTAAACATTAAAAGCTTCCCTAAACAGGGCTGCCTTCAGATGTCTTCTAAAAGTTTGGTAGTTATTTTTCTCTTTGACATCTGGTGGGAGGGCGTTCCACAGGGTGGGTGCCACTACTAAGAAGGCCCTCTGCCTGGTTCCCTGTAACTTGGCTTCTCGCAGCGAGGGAACTGCCAGAAGGCCCTTGGCGCTGGACCTCAGTGTCCGGGCAGAATGATGGGGATGGAGACACTCCTTCAGGTATACTGGACCGAGGCCATTTAGGGCTTTAAAGGTCAACACCAACACTTTGAATTGTGCTCGGAAACGTACTGGGAGCCAGTGTAGGTCTTTCAAGACCGGTGTCATATGGTCTCGGCAGCCGCTCCCAGTCACCAGTCTAGCTGCTGCATTCTGGATTAGTTGTTGTTTCCGGGTCACCTTCAAAGGTAGCCCCACATAGAGTGTATTGCAGTAGTCCAAGCGAGAGATAGCCAGAGCATGCACCACTCTGGCGAGACAGTCTGCGGGCAGGTAGGGTCTCAGCCTGTGTACCAGATGGAGCTGATAAACAGCTGCCCTGGACACAGAATTGACCTGCGCCTCCATGGACAGCTGTGAGTCCAGAATGACTCCCAGGCTGCGCACCTGGTCCTTCAGGGGCACAGTTACCCCATTCAGGACCAGGGAGTCCTCCACACCCGCCCGCCTTTTAAAAGAAGAAAAGCCAGCGAAAACAAAACAAAAACACTGGTTATGAATGATATGTGTGTCATATCCAGGTTACCAGAATCCTTTCCCAACAGGCTCCAAGTAAACCTTTCCCCACAGTGCAGGCCCCAACAAACCCTGTGACCCACCACCATGACCTTTTGCTGAATGCATTGCAGCGGATATTCTCTAGCCGTCAGAAAAGGATTAACACCGGACGTCAGTTTCTGGCCAGGGAGATGGAACTCACTGCATCTCTATAGCACAGAGGTGGGGAACCTAAAGGGCCACATCCCTTCACAGACAATCACTCAGGGGCCACATGCCAATGGCGAGGCAAGGGTGGGTAGGGCAGCAGACATGGCTCTAGCCGCAGCACAGTCAAACGCCATCATAGTTTGAGGCAAATTCCAGCCAGGCAAAAGCACTTGAGGGGGGACATGGAGCAGGGCTGGTGAGAGTTGTGGTCTGGGGAAAGCCAGAGGGCCAGTTAAGAGAGGGTTAGAGGGTTGCATTTTCCCCCTGAGCTACAGGAGGTCTGCAACAACAGAAGCACAAAAGGCAACATCAAACGGTACCAGTTTTTCTGGGTCTGCATTAGAATCGGATACACAACAGCATTCCATTCTTAAGAGTGGCATAGTGGTTAGAGCATTGGACTAAGAGCCAGGAGGCCAGGGTTCAAATCCCCACCCAGCCACAGAGCTCACTGGGTGACCTTGGGGCAGTCGCTCACTCTCAGCCCAACCTACTCCACAGGGTCGTTGTGAGGATAACATTGGGAGGTGGAGAACCACCTAGGCCACTTCCAGCTCCTTGGAGGAAAAGTGGGCAACACATGTAAACATATCAATAAAAGAAAGGAAAAAAACCACATCCCAGCACCTGAACAGCGTTAGCTGGCTCCTCTTCCCTCAAATAGCTCTCGACCAGCTGAAGTGCCTCCTTGCTGCTGCCTGGATCCCTGGCTCTCACACATGCCTGCAAGTTCCCCGGAAGCACGTTCAGGAACTGTTCCAGGATGACCATATCCACAATCTGGTCCTTGCTGTGTTGCTGAGGACACAGCCATCTCTCAGCTGCCTCGCTCAGCCAGGAGAGAATCTCCTGGGGGGCTTCTGCAGGTGGGACAGGGCCCAAGCGGAACCTCTGGCGAGCAGCTTCCTGACTGGACCGGGTTGCGAACAAACGGGGTGCATTTGTGCCGTTGCCCAGAACAGGGGCATCCTTGGATCTTGCGTTCTCAAATGCACTTGAGCGCTCTGGCAAGTCCAGAGAAGCTGGCGAAGGCGGATCTACAGGAACTGTCTCAGCGACAGCAGAAGATCCCTGCTGCAAGTCCGACACGACTTGGCGGGCTGCGTTCAGACGTGCCCTCAAGAGCTGGATGGTGAGCTTTGGATCGTTCTGGATGCGTGGCTTGCGGGAAGCGGGCACCCCTGGCGACGCTTGGCAGCCTGGCACGGACCCTTTGCAGACGGGCTCTTGGCTAGAGGAGGGCCTTTCCTTCGTGCCACACATCTCGGCATCCGTGCCGGCTGTCTTGGCAGGAGGAGGGTGATCGTGTGGCAAGGAGTGGACCAGCTTGCCGTGGCGCGTGTGGGCCTTCCCCGGGCAACGGGACTTGTGGTAGTCGGCGCATTTCCAGATCATCTTGCTCTTGCTCTCCCGCTCCTTCCGATACAGGTACCCTTCGTGAAGCAGCTGATCCCTGCCTTTCCGACTCTTGACGTATTTCAGAGGCATTTTCATGGGGGGAGGAGGAGGAGGAGGAGGAAAATCAATAAATCAAATGAAAGAGATGGATGGTTTCGGAAGAGTGGAGTGGGGGAAAAACAACAACAACAACCACCAGTAAGGGAGGAAAAGGAAAATCCCTGCAACAAAGCCAAGGGACGCCGGAGATCGGCCGAACAGCTGCCGGGAAACGCCAAGGTTCTCCTTCTGGTCCGGCTCAGGGTCTGCGGGTGGCGCGCGCGTGTCAAGCTGCGCCCGTTCCCTCCGCCTCCGCTTCAACGCGATCGGGAAAGCTGTGCAAGGAAGGGAAATATGTGAGGTTTCCTCGCTCCGCTGTCCCAGCCCTTTTTCCTCCCCTTCCCCTGTATCCGGCGTTAATTGTTAAGTCGCAGCAGCCCTTGGGGTGCGGGTTGCACGGAGGCAGGAGGAGCCCGGAGCCATCGGGCTGACAAGTTCTCACTCCGGTCGGAGAAGGTGGAGCACGCGACGAGAAGGAAAGCGGCGTTCGGGTTGGACGGGGATGCGGATTAAGCCCCGCCCCACTTTCGCTCGTCAGCAGGTGGAGGAGGAGACAGCGTCGGATCGGCTTCGACCGCGCAGGAAGGAAAAGCTTTGCAAAGAGAAAGCTGCTTTCGCCTCGGAGCCCCCTAGTGGAGAAAGGCGGGTATAGGATGGCAGCCCTCAAACGTGCTGATTTCAGCTGGAGTGATGGCTCACAACAAACTTATCTGGGCTGGATCCACTAGTGATCATGTGTACCCTCTGTGCGCTTCCCACTGAGGATCGAGAACTCGCTAATAATAATAATAATAATAATAATAATTATTTTGTTGAAAGCCACCCAGAGTGGCTGGGGAAACCCAGGCAGATGGGCGGGGTATGTATGCATGTAAGTAAAAAGGTAATGGTACCCCTGACCAGTTGCAGATCCAGGTCCAGTTGCAGATGACTCTGGGTTGCGGCGCTCATCTCACTCTATAGGCCAAGGGAGCCGGCGTTTGTCCATAGACAGCTTCCGGGTCATGTTGCCAGCATGACTAATCCGCTCCTGCGATCCAGAGCAGCGTACGGAAATGCCGTTTACCTTCCTGCCAGAGTGGTACCTTTGAACTGCTAGGTTGGCAGGAGTAGGGACCGAACAACAGGAGCTCACCCTGTCGCGGGGATTCGAACCGCTGACCTTCTGATCAGCAAGCCCTAGGCTATGTGGTTTAGACCACAGTGCCACCCGTGTCCCTGTCATGTATGTATGTATGTATAAATAAATACACCCCGCCCATCTGGCTGGGTTTACCCAGCCACTCTGGGCAGCTTCCAACAAAATATTATACATCAAGTCATTAAAAAGTACCCCCCAAAAGAAATCCAAAAGAACAGTCAACGTTAGTTTATTTAGCAAATATCTGTCAAAATTATTTCCCTTTCCCCTTTTTCTTTTATACAATTCTCATGGGCAGGAAAAAACCAAATACATTTTACAACCTTCTAAGAAGATTTAAATATTTTGCAATGTGCCGGCCGCAGAAAGGAGATCAAACCAGCAGCAAGCACCTAGTTATATGGCACTATAGAATGTTATCCGAAAATAAAACCAGTTTTGTTTTTGAAGGAGAGAGAAAAGTTTAAAACTTTCAACTCATGTCTGTTTTAGAATGAAACTCTTTTGCGATAAACTTCCGAGAACTGCTGTGGGTTAAAACATTTCATTAATGTGATGAATATGAGCTTTGGAATGCAGCCTCAGAGAATCAGAGTTGGAAGGGAACCTTAGGGTCATCTAGTCCAACCCCTGCAATGTAGGAATCTCAACTAACGCATGCATGACAAATGGCCACCCAACCTCTGCTTAAAAACCTCCAAGGAAGAGAATCCACAACCGCCTCTCACATTCTATTCCTACAGAAATGACACTTCTCCCCAATGCCTTTTGCTTTCAGGCTGTGTGGCAGCTTCCTCAGTAAAAGCAATAATCACTAGCTCTTAAGCTTTCTGTTGATCACAGGAGTCGCCTGGAGTGCAATCTTGTTTCCTCTGGAACAGGGGTCAGCAAATTTACCGCGCCTTGGGCCGGTGTCTCCAGCGCCGATCGCGTGGAGGGCGGGGGAGCGTGTGCCCATAAGTGCCTACACGCTATTCCCGGCGCACTTCCGGGTTGGAGGAGCACTGCATGTGCATGTGCACGGGCCTCCTCCGACCCAGGTGTGTACCAGAAATAACGCTTGTGCATGCGCACAATGCTTGCGGATGCGCACAAGCTATTTCTGGTGCTCCTCCAACCTGAAGTGGGCAGCCATGCAGCGCAGCGCCGGTAAGAGCAGACAGCGGCAGCGGGCGTCGCTGCAGGCCAGATAAACGAGTCCCTCGGGCCTTATCCGGCCCGCGGGCCTTAGTTTGGGGACCCCTGCTCTAGAAAGCCCACAAACCAAAGATGAACGCAACATCCTTCCTCCTTCTTTGTGCCCAGCATGTAGTGGTGGTATACTGCCTTTGAACATGGAAGTTCTATTTAGTTCTCACGGCTAATAGCTAAAAACATATCCTCTGTGAACTTTAGTGCTGTCTAAGCTGAGACTGGGCTGAAGGTGTTATCTCTGCAACTCTAAGGACTAGATCAGGGGTCGGCAACCTAAGGCCTGTGAGCCACAAGCAGCCCACGGGGGTCGTTTTACTGGCCCACGAGCCACCCCTGAACCGAGCCGCCTGCTCAGCAAGTCCCCGTGCACTGTGCTAAACCGGCGCAGCATGGTGAGGGGACTTCACGGTGCCAGAAATCGCGTCTATGCAGAAGCAATCCAGCCCACAGAGGCGGCTCCGCGGCAGTGAACCGGCCCAGGCAAGGTAAGCCTTGCCAACCCCTGGACTAGATACTTTCACGTTCTTTAGATCCATAGAATCATAGAATAGAATCATAGAGTTGGAAGAGACCACAAGGGCCATCGAGTCCAACCCCCTGCCAAGCAGGAAACACCATCAGAGCACTCCTGACATATGGTTGTCAAGCCTCTGCTTAAAGACCTCCAAAGAAGGAGACTCCACCACACTCCTTGGCAGCAAATTCCACTGTCGAACAGCTCTTACTGTCAGGAAGTTCTTCCTAATGTTTAGGTGGAATCTTCTTTCTTGTAGTTTGGATCCACTGCTCCGTCTCCGCTTCTCTGGAGCAGCAGAAAGCAACCTTTCTCCCTCCTCTATGTGACATCCTTTTATATATTTGAACATGGCTATCATATCACCCCTTAACCTCCTCTTCTCCAGGCTAAACATGCCCAGCTCCCTTAGCCGTTCCTCATAAGGCATCGTTTCCAGGCCTTTGACCATTTTGGTTGCCCTCCTCTGGACACGTTCCAGTTTGTCAGTGTCCTTCTTGAAATGTGGTGCCCAGAACTGGACACAGTACTCCAGGTGAGGTCTGACCAGAGCAGAATACAGTGGCACTATTACTTCCCTTGATCTAGGTGCTATACTCCTATTGATGCAGCCCGGAATTGCATTGGCTTTTTTAGCTGCTGCGTCACACTTTTGGCTCATGTCAAGTTTGTGGTCAACCAAGACTCCTAGATCCTTTTCACATGTACTGCTCTCAAGCAGGTGTCACCCATCTTGTATTTGTGCCTCTCATTTTTTTTGCACATTTTTTTGACATTTCCATGTCAATCATGCTTCCAATTCACTTGAAACTCAGTATTAGTCATGACTAATTTTGCCTTTTCAAATTGTGGGATTATGATAAGTGGGATGACAATATATCACACTCTTAATTAAGAGGCATTAATAGCAAGGATACTCATGCCTCGTCGCTTAACTGAAGTCATTTGAAGGCAGTCATGTATTGGGAAGTTTTTAATGTTTGACAACTTACTATGTTTTTATATGTGCTGGAAGCTGCCCAGAGTGGCTGGGGAAACCCAGCCAGATGGGCGGGGGTATAATAGTAGTAATAATAATAATGATAATGATAATGATGATGATGATAATGATAATGATAATAATAGTAGTTGTTGTCAAGGGCTGATATTTGATTTCAATTTGGTCGATACAAGAGACGTATAGACTTCAAATTTCAAACAAATTCACTTACTGACTGCATTCTTCAACCAGGGATTTGGAGGAGGCCTATATGGGAGTTACCCCACTTTAGCTAGGGAGGAAGTGGCTGGCTCAGGACCACCCAATGATACTCACTGCTGAGAAATAATCTAAACCCAGTGTGAGGAATTCAGGGGGGAAAAGAATCAGGACTGTTTCATATGTTGCAATTCTAAACGAGTGTTGAAAAACTACAGAAACCCAACTTGGTAAGAACCTCAACTTTATATCAAAAGGTAATGCAGTTTTACTATTCCTTGTGGATGAAATACCTAGTTTCTGTGCAATATCTGAAGAAGACAAACTCACGGAGGCAGTCAACGGCTACTAGTCATGGTGGGTATATGCTCCCCTCTAGGGCTGGAGGTGCCATGCTTGGGAATACCAGTTGCTGCAAAGAACGGCAGGATGCCCTCAAGTCACCGGTGTGAAGTGGGCTTCACAACCGTGTCTGTCCATCATGAGAAAAAGACACTGGACTGAACTTCAGGGCTGTTACTGTGTCTCAAAGAGCCGCTGTCAGAGGAAAGGATTTCCATTTCTATATAGTTCCTTTCTGCTTCCCTTGATGAGCAGAAACAGAATAAAAATTTCAAAATAAAAGCATTTGCGCAATTTATATGGGTCATGAAACTGAGGCTTTAGTGTCACAAGTAGGACTAATTCTAATCCAGGATTTAGACACAGGATGGTGCAATGAGATATTATTGGTGGGGTAGTTGAGAATCCTTTGTAGGAGACCCTGTCCCTCAGTTATTTTAAAATGTCTTACTCTTCATTGTGAATGCCATTCCAGGGTGGGTGACGCTTGCACAAGTTTCCAGAGTTCACTCTGTGTGCGACTGTTAAAACGGTTAAGTCTGTAGGGAAGACAAACTCTTGGATTAAACTCTCTCTTCACTTCGGCAGAGATGCACTTGGCATTTTCTTTCAGTCCTCTGTTCTCCAAAAACATGGGAATTACTGTGCGCCTTTGCAGAACACTCCAGTAAGCTGTGACGGGGGAAAACCCAAAGATAATGTGCTTTGCAGATTCTGCAGTCTGGACTAGGAGAGCTGAGCTATACTTGTTTTTTTCTGAATGGATGCCCAAAGAACCAACTCGAGTGCAGAGATGCAATAGCCTCCTTTGAGCGACGACAGGTAATTCTGGCATCTCCATGTAGTAAAAGGTAAAGGGACCCCTGACCGTTTAGGTCCAGTTGCGGATGACTCTGGGGTTGCGGCACTCATCTTGCTTTATTGGGCGAGGGAGCCAGTGTACAGCTTCCAGGTCATGTGGCCAACATGACTAAGCGAACCAGAGCAGTGCACGGAAACACCGTTTCCTTTCCTGCCAGAGCGGTACCTATTTATCTACTTGCACTGGTGTGCTTTCGAACTGCTAGGTTGGCAGGAGCAGGGACCGAGCAATGGGAGCTCACCCCGTTGCAGGGATTCGAACCGCCGACCTTCTGATCGGCAAGCCCTAGGCTCTGTGGTTTAACCCACAGCGCCAGTTATAGCTAAAAGATCCCTATCACAGCTGCTTCACAGGGAGAAGAATTCCTTGTCCTCAGATGAGGCATGCTCAGAGCCTTATAAGGCTTTTTAAAAATTCTAAAATTTCCAAAGAGTGGGAGCAAAGCTGCCTTAGGGTCATCGCCTCGTGAAATGGCTCATCAGAACCTGCTCACACATAATAAAGTTTGGAGTATGGAGTCTGTTGCTGCTGCTGGCTTTCATCTCAGACGGCAGGGTGGGAATATCCAAAAGAAGCAGGAATGTAGGTTTGAGCTTACCCTAAACAAGGTACACCAGGAATGAAGAGTCTTGATCTGCTGAGTACCTTGTGCCAACTCCTTATTCTCCTTGGACTATTGCCTAAATTACAGGAAGGCGGCTCCAGATAGAATCATAGAATTGTAGCGTCGGAAGGGACCACAAGCGTCATCTCGTCCAACCCCCTGCAATGCAGGAATCTTTTGCCCAGCTTGAGACTCTAACCCACGATGCTGAGCCTTGTGCTCTACCTACTGAGATGATAAGGTACAAAACTGCAGGCTCAAGCTGGATGGCTGAAAAGTCTAACTGGCTGCGGGAAGCCCAGGAGTGAAAGCTAAGTTTCTCAATGGCCCACATAACAACATAAAATCTGTGCAAGCTAGGCAGGAACGGGAAATGTATTAAATAACAATGTGCAAGCACAGGAAAAAATGCAGGGTGTTGGATTGGCTGCAGGATTTAGTTTCCTGAGAATTAAAAAACCCCCGATCCCCACCCAAAAACCTCTCTTTATGCAGCCGTAAGAACTAGAAATGTGCTTCTCTCCACCCCCCTTTAAGGATTGAGTCTCTGGGAAATGCCTGGTGAATCTCCAAAGCCAAGGTAAACAATTTCCAGTGGCCACGGGTTGGGAGTGAAGTGCTCTGCCCAGGTCTTTGCCATCTCTCCATAACATGTCAGTCCACCTCCAAGGCTAGTGAAACATGTAAAATTAGCAAAGATTTGCATATACAGGTTCCAGAGTGTATCTCCAGTTCTGATCACAGTTCTGTAGCGGAGGCTACGCCTTGCATATTCCAGGTCCTTGGCTTCCAGCTCCATGCGAGACAGTGGCATCCTTTAAGCTTCCCAAAGGAAAAGGATTTAAGAACAACAACAGGGCACGGCACGTCTTCCATCGTCATTAATCCATACGTGCTAAATCCAGAGCTGTTGTCCATGTGAGGTGAGAGTTGAAGTGGTATGTTTACGCCTCCTCTACCAGCTGCCCGGGCCTCCTTAGTCCCTCCCATACTTGGGGTCTGGGATTGAATCACCACAAACTTAAGCCTTTCAAGGCCTTCCTGATACTGTACTCCTCATCATCCTGCCACTAGGCAAGGCTGAGCCCTGGGCCGTTTGTGTTGCAGATACCGAGTCCGAAAGCAGCTGCGCTGAAGGGATGCAGCTGGCAAGACATTGCTTTCTGGGGTCAAGGCTTTCCAGACCCCTTTCTGGGGTCTCCATCTTGCATCCTTCTGCGACTGCGAACCAAACGCCGGAGTCCATTTCTGTCGCTGACAGGATTTGCCAGGAATCCTCTCCGCCATTTTGCTTCTCGATTGGCCCGGCCCAATTACTCGATAGTGACTGCGATGATGAGGGCGGACTCCTCCGCCCTCCTTGGTGGGTTGCCGGGCTGGCTCTGCACGGGGTTTTCCAACGGCTCCAGAGCAAGCGGGTGGGTCAGAGCAGGGGGTTCCTGCACAGGCTGCGGAGGCCCGGCAGCCACCTCGGGGTGACTCTTGCTCTTGTGCGCGGTGACGTTGTCCTTCTTCTCAAACTTCTTGCCGCAGAGGTCGCAGGAGAACTGGTAGAAGGAGTCCGCGTCGTGCTTCTTCATGTGCCAGTTGAGGGAGGCCTTCTGGCGGCAGGTGAACCCACAGATCTCACACCTGCATCAAACATAAAAGAAAAGGGGTGGTGATGCTCATCTGCATGAGGGGCTTCAGGGAACTCATGACTGGACAGCTCCATCCCCGTATACTAGGGGATATGTGTTTTTTGGACCCACCATATTCCTATGTCTTGTTTTAGCAGTTTTTAATATTGAATTTTAATTTGCTGCAGCCTACCTTGTGAGCTAGGGATGCGGGTGGCGCTGTGGGTTAAACCACAGAGCCTAGGACTTGCCGATCAGAAGGTCAGCGGTTCGAATCCCCGCGATGTGGTGAGCTCCCGTTGCTCGGTCCCTGCTCCTGCCAACCTAGCAGTTCGAAAGCACGTCAGCGTGTAAGTAGATAAATAGGTACTGCTCTGGCGGGAAGGTAAACGGCGTTTCCGTGCACTGCTCTGGTTTGCCAGAAGCGGCTTAGTCATGCTGGCCACATGACCTGGAAGCTGTACACCGGCTCCCTCGGCCAATAAAGCGAGATGAGTGCCGCAACCCCAGAGTCGGCCGCGACTGGACCTAATGGTCAGGGGTCCCTTTACCTTTACCTTACCTTGGGAGCTGCTGGTGAATTTATCATCTTCCAAAGCAACTACAGTGGACGCTCTGTCCACTGCCAACGTGATCCGTGCGGGAGGCAGGTTTGCAACCCGCAGCGCTGCATCTGCGCATGCTGCGATTCAGCACTTCTGCGCATGCGCAAAGTGCGATTTAGCGCTTCTGCGCATACACGAGCGTAACCCATTCTGGTACTTCCGGGTTCAGCGCGGTGTGCAACCCGAAAAGTGTCTGTAACCCGAGGTATGACTGTACTCTATTCTGAACTTAAAAATGGAAAGCATAATGCTGGTGGTCAACAAAAGAAGTTTAAAGACTGTCTCAAGGCAATTTTTTTTAAAAAGTAGTATAAACACCAACAACTGGGAAACACTTGCCTGCGAGCGCTCCAGTTGGAGAACAGCCTTTACCAAAGGTGTCATGGGCTTTGAAAACAGTTGGACTCAGGACGCAAGGAAGAAACGTGCTAGGAGGAAGGCACGCTTGGCAAACCCTCACCGTGATCAACTCCCGCCCGGAAACCCAGGTCCCCACTGTGGAAGGACATGTGGATCCAGAATTGGCCTCCACAGTCACTTACGGACTCATTGTTAAAACCGTGCTTATGGAAGACAATCTTACTTGGCTACGAGTGATCGCCAAAGAAGAAAACGCATTACTAATTGTTCTTATTATCAATAGTACAATACAACAGTCCTTACTGTAAGGGTTTTTCCCCAGTGTGGATTCGCCGGTGGATGATCAAATTGCTGCTAGTTCGGAAGGAGCGGGCGCAGAACTCACAGATATAGTCCCTTTTATCTGCAGGGAAGAAAAAAGTAGGTCACTGGCTATTTTGGGCCCAAGGTAACAAGCTTATATTGCAGCGAGTGTCTAATAGTTTTCCAAATATTAATCTTTTAACTACTACAGTGTACACATACAAAATCCTGTTACACATATTGGCAGGCATCCTAAGTCCCCCCCCCCCAATTCATGTAACAGAGGAGGTGATTTCTGCCAACTTTCCCCTTCATCTGTTGGGCACCATATCCCACATCAATCCCAAGGATCCCCCAAACCCCAAGAACAGATTTGGGTGGGGTTTTTTTGGGGGGGGGAGCACAGGAGGAACACAAAGGCAGGATAGCATTGTTTTGTGAATGTGAACACCGTTCCGTTAATGGAAGGAGAGTTAGGATCCAAATAACAAAAATGCTCTCTCTCTCACACACCAATTCCTAAATCAAAGCAGTTCAATGGAGAACAAACCTCTGAAAATGTTTCAAGTATCTTTCAAGATACATCTATATCTAGCAAGACAACAAAAGCAGATTTTGCAAACCTCTATGGTTATCAATGAGGGACACAGGTGGTGCTGTGGGTTAAACCACAGAGCCTAGGACTTGCCGATCAGAAGGTCGGCGGTTCGAATCCCTGCGACGGGGTGAGCTCCCGTTGCTCGGTCCCTGCTCCTGCCAACCTAGCAGTTTGAAAGCACGTCAAAGTGCAAGTAGATAAATAGGTAGCGCTCCGGCAGGAAAGGAAACGGTGTTTCCGTGCGCTGCTCTGGTTCGCCAGAAGCGGCTTAGTCATGCTGGCCACATGACCCGGAAGCTGTATGCCGGCTTCCTCGGCCAATAAAGCGAGATGAGCGCCGCAACCCCAGAGTCGGCCACGACTGGACCTAATGGTCAGGGGTCCCTTTACCTTTTACCTATGATTATCAAAGGACTTACAGTTCGAATCTGGAAGGATAAACTATCTTATTTATATCTCTATCTATAATTTCACACCATCTTTCTTTTGAGTGAATAATTGTGCACTGGGCAATGTTTTCTGATCTTGCATGCCATGCTGCCGTGTTTCTGCGAGTCTCACACTGCCAATCTTAAATCCTCTTGATAAGTCTGAAGACTAACTCAATACCCTGAAATGAAAACCAACCTCAAATAATAGCTGTGGGGCCTGCCCAAATATATACCTCTAGACACCATAGTATGGGCTTCTACATAATTTGCTCCCTTCTGGGAGCAGGAACTTGAACCCGTTCAGGACCAATCTATGGCTAGCTGCTCTCCACATCATCTCCCGGATGGAATAAGGGGGCAGGAAAGGGTTCGCCAAAGGCAAGTTAAAAGCACTTCAAGAGCTGGGCTGGTAGGGATCCTAACCAGGTGGGATCCTACAAGAATCCTCACCGCTGTGCAGTTTCTCGTGCTCCTTAAGGTGCTTCTTGAAGTTGAAGGACTTGCCGCAGCTGGGGTCAGAGCAGGTGAACGTTTTTTGGTGAACATGCTGATATTTCTTGTGGTGCTGAGGGGGCAGAAAAAGAGGTCAAAGTGGAACAAAAACTCTGCCTACTGCAACAAAACTGCTTTACAAAAACAGAGCAAAGCAATCTTCCTGAGCAGATAAAATACATCACATAATGGCATGACAAACTGCAGTCTCAGAAATGTGCCCGTCCGCTGCCTCTTTACATGGCTTTGATGGAGCAAGGTGGGATTCTGCTGTGGTAGGTATGCTGCCCCAGGGAGCTTTGCATGCCCACCACCTCCAGCATCTAATGTCCCTACGAGGAGGGCATGAAGGACCATGCCCAATGAATGATCCTCCACAGTTCTTTCTGTCTATATTGCTGGGCATGAAATCCTTGAAGGGGTGGGGCTCCCATGGAAACTTTCTGCAGTTAACTAGGGACAGGGGACGTGGGTGGCGCTGTGGGTTAAACCACAGAGCCTAGGGCTTGCTGATCAGAAGGTCGGTGGTTCAAATCCCTGCGACGGGGTGAGCTCCCGTTGCTCAGTCCTTGCTCCTGCCAACCTAGCAGTTCGAAAGCACGTCAAAGTGCAAGTAGATAAATAGGTACCGCTCTGGCGGGAAGGTAAACGGCGTTTCCGTGCACTGCTCTGGTTCGCCAGAAGCGGCTTAGTCATGCTGGTCACATGATCCGGAAGCTGCACTCCGGCTCCCTCGGCCAATAAAGCGAGATGAGAGCCGCAACCCCAGAGTCAGCCACGACTGGACCCAATGGTCAGGGGTCCCTTTACCTTTTAACTAGGGACAGAGTGTGTTGAAGCAAAAGTCAGGTGTTCCAGAAATTCTGCAAATGCCATCTCGACCGTCAAGATAACCCTACAATTATTTGGTGCAAGAATGAGCACCTAGATGTTGATATTCACTTGTTTTGAGATGTGGTACCTGGCTTGCTTTGATGCTATGCTTATCTGCGGGCCCTGCGATACTGGACTCTCGGCCAAGAGAGGGGAGCTATCTGTAAGCCTCGGACGATTGCCGCCTATATGCCCTCACAGGTCAGGTGGATCGATGGGAGGTTCTGGCCAAGCCAACATACATTTAACGTATTAGCACTTTGCAGACAAGCCCTGGCGACCTCTCACTGTGGTGGTGTCTGTCCCAAGACTGTAAAGGCAGTGAGGTTCTGCACACTGTGTTGTAAGTGGATACCTTTCTTTAATAAAACGCTAAGACTGGTCATTCTGGTGTTTTTGACATCCTCCTTTGGCCTCCCTGCCTCAAACCACTTGCTCAGGCTCTCCTTTGGGTTTGTAGTTCAGAACATAAGAGTTTGTATGGACAATATGCTGGTCCTCAACTAAAGGGTGGCGCTGTGGTCTAAACCACTGAGTCTCTTGGGCTTGCTGATCAGAAGGTTGGTGGTTTGAATCCACCCAACGGGGGTGAGCTCCCATTGCTTTGTCCCTGCTCCTGCCAACCCACAGTTCGAAAGCACCCCAGTGCAAGTAGATAAATAGGTACCACTGCGGCGGGAAGGGAAATGGCATTTCTCTGCGCTCTGGTTTCTGTCACGGCATTCCGTTGCACCAGAAGCGGTTTAGTCCTGCTGGCCACATGACCCAGAAAGCTGTCTGTGGACAAACGCCGGCTCCCTTGGCCTGAAAGCGAGATGAGCACTCGAACCCCATAGTCGCCTTTGACGGGACTTAACTGTCCAGGGGTCCTTTATATTTTTTTTTAAACTTTTGGTCCTCAACTAGTGGGCCAGTAGGCTGCACTAAACCTTTCTCTGATCACCTATCAATATGGCGGCCTTTCCTGCTGCTATGCGAGTGGTCATACAGTATGTTCCCCACCAAACCGGATTTCCTAAAATTACAGAATTTTAGAGCTGCAAGGGACCGTGGAGGTAATCTAATACAACCCCTTGCTCTGTGCAGGAATCTGCAAATGTATCTCCAACAGGCTTTTGTTTAACTGCCTCCTACGAAGGAGACCTTATCACCTCCCGAGGCAGTCAAATAGTCCTGGCTGACCAATTCACGTTTCCTCAGGATTCGACCATTTCCAAGTGCTCCATGTCCCCTCTCTGCCCTCGTGCATGGGGAAGTGCTTCCTGCCACTGATCCATCACTTACATTCAAATATTGGCGGTTGGAGAAGATCTTCCCGCAGCCATCATAGTCGCAGAGGAGGATCTCTCGCTTGGCTGCCTTCCTGCGAAGAAAGGCAGAGGAAACTCAGGTTCAATCCCTGACATCTCCAGGTTCCCCGTTCTTAAACCCTGAAGAGCTGCTGCCAGCCGGTGTAGACAATACTGAGATAGATGGACAAATGATCTGATTCGTCACAAGGCAGCTTCCTATGTTCTTATGTCAAGCGTCAAGCACTGGATTACTCAAAAACGATATGGTCAGATGTCATATACTTGGCCAAATATTTTTATAGGGTCAACTTTCTCAGAACAGCATCACTATATTTAAGCAGCTGTTATACTTAGGCTGTTTTTTTAAGGAGAACAGTGGGTGAGATTTAGTAGGTGCAATGGAATTCCCCTTCCTCCCTTCTAGAGCTCCTGCCTCTCTTTCTACTCTGGAAGGTTCCCCGACACCTACTGAAAAACAAAAAGCAGTATTTAAAGGTGTTTGTGCTAAGTTGACAGCCGGCCCATTCTTCAAGCATCACCAGATTCATGGAATATTTGACCATGGACAAATAATAGGGATTCAATGTTGTTGTTTAGTCGTTTAGTCATGTCCGACTCTTCGTGACCCCATGGACCCCATGGACCAGAGCATGCCAGGCACTCCTGTCTTCCACTGCCTCCCGCAATTTGGTCAGACTCATGCTCATAGCTTCCAGAACACTGTCCAATGATCTCATCCTCTGTCGTCCCCTTCTCCTTGTGCCCTCCATCTTTCCCAACATCAGGGTCTTTTTCAGGGAGTCTTCTCTTCTCATGAGGTGGCCAAAGTATTGGAGCCTCAGCTTCACGATCTGTCCTTCCAGTGAGCACTCAGGGCTGATTTCCTTAAGAATGGATGCGTTTGATCTTCTTGCAGTCCATGGGACTCTCAAGAGTCTCCTCCAGCACCATAATTCAAAAGCATCAATTCTTCCAGCTCTCACTTCCATACATCACTACCGGGAAAACCATGGCTTTAACTATACGGACCTTTGTTGGTAAGGTGATGTCTCTGCTTTTTAAGATGCTGTCTAGGTTTGCCATCGCCTTTCTCCCAAGGAGCAGGCGTCTTTTAATTTCGTGACTGCTGTCACCATCTGCAGTGATCATGGAGCCCAAGAAAGTAAAATCTCTCACTGCCTCCATTTCTTCCCCTTCTATTTGCTAGGAGGTGATGGGCCCAGTGGCCATGATCTTTGTTTTTTTGATGTTGAGCTTCAGACCATATTTTGCGCTCTCCTCTTTCACCCTCATTAAAGGGTTCTTTAATTCCTCCTCACTTTCTGCCATCAAGGTTGTGTCATCTGCATATCGGAGGTTGTTGATATTTCTTCCGGCAATCTTAATTCCGGCTTGGGATTCATCCAGCCCAGCCTTTCGCATGATGAATTTTGCATATAAGTTAAATAAGCAGGGAGACAATATACAGCCTTGCCGTACTCCTTTCCCAATTTTGAACCAGTCAGTTGTTCCATATCCAGTTCTAACTGTAGCTTCTTGTCCCATATAGAGATTTCTCAGGAGACTAGGGTTAGGGCTAGGGATTCAATAGATCAGTCCATTTGTCTAGCATGACCACCTTAATCTAACCATGAATTAGAGGCCTTCTTCCATGGTCCCTACGCTATGGGCCACTTCTGGGGAGGTTAAAGGCATGCCCTTTGGGCTCAAAAAGCCAATGGACCAGCACCCACCTGATTCTCTTTGGACCAATCTGGGCCACATCCTCATCACCAGGCTGTGCCCGCTTCTTGCAACTGTACAGGAAGAAATAAGCTTGGTAAGCATAGCAATGAAAGGGTCTTCCATGTAACAACAAAAAGGATCCTTCCCCAGAAGGGTCTTTAGGCTGCCACTGTGGCAAGGATGAGGGAAGCAGCCGTCTTTAAAAGTGGTGGGAAAATGGAAGGGGCACAGTGCCAGATTTATGTATGAGCTAAACAAGCGATAGCCAGTGTGGTGTAGTGGTTAAGAGTGGTGGACTCGTAATCTGGTGAACTGGTTTTGCTTCCCCACTCCTCCACATGCAGCTGCTGGGTGACCTTGGGCCAGTCACACTTCTCTGAAGTCTCTCAGCCCCACTCACCTCACAGAGTGTTTGTTGTGGGGGAGGAAGGGAGAATGTTAGCCGCTTTGAGACTCCTTTGGGTAGTGATAAAGTGGGATATCAAACCCAAAATCTTCTTCTTCTTAGGGCCCCACTCTCTTGGGGGCCCCCCAAAAAATTAAAAGGGAAAAAAACTGGATGTACATTTCCAAAATATAAGATAAAAAACAAATAAAATAAAACCTACATACAGCAACAGTGTTTTGTGTTGTTGTGTAGGCTCCTATGATGTAAGTAATAGGCCCCGCCTGCTAACCTGCTCCCTAAAATATCACTGGTTTGCTCATTTCTATATATAGGGTGCCTACATTCTGCATGGACTGGTTGTATGGCAACATGTACAAATGGCTTTAGATATCTATTAGCTCCATAAATTACCCTATAGCATATATTCAACACAAAAACAGCGACAATTTGACAAAGGACAGCTGGACATATAAAGGGCCCCATTACCTTCAGTAGCTTAGGGCCTCATCAAACCTAAATCCGGCCCTGAAGGGGCAAAAGCTTGTCTGCTAAGTACTTGAGCCCTGAACAGTTGCTCTGGCCACCCAGGAACCAAACTAACTTGACAGGATGCAACACCACTGCAACGCTACCGGAATCTAAAGGATGGGTGGCATGCCACAAGAGCTAATCAGCTAATTAACAGTGGCAGACTAGGACCTGGCAGACCAGAGTTCAAATCCCAGCTCAACTGGGCACTTCACAGACTCACAGCTTAATGCATCTCACATGGTTGTTGTGAGTTTTAAAATGGAGAGTGGGGAGGACCATGGAAGTTGCTTTGAGCTCCTTGGAGGAAAGATGGGATAGACCATCTTGAAAGACCCACATTGGCTCCCAGTACATTTCCGAGCACAATTCAAAGTGTTGGTGCTGACCTTTAAAGCCCTAAACGGCCTCGGTCCTGTATACCTGAAGGAGTGTCTCCACCTCCATCATTCTGCCCGGACGCTGAGGTCCAGCTCTGAGGGCCCTCTGGCGGTTCCCGCACTGCGAGAAGCCAAGTTATAGGGAACCAGGCAGAGGGCCTTTTTGGTAGTGGCACCCGCCCTATGGAACGCCCTCCCACCAGATGTCAAAGAGAACAATTACCAGACTTTTAGAAGACATCTGAAGGCAGCCCTGTTTAGGGAAACTTTTAATGTTTGATGTATTACAGTATTTTAATATTTTGTTGGAAGCTGCCCGGAGTGGCTGGGGAAGCCCAGCCAGATGGGCAGGGTATAAATAATAAATTATTATTATTATATAGAAAAGTCGTAATAATAAGAACAGCAGCGTTAAACTAGAAATGCTTGCACAGTCCTTAACTGGTGGTAATGCCCCGCAAAGCCCATTTACCTGTCCAGGGAAGGATGATAATTCTCATCTTGCAGGTCATCTGTATATACCAGGTTGTCTTCCTCTCTTTCGTCATCTTCCTGCTCTGGTTGGTCAGGCACAGACTCTGGCGTCTCCTCTGGTAGAGGCAAAGTGCTGCAGAGAATACAAAATAATTAAAATAAAAACTAAGTGAGAGGGCGCAGGGCTCAAAGATCCTTCAACGTAGAAAGGGGAATCGGTTCATACAGCCCAGCCCTTCCTGACATCAAAGGCAGGAGAGTTTCCCGTAACTGCTAAGCTTACTGCACAGCCTTTTTCCATGAATGTGTTAGCAAGGTTGCTGTGGAGGTGGGCAACTTCAAACTGCCTTGGAGACAAGGCTTTTGAAGGTCCCTAAACTCCATTACAGGGACGCGGGTGGCGCTGTGGGTTAAACCACAGAGCCTTGGACTTGCCGATCAGAAAGTCGGCAGTTCGAATCCCCGCAACAGGGTGAGCTCCCGTTGCTCGGTTCCTGCTCCTGCCAACCTAGCTGTTCGAAAGCACATCAAAGTGCAAGTAGATAAATAGGTACCACTCCAGCGGGAAGGTAAACAGTGTTTCCGTGCGCTGCTATGGTTCGCCAGAAGCGGCTTAGTCATGCTGGCCACATGACCTGGAAACTGTACGCCGGCTCCCTTGGCCGATAAAGCGAGATGAGCGCTGCAACGCCAGAGTCGGCCACAACTGGACCTAATAGTCAGGGGTCCCTTTACCCTTTACCTTTTTAAACTCCATTACCTAGAGCAGTAACCAACAGACCCTATGCAAACAACAACAAATGACAAAAAATGCTTTTAAAAAATGTATCAACAGATATATGGTTCATCAACATACCGGGTATACATATCACCAATGGGTGACAGGGGAGCATAGCAATTTTGTGAACGCCACAACCACTATTTAGCCGACCCTTGTAGCCAGCCTCTGCTGTGAAACAGGAAAGCCCAATTCTTCCTTAGCTCAGTCATCTGAGGAAAGATGCCTGTCCTGCCAATGTGGAGATCCACGTTGACATTCTCACTCAAGGGTGCCCTGAGAGAAGGCAGAAGTGAAGAAGCCAGGCCAGGGAGCTGATGGCATGTGCTCCTGAGAAGTCCCATCGGTCAGCCTGCAGAAACTCTGCTGGTCTGCGTTTTGCACCATTTGTTTGCTTTATTATTTTAAAGTCGTAAACTGCCTCTTGTATCTAGGCAGCCAGGCAGCATGGAAACTGACCTTTCAGGTTCTGTGACTTCTGTGGCAGCTGGAATCTCTTCGGAGGGAGTCGCTGCAAGAGGAAACATTCACAGTTAGAACTGGGTGAGACAGCCACAGAATGTGCATACATAGGAACACAGGAAGCGGCCTGATACTCAGCCCGGCCAATGGCCCATCTAGGTCCTCTAGCTGTCTAGGGTTTGGGGCAGTGGATCTGTCCCAGCCTAGCTGGGGATGCTAGGGATTGAGACTGCGGCCTTGTGCAGTGAAATCAGCAGAACTGCACGCTTTGTAACCTGGGAAACCTCCAGTCCGCGAAGAACAATGAAGATGATATAAAAGACCCCACTGAAAACACAGTCTAAACCAGGAACAGTACAAAATTACAGTCGTACCTTGGTTGACGAATGCCTTGCGACTTGAACGCTTTGGCTCCTGAACGCCGCAAAGCTGGAAGTGAGTGTTCTGGTTTGAAAACGTTCTTTGGAACCCGAACGTCCGACATGGCTTCCGATTGGCTGCAGGAGCTTCCTGCAGCCAATCGGAAGCCACACTTTGGTTTCCGAACGTTTTAGAAGTCGAACGGACTTCCGGAATGGATTCTGTTCAACGTCCAAGGTACAACTGTATAGAGGAGTCTTTCTGCTATTACATAGGCAGATGTTTTCCCCATAAAGAAACCCCCTTTTTAATACCAGCAATTTGCGTTTTTGTGTCAATAAGGTACAAGATGTTTTCTAACCACCACCGCCTTTGTTATTCCAACTCAATTACAATTACGGTGGTACCTCGGGTTACAGACGCTTCAGGTTACAGACTCTGCTAACCCAGAAATAGTACCTCAGGTTAAGAACTTTTCTTCAGGATGAGCACAGAAATCGTGCTCCAGTGGCATGGCGGCAGCGGGAGGCCCCATTAGCTAAAGTGGTGCTTCAGGTTAAGAACAGTTTCAGGTTAAGTACGGACCTCCGGAACGAATTAAGTTCTTAACCCGAGGTACCACTGTAATTCAAGCAATTACCATTTAGAAAAGAATATACAGAAATTACATAGACATATTATCAAAACCTACATGGCTAATTAATAGATCTTTTCTGGTACGTGTCTTTCGAATAAAATGAGATGCTACATTTCTCTTTGTTTTGCTTTAAAAACCTGTGGCAGGCTTGGTAATGATAATAATTCCTTAAGCGTGCCCCCCTCCTCAAATAGCCCCCAAGGGGCATATAACAAAGTTATCAATGACAGAATCCTACCTGCAGGATAATCTAAATACACAGAGGAGGAAGAACAAAAAAATGAACTAGAAATTCATTCAGATTCTCTGTGGTTTCTGATTATTTGACAGTATTGGAGGAGATTTATTCAATTTCTCAGTAACCATAAGAATTTGACAGGCATGCTTTGCAGACCATATCCCACAATTTGTAACGTAATGGTGCTTGCTTATTAAGCGAGCTGAATTTATTACTGTACTTTTCTGTGTATAAGACGAGCTTTTTTTTACTCTAAAATAAGGTTTGAAAACTGGGGGCTTCTTCTACACGGATAGTGGATAGGGGTGACGGGTGATCGGTTGCAGCCATGAGCTGCAGCTTGTCATTGACAATTTTGTGTGTGATTGGTGGCTGTGGCAAGGGGTTCTTTGTATTGGCTCCTGCTGTGTTAAATGGGTGTGTGATTGGTTGATGGGTCAATGGCTGTTGTGGATTGGCTACTGCCGTGGCAAGTTTGCTTGCTGTTTCCGGCAGATGCTTGTTGCAGACGCAAGCGATTGTCAATCTCTGTCAATCCCCTCCTCAAAAAAGCTCCACAACTTTGGGCCAGCCTCCCTCAAAAAAAGCTCCACAACTTTGGGTCATTTTCTTAAATAGGGGGCGTCTTATACACGGGCGCGTGTTATACATGGAAAAGTACGGTATTTCACTTACTGGGCCAGCCCTTTCCAGGCTGCTTTTACTTTCAGGTGCACCCAACAATTGCATCTCACACTCCAACGTAACGCCCTCCTATAGCCTCTAACCCAAGTTAGCCTCTTCGGTCGTTAATCATCCAAGAAGTAGAAGGGTTTGGATTTGATACCCTGCCTTTCACTCCCTTTAAGGAGTCTCAAAACGGCTAACAATTTCCTTTCCCTTCCTCCCCCACAACAAACACTCTATGAGGTGAGTGAGGCTGAGAGACTTCAGAGAAGTGAGACTAGCCCATGAGTAGGCAAACTAAGGCCCGGGGGCCGGATCTGGCCCAATCGCCTTCTAAATCCGGCCCACGGACAGTCCGGGAATCAGCATGTTTTTACATGAGTAGAATGTGTCCTTTTACCGGTATTTAAAATGCATCTCTGGGTTATTTGTGGGGCCTGCCTGGTGTTTTTACATGAGTAGAATGTGTGCTTTTATTTAAAATGCATCTCTGGCTTATTTGTGGGGCACAGGAATTCATTCATTCCCCCCCCCAAAAAAAATATAGTCCAGCCCCCCACAAGGTGTGAGGGACAGTGGACCGGCCCCCTGCTGAAAAAGTATGCTGAGCCCTGGACTAGCCCAAGGTCACCCAGCAGCTGCATGTGAAGGAGTGGGGAAGCGAACCCGGTTCACCAGATTACGAGTCTATCGCTCTTAACCACTACACCACACTGGCTCTCAAGTTCAAGGGCTTCCCTCCAGCATCCTACAAGCAGCCAGCCCCCCTCACCTGTCTCATCGGGGTTCTGGTCGCTCAGCAATCCCGCCTCCTCGCCAAGGACTGTTCCGCTGCCAGGAGAGAGGCACGCCGATCTCTCTCCGTCCGCACCGCCCTCCCCATCCTCTTTGGAAGATGGCTCTGCCTCGTCCACTGGGCTTGGTGAGTTCGAAGCGAGCGCTAAGGAGAAGGCATGGGCTGCTGCCGCCCTGCGGAGGGAACGCCGGTGCCGGATGATGCGGGAGGGTGGGGGGCTGGGCTTGGAACGCACGGCTTTCTCCTCTGGACACCTGGAGGCTGCCTTGCAGGGGGACGGAGGGCACGTCTGCGAGGTGGCGGGGCTCCAAGAGAAGGTGTGACCGGCTAGGCACTCCCATACCATGCTGCTTGGGACTTCTTTCTGGTCCAGCAACGAGGGCTTCACATTAGGGATGAAGCCACATTCCTGGCTGTGATTGTGAGAAAGGACGACGAGGTGCTGCAGAGCGTCAGGAGGAAGAGACTCGGAAACAACTTTGGAGCTGTCCTGTCCTGGGAAGAAGAAAGGGGAAACCAGCATGACACAGGCTTGGCCATGTATAACTCTCCCCTGTGGGACGCAGGTGGCACTGTGGGTTAAACCACAGAGCCTAGGACTTGCCGATCAGAAGGTCGGCGGTTCAAATCCCCGCGACAGGGTGAGCTCCCGTGGCTCGGTCCCTGCTCCTGCCCACCTCGCAGTTTAAAAGCATGTCAAAGTGCAAGTAGATAAATAGGTACCACTCTGGCGGGAAGGTAAACGGCGTTTCCGTGCGCTGCTCTGGTTCGCCAGAAGCGGCTTAGTCATGCTGGCCACATGACCCGGAAGCTGTACGCTGGCTCCCTCGGCCAATAAAGCGAGTTGAGCGCCATAACTCCAGAGTCGGCCACGACTGGACCTAATGGTCAGGGGTCCGTTTACCTTTGCCTATAACGCTCCCCTACACACACATGCATGCAAGGATTCCACCTCCCTACATTCTAGTCCTAAGTGCAGGGTTTTACTTCTGTGGTGAGAATGCTTGACATTGGGGTGTTTCAGGGATAGAAGTGCATCACAGCTGAGCTTAGAAAAAGTAAAGCATGGCTATTGGATGCTGCTAAGTCGCTTATTCGTTCCTCCCTCACCCTGCAAAAAAAGAGAGTTCAACTGAAACAATATACGCAAACTTCATAATCCAAGTTAAGTCTTTTGTTCAGCCACATCCAGCACCCAAAGGTCATGTCAAAAGGGAAACAGAAGTAAGTCCTCTGCTAATTTGCAGATTTTGTGTGAGATTAACTTGATCTACGTAACTGTTTAATGAACTCAAAGGTTGACACAGCGCAGCAGTGAGCTTACATGCTATACTACATTTTTATTAACAATTATTACAGGGCTGATCTACGCCTCCAGAAAAAGCTCTAGCCTGTTACCTTCTCCAATGGGTTAATTTTCTATGTGCAGGATTTTATATATGAGGGGAATGGTCAATTGAGTTACCTGTATTACATATACTTGTGGTATAGAGGGTAAAAATATAAAAGATTGAGATTGGGTGGACATGAAATGCCCTGCAGCAAGTACATTAAACCTTAGAGGTAGGCAAAATAACACAGTGACCATTAATTAACCACAATAGTAAATGGCTGTAAAAAGTTTTTACATCTGTAGAAAGAGAAAAAAATCTGCCATCTTGGCCCAAACCAGTAGTAATAGAATTGATTTTCACCATCTGTTGGGAACTTTAGGGCCGCTACTCCCAAAGTTGAGGCTTGCTCTAGTTTCAGAGAAGTATCACAGGCCCCCCAAACTAAAACTTGCTTTTTTTTTTAAGAGCCTGCTGACACACGTTTAAAAGAAATACTCGTCTATTGTATATCCATGACAAATTACAGTGCGAGTCTTTTGCTGGCTGGAATCAGACTCCTTCCCCTTTTAACAGGGATACTGTAAACGTTTGCGCAGATTGTTGGAGCTTTTGAGAAAGCCTGTCCTGCTACGATCTCCAGTGACTCAGGTAAGCCCACTGCCCCCCCCAATTACCATGTGAAACATTTGTCCAAGTGGGCAAACAGGCTATGCGGTTAAAAAACCCAACCAAACACATTGTACTTATCTGCCAGACTACTGTGAGATCACTTTAATACATACTAATAAAATGCCTTTTCTACAGAGAACCTACAAGGATTCTTACCTGTTTTTGGAACTGAGCCTTGTGAACTGTACCTGAATGAGAAAGAGAAGAGGCAGGAAGGTGAGCAGGCAAAATACAGGGGTCTGCACTTGATTTGCAGCAACTGCTTTCCTCAATATTACTGATGAAATAAGAAGTTGAGCATTTGCTAGAGCAGGGCTGAGGAACCTATGGCCTTCCAGATGTTGCTGGGAGTCCCACAAGTCAACATGGCCAGTGTTCAGGAATGGTGGGAGTTGGACTCTTGACAACATCCCAAGTGTCATCGGGCCACCATCGTTGCTTCAGGGATTTTATATCAGGCCAAATTTAAATGAGACATCAGATATGTAAATTGACTTCCCTATGTGAGGTTGCATGTGCTGTATTAATGCACTATCAAACTCTGATAGGTACCAGCAACACCACTGGAACAGAACATTGTGTCTGGATCCCTTCACAGGTATGTATTTTTGTATATCAAAGGCATTACCTTTAAACCAGGCCTCGGTAATCCCTGTAACAACCAGGAAAATTAGGTCCATATTATCTGTGTACTGCAAGGGAGGGTGGGGGAGACAAGCAAAAACCGAGACACAGCAGCTTGCTCAAAACTAACCATCTCCATCTCCCACAAACCTGCCTGGCTTTTTGTCAGACTTGCCACTTCTCACCTGCACATACCCAGTTACTTCAGCGCATGCAAATCTAGCACTTGACACACAGGTAAAGCAGGCCAAGGAATAGGCAGGTGGAAGTCAAGTTCTCCCTGAAGCAGCTTCCTCACCTGTCCAGCAGGTACTTGGCCAGCTGGGAGTGCAAAGAGAACCCCAGCTGCTCCTTCAGCTGACACCACTGCTCCAGGTGGCTGCCGATTCGGATGCGGCACTTGCTCCGCCGCGCATCCAGCTCCTTGCGCTTCTGCTTGCGAATCGTTTCGGAGGCCCGCTGGCGGCCCTGGCGCCCGTGGTCCATCATCTCCCAAGCTGCCTCGCTGGAAAAAGGCAATGGGAGTTGTGATCCACGAGGAACTCCCAACTGCGCCACGCAAGCAAGCTATAAAGAGCCGACACTGCTGTGAACAGGGGGCACACACGTTTCCTCCATCAATGGCTGAGCAAACCCTGCTGGTCCACCCCATTCCCTTGCCTAAGGGTCTTCCTCAGAAGGCACTGCTGCCTGCAAAGGGGTCGCCAAAGGGAACACCGAACGGTTTTAGCTGGCGGAGAAGGCAGGAAATATCCTTGCATGTTCCTGAAGCCACATTCTATTTTGGACACTTTAATAATGTGATTTTAGATTTGTCTATTGGAGGGTGGGGTGGGGTGTTTATGTTATGTTGTAAATAACATTCCAATAAAAAATTAAAATAAAATAATAATAATAATAATAATAATAATGTGATTTTAATGTAAAGGTGTTTTGGGTAAGCTGCTTTCAGAGCTCATCAGGATGCAGAAACCTGTCCTTGCGCTGTCAGTCTCTAAAGTGCCACAACTCTACCTTTCAGAGGTTACATATGACCCAAGCTCCCTTGTGTACACTCCCAGGAAACCATACCCCTTTTACCAGGGGTCAGCAAACTTTTTCAGCAGGGGGCCGGTCCACTGTCCCTCAGACCTTGTGGGGGGGCTGGACTATATTTTGAAAGAAAATGATGAACAAATTCCTATGCCATGCCCCACAAATAACCCAGAGATGCATTTTAAATAAAAGGACACATTCTACTCATGTAAAAACAAGCTGATTCCCGGACCGTCCACGGATTTAGAAGGCGAGTGGGCTGGATCCGGCCTCCGAACCTTAGTTTGCCTATCCATGCCTTTTACAATGCACATGTCTGCTGCTAGATATTGCATCTTAAACCCCCTGGCATTCCCCCTCTCCCTATTATTACCGGAATGATGCAGTACCTGTCAAACTAGAATTTGACTATGCCACTTCTCTATCTTATGAAGCAACAGGTGGGTCAGAATCTACTGGGTGACCTCTCGGTGCTTTGTGAAAGACTTGCAAGACTTCCTCCACCTGTTTAACAATGGCAACTGCAAGATGGTGCCATTGCTGGTGGTTTCTTTGGAATCCCTGAACTGCCACAATTCAGAAAGAGATTTGTACTTTTATACTTGTCAACCCAGTCTAAGGCTTGGTGTGTGAGCAACGGGTAACTTGCCTCTTCCTCTGGACTGTCATTTTGCAACTGGCTCCTCGTCCACTCCAATATTTTGCACCATTTGGGTGTCAGTTCCTTGTGGCAGGGGTGAAACTTGGGCTTATTTCACCAGGGGCAAAGACCCAGTTTGGCATGCACACACAGGCTGGGAGCCTCAATGTCGCCCCTCTGGAGGCTTCACCCTGGGCAAAAAACCTGGATAGACCCCCCACCCCCAGCTGGTAGCTACAGCTCTGCCTTGTGGATCAGTATTTTGCACCATTTGGATCCCAGTAAAAAAAAAAAAAAAAAATGAAGTAAATCCTGATGTCTGCCCATCCTTACTGTACAGAAATGAATGGCCTTTTCTTGCCTTAACAAAACAAAACAAAAAGGAAGAACAGAAAAAGGAGGCAAAAAACAGCAAAAGCACAAATGGATTATCTTGAGGTTTAATGTTACAGGAAAAAAGAAGAGTACTTTTCTTGATGAAAGAAATTGACTATCTCCTCCTTGGAATAATAAAGATCAGAATCGAAGGATGATAGATTGGAAGGGACCCCCCGAGTCATCTAGTCGAACCCCCTGCAGAGTCCTCCCCCTATAGTCTTCTAGGTGTTACAACGTGTCTGTTCTTTTGGCCCGCACAGCGCAGAGATGCATTGACGGGGTGGGGGGTGAACGGGGGAACCTGCCCAGCGCCCCCCAACTCGTGCCATTCTCGTGCTCCGCCGACGCTGCCGGTCCTCCCCCTCGAATCCACAGTCCCGCCCCTCCCTCTCCCTCAAGCCAACGGCTGCCAGCCCCTCTCGGGCCGCGGCCAATCAGAGGCCAGCGCGCAGCGGCCGGGGGAGGGGGAGAGGAGCGCCGCTTTCCCTCCGTTACCCGCGCGCCCCTCCTTCCTCCACCAACCGTCTCGCTCAGGCTTCGCTCCGGAGCGCCAGCTCTCTCGCCGCCGTCCACTCCATCTCCCCGCGTTGGTGCGGGCAGCGCTGTTCCGTTGAGGACTCCCTATGGATACAGGGGACGGGGGAGGGGGCCCACCGCGAGGCACCGTGGCCCCTTTAAGAGCGGCGAACGCTCCTCCTCCGCCCCTCACTCTTCGCTGACACACGAGAGGAAGAGCGGCGAAATATGGCAGCTGAGGAGGAGGACGGGAGGGGGCGGGGCGGAGAAGCCCCCTTGCCCTCGCGCGCCTGGTCACGTGGCCTCGCCGCTGGGTCCCCGGTGGTTCATGGGAGTTGTAGTTCACTCGATAATGCGCGTAGGGCCGGCCGGCCGCTTGGCTTTAGGTAGAGCGACGTTGAATGTGGGCAACCGCGTGTCTTTTCCCACCTGGCAAATGATGCTGGTTTTAACTTCACAATCTTTGATTTTATCCTCCAAGTCCGGTCCCTGCCATTGGCATTGGATTTGAATCGATTTTATATATTTGTTGTAATTGTTGGTGTAATTGTTGGTTTTTTAATGGTACACACACACAAAATTCTCTATTTTTTTAATAGTAGATTGCTTCAGGATGCCTTCTGGAAAGTGACACCCATTCATGAAACAAATAATAGACATAATTTTTTGAACTCCCAAGTTTCCAAGAAAGGTAATTTATTGTGGCTTAACTGCACGTTAAAAAAAATGTCTGCAAATGTGACATAAAGGCTGATAGCATCAACCCGGCCGTGTGGGAATCCCTTGCAGAGGACTGCATTGCCTGCAGACAAGCAGTCAGGTTGTGTAGGCACAGCAGTGGCCAGGGGAGGAATGACCGCTGGGAGAAGCGCAGAGAGAAATGCTATGTGCATCTGTAGCAGCACAACTGGACGCCTTCATCTGCCCCAGCTGCAACAAAACGGGTCTCTTCCATATCAATCTCTACAGCAAAGGCAGATCTAGGGGAGCACAATCAGTTCAGTCCCAGCAGGAATGGAGCTTCTGGTGTGCCTGTGGATTTTTATTACTTTCTATTGGATCAACCAATGACAAACCTAGACAGCATCTTAAAAAGCAGAGACATCACCTTGCCGACAAAGGTCCATATAGTAAAAGCTATGGTTTTCCCAGTAGTGATGTATGGAAGTGAGAGCTGGACCATAAAGAAGGCTGATCACCAAAGAATTGATGCTTTTGAATTATGGTGCTGGAGGAGACTCTTGAGAGTCCCATGGACTGCAAGAAGATCAAACCTCTCCATTCTTAGGGAAATCAGCCCTGAGTGCTCACTGGAAGGACAGATCGTGAAGCTGAGGCTCCAATACTTTGGCCACCTCATGAGAAGAGAAGACTCCCTGGAAAAGACACTGATGTTGGGGAAGATGGAGGGCACAAGGAGAAGGGGACGACAGAGGACGAGATGGTTGGACAGTGTTCTGGAAGCTATGAGCATGAGTTTGACCAAACTGCTGGAGGCAGTGGAAGACAGGAGTGCCTGGTGTGCTCTGGTCCATGGGGTCACAAAGAGTTGGACACGACTAAACAACAACAATGGATCAACGTGACCTAAAGACGTGTTTTCTGGTGCCACGCTACCCCACCAACCGGGTGATTTCTACAGCAGTGCAGCAGCCACATAGGCGTGTTTTGTGGTGCCCTGCTGCCCCACAGCTCAACTGACTGGTGCAGCAGATGGAGATGTTAGGGGCCCAGCAACACCTGCTTAGATTTGGTTTCAATCCTACCCACTGAGCAGTGAGCACATGGGGAGTCACAATCTCCCCTGCTGGCATACAGGAGAGATGAGGATCAGAGATGCCCATTATGATGTGCCAGAATCTGATTGGATGCCCAGGCAGCACATTGTCTACTCAATAGGATAAGAGCAGGCCCCTCAGTTGAGCACCAGCCAGCGTATGACAGCCAAGCTCAGAGCAATGGTAGCATCCTGAGGTGGAAACTAGAACCAAAGGAGACAATTAGAACAATGGCTGCTGCTTACAGAACAACGAGGAGGAGGACCCGCCTTCCCAAGAGAACGAAACAGACGATTCGGAAAGCCGCACATAAGAAGCTCCTGCCAAAGCCGAGAAAGCCAAATCTGAAGCAGGGGCGGAAGGTGGTAGACCAGGTAACGGCACCTGTAAAGCAGGATGTGAAGCATCCCTGCGATGAGTTCATCTCTAAAGTGTTGAGTCAGCTGCACCGCGACAGGGTGCCCATATCGACCAGGGCCAAAGGGAAGATGATCACCTTCATAAGGAGGTTCTATAACAATATGACTAACCACGCCAAGAGCAGCAAGAAAGCCCAGAGGACCTCCACCATCGGCTCGCGGGAACTACACAAAGCACTGAAAGGTGTGCTGCGCAAGAACCAAGCTGCGGAGTTGGTGAAATCCGTCCGCAAAGTGACACGGCGCCGATAGGACGACGTTCGTCCCAGTCTCCTTTGGCTGGCGCAAGTGAGATCCACGGGGGAGAAGAGACGAATGCGCCAGCCTTACAAAGCAAGACAAAAACCCACCTGATGAAAAGTCCTGATGCTACCCTAAAGATACCGAGAAATACTTCACTTTAAAGAAAACAACATCTCACAGGAGCACTGTGTTGATCACCATCCTGACTAAACTAAGAAGGGTTCTGAGCTGCAGAAGAATCCCTGCATCTCCGGAAAACCTTTGGGAGAAGAAACATCTTATTCTTAGGAATATAATAAAATGGGATTCTACCAGGATCTTTAGCTTGGGTGTGGTTACCTTTCCTTCCAATAAAGCAAGGTGTTTAGGGTTACTGCAGAAGGCATTTAAGGGGTAACCATCTTTATCTGGGAAGTAGCCAATGTAACACCAACTTTAACAAAAGGGAATTTGGGCTGGGGATCCTGGAAATTGCAGGCTATTTAATGTAACATCTCTCACAAGGAAAACTGGTCGAAAGTATTGTTAAGGATAAAATAACCCAGCATTTAGAAGAAAAAGCTTTGCTGAATTAGAACCAGCATGGCTTCTGCAAAGGTAAGTCCGGTCGCATAGCAGTCTGGTTAATCTGAAATAAGAGCAGAGGTTCTTTTGTAGGCAGGGCCAGCCCAAAACATTTTGGCACCTGAGGTGAACCACAAAATGGTGCCCCCACTCCTACCAGGGAAGAAGTGGGGAGATGGTATGTGTGCTTGCTGGCCTGGGCTTCCTTCAGTGGAAGCAGGTATGGAGCAGCTGGTCGGGTGCCAGGAATCACCTGGCTCGTGCAGCATCAAAAGACATGCCTCTTTTGATGCTGTGCTTGCCAGGAGATCTGCGGGGCACCACCACACCACAAGATGTGGATCTTCTCTAGCCATCCAACAGGTGATTCACCCAGCAACCAAAGTGGCATCTCTTTTGGTGCCCTGCTGCCCCACAGCCCAACTGACTGGTGCAGCAGATGGAGATGTTAGGGGCCCAACAACACCTGCTTAAATTTGGTTTCAGTCCTACCCACTAAGCAGTGAGCAAATGGGGAGTCACAATCTCCCCTGCTGGCATAATGGAGAGATGGGGATCAGAGATGCCCATTATGACGTGCCAGAGTCTGATTGGATGCCTGGGCAGCACATTGTCCACCCAATAGGATAAGAGCAGGCCCCTCAGTTGAGCACCAGCCAGTGTATGTCAGCCAAGCTCAGAGCAATGGTAGCATCGTCAGGTGGAAGCTAGAACCAAAGGAGACGATTAGGACAATGGCTGCTGCTTGCAGAACAACGAGGAGGAGGACCCGCCTTCCCAAGAGAACGAAACAGACGACTCAGAAAGCCGCACATGGGAAGCTGCTGCCAAAGCAGAGGAAGCCAAATCTGAGCCAAGGGAAGCAGGGGCGGCGGAAGGTGGTAGACCAGGTGATGGCACCTGTAAAGCAGGATGTCAGGCATCCCTGCGATGAGTTCATCTCTAAAGTTCTGAGTCAGCTGCACCGCGACAGGGTGCCCATATCGACCAAGGCCAAAGGGAAGATGATCACCTTCATAAGGAGGTTCTACAACACTGTGTCCAACCACGCCAAGAGCAGCAAGAGAGCCCAGCGGACCTCCACCATCGGCTCCAGGGAACTACACAAAGCACTCAAGCGCGTGCTGCGCAAGAAACAAGTCATGGAGCTGGTGAAAACTGTCCGCAAAGTGGCACGGCGCCGTTAGGACATTTGTCCCAGTCTCCTTTGGCTGACGCAAGTGAGATCTGCGGAGGAAACCTACAGAGCAAGAAACAAGAGAACCACCTACCTAATGAAAAGTCCTGATGCTACTCTAAAGAGACCGAGAAATTCTTCACTTTAAAGGAAACATCTCATGCGAGTACAGGGATCAACTACTCTCCATCCTGAGTAAACTAAGAAGGGATCTGAGCTGCAGAAGAATCCTTGCATCTCCGGAAAACCTTTGGGAGAAGAAACATCTTATTCTTAGGAATATAATAAAATGGGATTCTACCAGGATCTTTAGCTTGCATGTGGTTTCCTTTCCCTCCAATAAAGCCAGACATTAGGGTTACTTCAGAAGACACTTAAGGGGCAACCATCTTTATCTAAAGCAGGGATAGATGAAACGATGTGGTCCTCCAGGTGTTGGATCACAGCTCCCATTATCCCTGAACATTGGGCCATGTTGTCTGGGGCTGATGAGCAAATGAGACCAAGGCTGGATCTAGAGATATTTAAAAATGTTACAGGAAAACGCGTTATGAAGCTCATAATGTAAAATCCCATTTTGGCTGCTCTACAACGTCCCACCTGGCGCCCCCCACCCAGTGCATGACATCATGCATATGGCAACATGTGACGCCGGTCACCCTCAATGTGGGAGGGTTGGGTTATTCAGAGAAGCTGAGTATAGCTCTCTTAAATTGGTTTTGTTATCTCTTCTGTCAAGGTCATGCTGACTATAAAAGGAAGGGCAGAAGGAGCCTGCGTTTCAGTTTCTTTTTCTATCTCTCTTCCTTCTGGTGTGGTGTTCTGTACATAGTATGTGTACATAGTGTTAAGGTTTCAGACTTCTTATAACTTATTGTAAGTTTAAGTTAAGTCTGCTGCAACTGGATTTCTTATGGGCAGTGCCAATCCTGAATGTATTGGATTTGTGACCATTATGCTCATTTGCCTTCAGTAGCAGTAAAGCTCTGCTGGGTGAAATATTAATTGCCTCTGGTCTATTTTTGGGAATCCTGCAACGGGTTTATGTTTTTTACTCTGCTAACTATACATTGAAGTTCTGCTCTGGATCGATACTGAGTAGAATTTCATGACAGTTCAGTATGTACAGTATACTGTACTGTACTGTGTACATATATAATATATCTATATGTATCATATATCTATATGTATTTTATGTATATATAGATATATAGTAAACGCTGTTGGTGCTGCCATATCGTGTGAAGCTGGTGGAGGCTGGTGGAAAGAAAAGCAGAGTAAAAACTCAAAATAATAGTAAAAGGCTCGAATGAGGCCACTGGTTTTGGCCGCCGATCCGTTTTGGTTTCGGCTCCCGGTCTTCGTTTGACACTTAGATTTTGCATTTAAACAGGCGCGACTGCACCGCAACAAGCGCCTGCCGTTGCAACGAGCACAGTCGCCCTTGCATTGCAAACAAGTGCATGCATCTGGGTGCTCCAGGAAAGATCGGCGAGGGAGGGTGACTCTGCCGGAAGGAAAATAATCCTATAATATTTTTTTATGGCAATTCGGGAGAAGAGGGGATTAGAAAATCAGCCGACCTGCGGTGTTTTAATACTGTGGTTTTCGGTGGGCATGGAACGATTCGACGCTGCCCGGGATTTAGCGCTCAGACGCTGTTAAGCGCCAGTGAGAGCATCCGGGGCGCTTCGCTACGTTGTTTCCCCTCCTTCTCCCCAGTTGGAGGGCGATTCCTGTGCATTACTTATCCCTCTTTCCTTTCAAATGAAACGAATGCATTGTCTTAAGAAATAGCAGCCTGCCAAGCATTAGGGTGCTTTGTTCGCAGCATGTTTCTGTCAGTGTCAGGATGGCCGAGTGGTCTAAGGCGCCAGACTCAAGGCTCATATCCTTCCCAGGCTCTGGGTGTTCTGGTCTCCGAATGGAGGCGTGGGTTCAAATCCCACTTCTGACACATCCTTTTTTTTTTTTTTAAATAATACTTTTATTTCCCATAAAAACATACATAAAGCCTACGCACAAAAGAACTTAAAAATACATTCCAGAAGAGAGAGAGAGAAAAAAAAACATTTTCTCTTGTTTATGTTCAAGGTGGCTTTCATGTCCCCTGCTTTTGCTTTCAAGTTCCTTTTGCTACTTGGAGTGTATTTTGTGGAGTAGAGAATAAAGAAGGGGAAAAAGGGAAGGACGGCTTCTTTATTATATCTATATAACTATAGAAATCTTAAACCTTAGGACTGCAAAGCACCAACTCTTTCCAGACATTTTGGCTTTTAAACGAAAGACAACTATTAGTAGTTTTTCTTCTTGCCGCCCTATAAACAGAACCTTCAATCTGCTGGTTTGTAACACAACGTGCAGAGAGCTTATTTTTTTTAAGATTTCCCAGATTCCATATGTTGGTAAAACATACCTAGACTTGGAAAACTATATCCTAATTTACTAGACTGTATACTAGCTAGTGAAAAGCTTCGCCAGCCGCTTCCCTGGTGGTCTAGTGGTTAGGATTCGGCGCTCTCACCGCCGCGGCCCGGGTTCGATTCCCGGTCAGGGAATGCGTTTTGCAAACAGTTTCAATCAGTCACAACACCAGCATTTACTCAAAATAAAATATTTTGAGAACACTTAGGAACCCGCTCTTTTGCTTCGAGCGGCTGTACGCTCCATCGTTGCAGAAAAACAACTCCTTGTCCGAAACATCTCTTTACCCCTGTTGCTCGCAGCACTGAAACAATAAATCGACCCGCCCTGAACTACTGCAGCTTTCTTCAACGCTGGACTCTGCTTTTGTTTTAAATGGGTTGATGTTACGTAAAGTATTACACTGATTAGGACCTTTATTGCATTGCTCGCCCGTTCCTTCGTGCTTTATACTCTAACTTGGCACCAGGTGGCAGCCTGGCATCTTTGGAACCAGGTGCTGCTGCCACAACACGTATGGAATAACTGACCAGCTAAAACAATACAGTCATACCTCATGTTACATTTGATTCATGTTACGTTTTTTCAGGTTGCATCCCATGGCGACCCGGAAGTACCGGAAAGGGTTACTTCCAGGTTTCGCTGCTCGCGCATGTGCAGAAGCGCTAAATCGCACTTCGCACATGCGCACAAGTGCCAAATTGTGCCGCGCACCAGCGCAGATATGGCGCTTCAGGTTGCGGGCTTTTCACGTTGCGAAAAATTTCCTCCGGAATGGATCCCGTTCGCAACCAGAGTTACCACTGTACACACATCTCTCTTTTATCACCTGCGAAGCTACAGGACTAGGTGGATTCATTTACAGACAATATTACTGGTTGGAGTCGAGGAGGGGCAAGAGAGGATAATATCATCATTGAAGCTGGCTTCTGTCCAGAGATCTGCCTGTTCTCTATTCTACCACCAACAGTGGCAAAGTCGGGACCAGAAGGACTATCCCAGGACCGTAGTCTTTAGATACAGTGGTACCTCTGGTTGCGAACAAGATCTGTTCCGGAGGCCCGTTCGCAACATGAAAAGAATGCAACCCGCAGTGGTGCATCTGCACATGCGCGGGTTGCGATTTGCCGATTCTGTGCAGGCGCGTGACATCATTTTGCGTGTCTGTGCATGTGTGAGCGGCGAAACCTGGAAGCAACCCATTCCGGTATTTCCAGGTCGCCGCGGGACGTAACCTGAAAGAACGTAACATGAAGTGGGCGTAACATGAGGTATGACTGTACAGTGGTACCTCGGGTTAAGTACTTAATTCGTTCCGGAGGTCTGTACTTAACCTGAAACTGTTTTTAACCAGAAGCACCACTTTAGCTAATGGGGCCTCCTGCTGCTGCCGTGCCGCAGGAGCACGATTTCTGTTCTCAACCTGAAGCAAAGTTCTTAACCTGAAGCACTATTTCTGGGTTAGCAGAGTGTGTAACCTGAAGCGTATGTAACCTGAGGTACCACTGTACTCAGATTTACACTGTTTCGGTGCAGAAACTCAGGTTGTGATGATAAATCAGCTTTGGGGCGAATGGCCTCTACAGTCGTACACCTTGGATTCTGAATGACTTGCAACTCGAACGTTTTGGTTCCTGAATGCTGCAAACCCGGAAGTGAGTGTTCTGGTTTGCAAACGATCTTTGGAAGCTGAACGCCTGACGCAGCTTCCGATTGGCTGCAGGAAGCTCCTGCAGCCAATCGGAAGCCGCGCCTCAGTTGTCGAGTGTTTTCTGAAGTTAAACGGACTTCTGGAAGGGATTCTGTTTGACAACCAAGGTACTACTGTATGTTTATTCCCACAAAACATGCCTAGGGATGATGAAGCCCGGCTGATTTTTTTCTTAGCTGAAATCATGATTTCTGTGGTAAAAGTAGAAGGGCAAGGTGCAGTTAATACATAGCTGTCAACGTTTTCCTTTTTAAAAGGGAATTTCCCTTATCCCGAATAGGATTCCTCGCAAGAAAAGGGAAAAGTTGACAGCTATGAGTTAATATCTGCCAGAAGCCACTGTCACAACTAGATCATAGTAAGGGTAGGTCATAGTCCCGTTCAGGGTAACAATGGTTCCTTGGCTACAGTGAAGCCAAAGGCACTTTCATTGTCATGCTATATTGTCTATATATGCCCATGCTGACAAAAATATGGTGACATTTGAAGGCTGGAGCTTAAGGAGAACAGAACAATGGCAGCCAAACAGCAAGGCAAAAAGAAAGCCAGGGTTCCAAAGAGGAAGAACGTCAACAAGAAGCACCAACAAGCGAGACGGAATTGGAAGAAGCTCCAGGCTCAAAAACATAAGAAGAAGCAGCCTCATTTGAAGCGTCAAGCCAAGAGGACCTCAGCCGCTAAGTCAAGGAGCAGTGGGCAGCCAAGAAAGATCTGTTCCTCAAAGCTCTTTGCTTCCAAAATTCTGCGACAGATTCCCAAGGTGCGCATGGAGGCCAAGGCCAGAGATTTGATAAAGACCTTGTTGGCGGACTTATACAATCATGTGGCGACCCAAGTAGAGGCCTTGAGCCAGAAAGAGGAGCAGGCCCCCATTAGTGGCGATGAAGTTCAAGCCGCCTTGAAGGAGGCCATGGAGAGGGAGTTGGCCAAGCACACGGCCGAACAGCCCACCGCCATCCCCACCGAGTGCGCTTAGAGAACCATATCTCCCCTTCTCCAGCGGCGGCAAGAAGGGACAGGACCAAAGGTTGCCCTGAGAAGATGCATACAATATTCCAGAGACTTTAAAAATATACTGCTGCCTTCATAAGTCCAAGAAATCCTGTCGTTTACCACTTTAGAGATCTTATCGGACACCGGATGAAGTGAATTTGTATGGAAAAGACATGAAAGAGATGGTTTTCAAAAAGAAAAGAACCACAATTCCAGTAAAGCAGGATTTTAGCAGCTTTTTTCAGTTCTTCCAATAAATCAGAATTTTAGCAGCTTTATTCAAGTGTATTTGTTTCTTCTTCTTCTTCTTCTTCTTCTTCTTCTTCTTCTTCTTCTTCTTCTTCTTCTTCTTCTTCTTCCTCCTCCTCCTCCTCCTCCTCCTCCTCCTCCTCCTCTCTATGGAACTCAGCTTGGGTTTGACATTATTAACTGTGAAGGCACGTGGTTGTTTTTAGATGATTTAAATCCTTCTAAAATGTTTGTAAAAGTTTTATGTCACTTATTTTTAATTGTATTGTTATAACATTTTGTGTTTGCCTCCCTGAGCATCTTTGGGAGGAAGGGCAGGGTATAAATTTAACAAGAACAAGAACAACAACAACCATTTATTATTTATACCCTGCCCATCTGGCTGGGTTTCCCCAGACGCTCTGGGCGACTCCCAAGAAAAGATTACACAATATAATAAAATAATAATAATATAAATAATAATAATCAAAACATTTCAATATTAATTAAGAAAATATAAACATGCTGATTATTTCTTCAAAAAGTGTTATTCTACATTACCCACTTTCTCCTACCATGCACATCTCCTATCCCTCAGGGCACTATTGCTACCAGGTTATCCTAGTGTACTCTTTGACTTATCCTTGACAGAGCAAACTTGAGCCACACTTTTAAAGCACCTTGCTTTTTCACCAAAAATCCTGGGAACTGAAGTCTGCTGTGGATTGTTCCCTGCATTCTGTAGTCTCATAGGAGTAGGTGTTGTAGTAGCCATGTTTTAAGGCTAAGCCAAAATGGCTTCCAATTTTGCTGTGTGTGTATTTTTTTTTTTAAATGATATTTATTAAAAGTTTAAGAATTACAGAAAAAAAGAAAACAACAAAAAATTTGACAAAACATACATTACAATACATAAAAGGAAAAGCATAAAAAACAATAAAAGCAAAAAAACACACAAAAAACCCAATAACATTAAAACTCACATCCAATGTTCCATATCTTTATCTTTCATTTACTTGTTTCATCGACCTCCTCACACCTCCCTTTTTGTATTCTAATTTAATTATTTCAGCAAATTCTTTCCATCTTTCTCAATTTTTGTTATATAATTTATCTTAACGATCTAACCTTTTAATTAACTCAACAAATCCTTTCCATCTTTCACTATATTGTCATTCAGTTTACCTTAATTTATTTAACCTTATCTTACCATAAAAAAACCTTAAAACTTAATACTTATTTGTACATAACTCCTTATATCATTTCTACTAAAGCCAAATAGTTTCATTCCAACATTTTTCCTAATACTCGTTAATTTTACACTAATTCTCAAAATAAATTTTTAAAAACTTTCTTCCAATCTTCATCCAACGTCTCTTCTTCCTGGTCTCGGGTTTTGTCAGTCCTTCTTGTCCATTCCATCTAGTCCATCAACCTGGTGATCTTATGTCCGAGGCTCTTAAGTCTTTTCCATGTCCCTTCTGCAGATCTTCTTCTTGTTTATACCTGCACTTTACTTTGTCTTTTGTTGATCTTTTTCTTAATTTCTTTCCTTTCTCATTGGGGGTAGGTCTCGGGAGGACTCCAATCCAAAAATATCTCCATCTCCCTCAGCAGATCAGCCCATTCCCTACAGTCCCATTCCCCACAGTCAACACTGTAATCCAGGAAGTATTTAAAAGCATGTTTCAAAGTCCTTCCAAAATTAAGAGCCCTCACAACTCCAGACCCCCCCTGGTCCACTCCAGATTCAAACTTCAAGAACAGCGGCTTATGCTCCTGCAAGGCCTCGGATCTCTCCATTTGTGTTACTTGAGGTTCAACAGCAACCTCCTCCATTATCTTCTGCACTTGCGCTTGCCCTGTCAAAACAAGTTCCTGGGCTGGTTCCTGAATGGTTTCTATATGGGTATTCGCCGTTTGTCCAAAGTTTTTAACTGCAACAGTCATCAAATCCATCTTCTCATGCATCTGCTCCAGCAAAGCACTTGTCTTGCAAAAAGCAAGCACCAAAACTTCTTCTAAACACATTTTTATTCAAGGTCAGAGTCAGGTCTCACGATCCTAATCTTACAGCTGTGAAATCCCCAGATCGACTCCAGCAACAAATTAACAAACTCCCTCTAGAGGATACAATTTGTATTTGTATCCATCTTTTGAAAGCAGGACCAACAAAAGAAAATTACTTTCATTTTTCAAATATTTTGTTTCTTTTGAATGCAAGAGGCAACACTGAAGTCAATTTGTTTCTCTTTTTTAACTATCTGTCAAAAGACGTTCCATTCACAGTCGATGAACTTCCCCATAAATTTCTGTCTCTGACACCCCGTTCCCAGGTTTGAGACGGTGGAAATTTATCTTTCTTTACTCTCTCTCCTGCAGGCTTAAACAGTCAAAAATTCCCCCCCTTTTCTCCTGCTTCCAAGAGGGGTTTTGGTGGTAATAACTGAAGGAAATTTAGACCTTTATATACGACTTTCCAGACTTTAGCTTGCAAAGTTTTTGCTTCAATCTATTTACAAAAACGGGAGGCAGACTTCCTGTTTAGAGCCTTCCCGCTTCAGTGCCAAATTAAAATGTTTCTTAATCCAATTTTCCGTTCTACTCACGGGTACTTGTTTAGAGTCCAATTGTTCACAGGAAAAAGTCAGCGCTCTCCGGCAACGGCTGTGCGGCTTCACTCCGTAAAAGTAGCGGTTGATTCAAAACACCGCGCCACTCACCCCACGTCACTTCGGATCCCCAAAAAAAGGGTTTCCCTGCGAGTAGGGGGAGGCGCTCCTGGTGTCAGCCGAATCCCACGTTCCCAGGCTTCCTCCGCCTGGGATTTTTAAAGGGTCTCCGCCTTCGCCGCGGCGGCAAGACCCGATTTTCACGGAGCGGGTTCCTCTCGGTCAGAGGAACTCCGCCATTGCTGATGGCGCTAACCCGGAAGTCTCCCAATTTTGCGGTGTGTGTAAAAACACTGTCTGGAAATAGCAGCAGCGGCAGCAAAAAGGCACATCTTAGAGGCTGGAGGCTGTTACCCCAACCGCCTCAGAATATTCTGAGAGGACTTCTGTGGTCAGGGCCGGTCCAGCCATGAGACAAGCAGGATACACAAAGACAGGAGTTCCAATGTAGATCTTTATTTCCCCCTGTTTCCTGATGTAGATCTTCACCCACCCCTTCCTCCCTGGCAACAGGGTCCGGGGAGAACACCATTTTGTGGTTCGCCCAGGGTTGTCACCCGCCCTGTAAAAAACCGGGATCATCCAATTTTGAGGCCAAAGTGCTCCTTGCCCCGTTTCAACTTTCAGCAGGACTCCTTTCCACCGCTACTTCTGAAGTCATCAACCATGAAAAATAAAAAGGTTAATTAAAGCTTAATTAGAAGGTAATTAGAGAGAATGATAACAATGTGATAATACAGTCATACCTCGGGTTACAGACGCTTCAGTTTGCGTTTTTTTGGGTTACGGATGTGCCGAAACTCGGAAGTACCGGAGCAGGTTACTTCTGGGTTTCGGTGCTTGCGCATGCGCAGAAGCGCTAAATTGCGCTTTGCGCATGTGCAGAAGCGCTGCATAGCAACCCACGCATGCGCAGATGCGGCACTGTGGGTTGTGAACGCTGCGGGTTGTGAACGTGCATCCCGCACGGATCACGTTCGCAGCCCGAGCGTCCACTGTATACTACTATATATAAGCAGCAGAATGCAATAAGTGAAATCAGAAACAAACCAGAAACGGAAATGGAGGGAAGCCAAGGGGGAGAGGGGAATTTACAAAATGATTGTTTGGTTAAGTTGAGTAATGTATGATATATGTATGAAAACTAATAACTAATACTGATTTAAAAAAAGAAAGGTTCCTCCTTTGCACGCCCACCCTAAAGTGCTTGCCTTGCATAGCCCAGTTTGCCTAGGATTTTGAGCCCACCTTCCAAAGCCGGCAGACAGATGCTTCAGGGGAGCCAAGAGAGTTCGCCGGCCCTTTCTACCACCTCACCTGCAAAAAATGAAAGATAAGGAAATAAAACTGGGTGTCATCAGCATACTGATGACCAGGACTTTCCCCCCAGCTGAAACTCACTGGAACTCAGTTCCAGCACCTCTCAGGTGGGTGCCATTGCCATTATAAGAGAACAAGGGAGGTGTTCATGGTGAGTTCCTGCACTTAATCATTCTATTGCATTACATTACATTGCATGAAGGAGCATCTCCACCCCCATCGTTCTGCCCGGACACTGAGGTCCAGCTCCAAGGGCCTTCTGGCAGTTCCCTCACTGCAAGAAGTGAGGTTACAGGGAACCAGGCAGAGGGCCTTCTCGGTAGTGGCACCTACCCTGTGGAACGCCTTCCTGTCAGATGTCAAGGAAATAATTTATTATTATTATTATTATTATTATTATTATTATTATTACAGTGGACCCTTGGGTTACGTTACCTTCGGGTAGTGTAACTTTTGGGTTGCGAACGCCGCAAACCCAGAAGTGTATACTTATGGGTTTCGCCACATGCGCAGAAGTGCTCTGCGTGCTGTGCGCGTGTGCAGAAATGGCGCCTCATGTTGCAGACTTTTTGGGGTATGTAAGGACCCCCGGAACAAATTAGTTTGTATCTGGAGGGTCCACTGTACAGTGATACCTTGGTTTAAGAACTTAATTCGTCCCGGAGGTCCGTTCTTAACCTGAAACTTTTCTTAACCTGAGGTACCGCTTTAGCTAATGGGGCCTCCCACTGCTGCCGCGCCGCCGTCGTGCGATTTCTGTTCTCATCCTGAAGCAAAGTTCTTAACCCGAGGTAATATTTCTGAGTTAGCGGAGTCTGTAACCTGAAGCGTCTGTAACCTGAAGCGTATGTAACCCGAGAGACCACTGTATTATTATTGCTTGCCAATTCCTTCATGCATTTTCATAAAGATTTATACTCTAACTTGGCACCAGGTGGCAGCCTAGGATATGCCATCTTTGGAACCAGGTACTGCTGGACATCCAGAGAAAGAGCAGATATGTGTGTTCGTTGTTCTGCTTCATTCCCAAAAAGAGGAAGGAAAAAACTGCACAGCAGCTACACTGCAGCTTGACATGGAAGTTCCATTGGCAAACATGGGGTGAACTGATGGAGAAAATCGTGCAATACGGCGCGGGGTGTGTGTGCACCTCAGCGATGAGGTCACATGGAGTACCTGACCAGATAAAATGTGCAAATCTCATATCTTTGATAATGTGCAACAGGAGTAGGTGTATTCATTGACATGTTGTTGTTGTTTAGTCGTTTAGTCGTGTCCGGCTCTTCGTGACCCCATGGACCAGAGCACGCCAGGCACTTCTGTCTTCCACTGCCTCCCACAGTTTGGTCAAACTCATGCTGGTAGCTTTGAGAACACTGTCCAACCATCTCATCCTCTGTCGTCCCCTTCTCCTTGTGCCCTCCATCTTTCCCAACATCAGGGTCTTTTCCAGGAGTATTCTCTTCTCATGAGGTGGCCAAAGTATTGGAGCTTCAGCTTCAGGATATGTCCTTCCAGTGAGCACTCAGGGCTGATTTCCTTCAGAATGGATAGGTTTGATCTTCTTGCAGTCCATGGGACTCTCAAGAGTCTCCTCCAGCACCATAATTCAAAAGCAAACAAACAATAATATTAACTGGAGTCAAGGAGGGGCAAGAGAGGAGAGCATCACCATTGACAGTTTCTAAAGAACTGTCTCAAGGTGATTTGTGCATAAAATAATTGAAAACAGCCTGTATGATGAGGAAGAGAGGAGGTTCAACAACATCAGGAGGCGCATACGTTCCCCATCTCTGTTCTGAAATCTGTATTTCTTCCCCTATGGACAGATTCCTGAAATATATTCCGAACCAGTGTTGAAAGAAAATATTGCACACCCATATACTCAATTTTTCACCATAACTTTGAAAATTCACAACATTTCAATGCCTGTGTTGGTGTTGGGATTCAAGCCTTTATCAGGAGAAACTGGCCACTCTCCAGGCACCCGGCTTGATCTCCTGTTGACCTCCCTGTCATTCCCCAGCAGGATCCAGGCAGAGGTCGCGATAGGCGATCCTTCTCAGCGTGAGAAGAACACGCCCCCTCTTTCCTGCCCCCCTTGGGCAGGGGGAAGAGATAGACAGAAACGTATTTACATTCCTTTATTTCTGTCTTTGCAGCGTTACAAAAATCATGTCTGCTCTCTTCAAGCTTCAGCAGTCGAGAGACAAACTCCTCCTGTACTTCCTGTACAGCTCATATTACACTCTGAGCTAATTCCGGTGCCCTCTGCACTGTGAATTGACTGTCCCTCTGTTTCCCATGGAACAGTCCCAACATTCCCATTATGTTTTGCTTTCAAGCTACCAGCTCGCGGCCGCATTGCTTCTATATTGTAACACTAGCCACCTGTTTAAAAAGTTTGAGGACGCCTGGTGTAGAACAATGGTTCTCAAAGATGTGGCAAATGTGTTGGGAAGATTCAAGGACAATCAAAGAAACATTCAAACATTTCAGTGGAGTAGAGTAGAAAAGACCGATTTAATTTGACACCAGTAGCAGGCCCAAGCAAACCTCTAGAAAAGAAAGTTAGTTGACAATATGTGGATAGCTCTGAATCTTGGTTTCACATGGACTGGAGATTGAAATGTCTCTCAACCTCTGTGTTTGATGTGTAGTGAGATGCTTTCCAATTCCAATGCGGCCCCAGATGGGAAGAAAATACATCTGTTGTCAAAACATGGAAATCTGGCAGACAAGAATGTTCAATATTTTGAAAGGCTTTTGGAGCAGCAGAAATGACAAGGATCATATTTTTTTTTAAAAAAAACAACCCCACAAAAGTAAAATTCTCAGAAAAGATGCAGTTTATATCTTGCCAAATGGCTCAATTGATTGCTCAGCAGAAAACTCCCCACATACAACAGCTGAAATATTGATTAAGCCCACCAGCGGCTTGACCATGAACAATTTATTTGATGGTGACGCTGAGTGACATATTATGGAAATTTCTTTGTCTGGTGATACAGGGATTTTCAACTCTGAGAAATATGAAAGATCAGAAAAGAGAAAGGCTTCTTTGTGTTGATGAGGAAATGACAGTTTGTCTCAGATTAGATTTATAAATGAGATTACCCGGCAAAAGCAAGCTCACATCTTTCATAGGGTTTGTATACATTTGTAAGAGGCTTGTTTGTAATTATATTTTGGGAAGGATTCATGTATAGTTTGGGAACAATGCAGTTGCATTGCTTTATACTTTCTGGATTTCCCATGGCTATTATAAAGTAGTTGTGTTCCATGTAACAACAACAACAGCAACAACAACAACTTATTATTTATACCCCGCCCATCTGGCTGGGCTTCCCCAGCCACTCTGGGCGGCTTCCAACAAAATATTAAAATACAGTAATGCATCAAACATTAAAAGCTTCCCTAAACTGGGCTGCCTTCAGATGTCTTCTAAAAGTCTGGTAGTTGTTTCTCTCTTTGACATTTGGTGGGAGGGCGTTCCACAGGGCAGGTGCCACTACTGAGAAGGCCCTCTGCCTGTAACTTGGCTTCTCACAGTGAGGGAACTGCCAGAAGGCCCTTGGCGCTGGGAGCCAATGTAGGTCTTCCAAAACCAGTGTTATGTGGTCTCGGCGGCCACCCCCAGTCACCAGTCTAGCTGCCACATTCTGGATTAGTTGTAGTTTCTGGGTCACCTTCAAAGGTAGCCCCACACAGAGCGCATTGCAGTAGTCCAAGCGGGAGATAGCTAGAGCATGCACCACTCTGGCGAGGCAGTAAGTGGGCAGGTAGGGTCTCAGCCTGCTTACCAGATGGAGCTGGTAAACAGCTGCCCTGGACACAGAATTAACCTGCGCCTCCATGGACAGCTGTGAGTCCAAAATGAGTCCCAGGCTGCACACCTGGTCCTTCAGGAGCACAGTTACCCCATTCAGGACCAGGGAGTCCTCCACACCCGCCCGCCTCCTGTCCCCCCAAAACAGTACTTCTGTCTTGTCAGGATTCAACCTTAATCTGTTAGCCGCCATCCATCCTCCAACTGCCTCCAAACGCTCACACAGGACCTTCAATGCCTTCACTAGCTCTGATTTGAAAGAGAGGTAGAGCATTGCTAGGAGTTGTTTGTTTTCGTTTCCCCATGTACAGTGGTACCTCGGGATGCATTCCAGAGCCCCGTTTGTATCCTGAAGTGAACGCAACCTGCGCCTATGAGTCTGCACATGCGCGGGTCACAATTCGCCGCTTCTGCACATGCGCAAGTGGCGAAACCCGGAAGTAACGCACTCTGTTACTTCCGGGTTGCCACTGAGCGCAACCCGAAAATGCTCAACCCGAAGCTACTTCAACCTGAGGTATGACTGTATTTGTAATTGATAAAAAAATTCAGTGGCGCAAGTTTTTATTCTGAAAGTGTGGTTCCCAAGAAAAAGGTTTGAGGATCCTTGGTGTAGAACAGGCACCCCCAAACTCGGCCCTCCAGATGTTTTGGGACCACAACTCCCATCATCCCTAGCTAACAGGACCAGTGGTCAGGGATGATGGGAATTGTAGTCCCAAAACATCTGGAGGGCCGTGTTTGGGGGTGCCTGGTGTAGAAAGTAAACTTTCCCATCTTGGCAACTGGCAGTGGCAGGAACAGTACAGTGTGAGGAAGGCAACTTGCCATGGCTCCCACTCGCTGAGAGGTAAAAAAAATGATGGCAAAAAGCTCTGCCTAGATCCGTGATAGCAAGGAATAGGTCATAGTCACATTCAGGGTAACAATGGTTCCTTGGCTACACTGAAGCCAGAGGCACCCAATCAGCACTCTCCACATAACACCTTCATTTGCATGCCATTGTCTATAAATGCCCATGCTGACAAAAAAATTGAAGGCAGGAGCTTAAGGAGGAAACAAAGAAACAATGGCAGCCAAACAGCAAGGCAAAAAGAAAGCCAGGGTTTCAAAGAAGAAGAACAACGTGCGCAAGAAGCACCCACAACCTAGACGGAATCAGAAGAATCCGAAGAGGCTCCAGGCTCGAAAACAAAAGAAGAAGCAGCCTCATTTGAAGCGTCAAGTCAAGAGGACCTCAGGCGCTAAGTCAGGGAGCAGTGGGCAGCCGCGAAAGATCTGTTCCTCAAAGCTCTTTGCTTCCAAAATTCTGCGCCAGTTGCCCAAGGTGCGCATGGAGGCCAAGGCCAAGAATCTGATGAAGACCTTGCTGGCGGACTTGTACAACCATGTGGCGACCCAGGTACAGGCCATGAGCCAGCAAGAGGAGCAGAACCCCATCAGCGGCGACGAAGTCCAAGCCGCCTTGAAGGAGGCCATGGAAAGGGAGTTGGCCAAGCACACGGCCGAACAGCCCACCGCCATCCCCACTGAATGCACTTAGAGAAGCATCCCTCCCCTTCTCCAGCGGCGGCAAGAAGGGACAGGACCAAAGGTTGCCCTAAGAAGATCCATATAATACCCAAGAGACTTTAAAAATATATTGCTGCCTTCCTAAGTCCAAGAAATCCTGTCGTTTACCACTTTAGACATCATCGGACACCAGATGGAGAGGATTGCTATTATGTGGAAAAACCGTGAAAGAAGTGGCTTTCAAAAAGAAAAGAACCACAATTCCAGTAAAGCAGGATTTTAGCAGCTTATTTCACTTCTTCCAATAAATCAGGATTTTTGCAGCTTTATTCCAGTCTAATTGTGTCTTCTTCTGCTTCTCTGGAACTAAGCTTGGGTTTAGGTGATGAGTAAAAATCCAGTTATATAAAATGCTGTTTAGGAAAAGTATTGACTGTGTCATACTAAACAGCAATCAGATGACTGATTAAAAAAATAATCCAAGTGATATTGAAAAAAATGTGGGGGAGGTAAAATTTACAGAAATGAAACAATCTTAATATACTTTTTCTTTGCTTTGAGCAGTTGTTCATTGTTGCAGTTTAATAAGTAAAAAAATTACTGAATACTTACAATTTAACGTACTGTGTTGCGGGGAAGAACCTGTTAGAACTTGAATTGTTTTTTGCCATATTTTAGTGTTGGATATTCACTTATCACTTAATATTTGTTTTAAAAGTCACCAAGTAAATGCTGGAAATGAAGCAATCCAAAGGGCAATGTTTTCATATGTGGTGGACTTGTAAAAATGCAGTAGGCTTTTGGGAAATGATTCACAATGAACTGAAAAAGATGTTGAAAGCAGTCATCCCCCCAAAAGCCTGAAGCGTTGAATCCTGAAGGTTGGGATACAAATTCAATGAAATGAAGCAACAACAACAACTATAACAAACACTCACCTTATGTCAGACAGTTCACTAACCCAAGTGCATTTATAGTGTTCTAGACTTGGCATTGAACATGGGTTTGTGGTGAAAGAATGGCTGTGCTATAGTTAACAATTTCTGAGCGCAGCTACTACTGTCCTCCAGAGGGTGATCCTGAATATCTTTCAAAAGAATGAGTTCTAAAAATAAACATTGGACTCCATCTTTTTTAAAGGCAAAAAGGGACTTGTACATATCAGGAATAGCTTGTGCAATAATGACCCACTTAGACCCACTTTTTTCTCTTGTTTTTAACTTAGACCCATTTTAAGGTGATTTTTTTCTATTTTGCAGGGAAGCTAGTAACACTACAGTGGTACCTCGGGTTAAGTACTTAATTCGTTCTGGAGGTCCGTTCTTAACCTGAAACTGTTCTTAACCTGAAACACCACTTTAGTTAATGGGGCCTCCCGCTGCTGCTGCGCCACCGCCATGTGATTTCTGTTCTCATCCTGAAGCAAAGTTCTTAACCCGAGGTACTATTTCTGGGTTTGCGGAGTCTGTAACCTGAAGCGTATGTAACCCGAGGTACCACTGTACTTAGAAGATACTGTGTGCCAGTATCTATAGTCAGCAGAGTTACATCTCAACGCAGCTCCTTCCTTGAAGGTACACACAGTATACCTTATAGGCAATAAACACTCATGGATGCCATAAAGATTCAATCAAGTGCAGAGGTTTACTTGACAGGCATAAAAGCATATTGGCAGCAAATTTATACAGACATTCACCACTGCCATGGTCAAGGATGCTTAGAGTCCAACAAGAGTCCAAGACACTTGCTCAGCTTCTCTTACCACAAGACGCAAGCAAGAGACTCACAACAAGTTACACAGAACCACTGTTATCAGTACTTCCTGTCACACTGCACATGTCCAAAGAAGAAGTTCCCACAGAAAACATCCTTGCATAGACAAGACAGTCTCAGCCTTCTGCTGCTTCTTGAAGCTTCTCTGCTCTTCTCTCTTTCTGGAACAAATGATTCTTCTCTCTCACACACACAGAGAGAATATCCAACAGTTGCAATATCTGAAGAAGTGTGCATGCACACGAAAGCTCATTCCAATAAAAAACTTAGTTGCTCTCTGAGGTGCTACTGGAAGGAATGTTTTTATTATTTAATCCAAGGCATGTTGTTTAAGGGAGAAGGAGGTGCCTTTCAAATTGAGCGGGACTTAACTTCTGAAGAAACATCATTAAGGTCTTGGTGTTAGAAGTATGGCTGGTTTGCGAAAGGATCTATAGCACCATGCCAACGCTTTTGCACATACAGTGGTACCTCAGGTTAAGAACTTAATTTGTTCTGAAGAACCTGAAACTGTTCTTAACCTGAGGTACCACTTTAGCTAATGGGGCCTCCTGCTGCCGCCACGCCGCCATTGTGCGGTTTCTGTTCTCACCCTGAAGCAAAGCTCTTAACCCAAGGTAATATTTCTGGGTTAGCGGAGTCTGTAACCTGAAGTGTCTGTAACCTGAAGCGTCTGTAACCCGAGGTACCACTGTATTCTGAAAATCTGGAATGAATCAATGCATCAGTTAATTGTACCAAGGTGTGCCTGCAAAGGTGCTGAATGCAACAGGTGAGCAACCACTGGCTTGTTCTCTGCAGCTGCCATTGAACCAGACCAAACTCAGCTCTAGTGGTGGAGCCATGGTGGCTGCAGAACCCTGCCATACAGGGCTCTCTTGCTCCACATCCACTTGAAGTCTTCACAGGACTCCCTGAGTATTTTTGTTTGTTGGCCTCCTAGCCTGCTGCCCAGTGTACGTGTGTCCCCATAGCCTCCCAGATCCAGGCCTTTCAGTGACAGATTATTTTTTCACACAGGCATTTGGGGAAGAGTGTGAAGTCTGGTGTGCTTATTTCTGTGCTGTGCTGCTGCTAAACTGTTTGATTGTTTAATTTTAATTAACATTTATACAGTGGTACCTCGGTTTTCGAACGTCTTGGAAGTCGAGCATTTCAGTTTTCGAATGCCGAAAACCCGGAAGTAAATGCTTTGGTTTTCGAACAAGCCTCAGAAGTCGAACATGTCTTCTGCTGAGTGCAAGATCTGGAGACCTAACTGTCGGCTGTTGAGTCTCGGTTTTGGAACGTTTTGGAACTAGAAATGGTCTTCCAGAATGGATTACGTTCGAAAACCGAGGTACCACTGTATTTAGTTTTTGTCGTTTGTACACTGCCCTGCGTGGTGAAGGGCAGTCTAAATTACTGCTACTGCTACTGCTACTACTAATTAAAAAAAATACTTTATTATTGTTGCACTATTTATTGTTGAATTTCTGTACCGCTGTTTACGGGGGACTTTACAAATTTCACATGGGACCCCACATCTCAAAACTTTACATTATAAGTGCTCCAATGTGGCACATACCTCCACATGTGGTGGGAGTGTCCCAAAATCCAACTATTCTGGACAACAGCCATACAAGGAATATGTAAAATAACTAAGCAAGTAATAGACATCACCGCAGAATTGGCCCTACTAAACATCTTCCAAGACAACAATGCCCATTTACACCACAAAGAACTCATAACCCACCTGCTCTCAGCAGCCAGAAACACCATAATCAGACACTGGAGAGACCTGTCAGGAGTAAGCATGGACCAATGGTACCAAATAGTATGGGAAACAGCCCTACTAGAAAAATTAACTAATAAACTGAAACTGACACAGGGACAAACAGAAGAAGACGCCTTCACCCCGGTATGGCTCCCTTTATCACATACACAGCCCAACAGGACAATGACAATAATCCACCAACAGCATACAAATCAATATGGCTAACCTGATCCAAAACACCCACCCACCTCACTCACACACGAAAACAAAGATCACCACAGCCAATCACAAGCAAACAATCACACCCTAGGCCAACCCCAACCTCTCTCACCACCAAAGGAACACAAGTGAACAACACAAGCAACGCTGACACCAAACTCTACATACATTAAACATAATAGAAACACCGCCACCCGACCCCACCCCCACCCATCTTCCCTCTCTCCACCCCCCTTTCTTCTTCTTTTTTTCTTCTCCCCCTAATGCCTCAACAAATGAAACGGATTTGTAAAAATGTTACATGAAAAAAAAAATACGAGGCACTACACTTCTGTAAAACAAGAAAATCCTTAATCAAATATTTTTTAAAAAAATAAAAATAATAATAAGTGCTCCAATATCTCAGATTCATAATAAAGGTTGTCCATTTTTCAACCAGAATCTTGTTCATGAGCCTACAGGCACTCTTCTTATAGGGAAACCTTTCATGGGATAAATGTGATCCTCTGCCAAAATTAAAGTAGTGGTTAAAGGCACAGTAGTCCGGACTGGTGTGTGTGGGGGGGATGGTAGCTCTTCCAAGGACCTGTTTAACTTAGAACACTGTCATTGACAGAATCAGCTAGGAATTTACGAAATTTTCTCAACAGGGACTGGAGACACCCACCCATCCCTGGTTTCAAAGCCTGTTTCGATGTAGAGAAAAAAATCACATTCTGGGCATGGTAGCCTGGTTTAAGGAAGATGGAAAGTACACATTTATTTTCTCAAAATTAGCCAGGATTGATTGCGGCAGCAACACCTGAAGGGCCAGATACCATCATGCTCTTCAGAAAGTCAACAAACAGTGGCAGTGTCCGACCTCATAACTGGATAGCAGCAGGTCATAGTCATATTCAGTAGTAGGTCATAGTCATATTCAGCATAACAATGGTTACCTGGCTACTGTGCAGGTAGAGAGAGCCAATCAGCACCCTCCATGTAGCTCCTTCATTTGCATACTGTTGTCTATAACTGACCACGTTGGCAAAGGTGTGGTGACATTTGAAGGCAGGGGCTCGAAGCTTCAGAACAGAAGTCAACAGAACAGAACAGAAAAATGGCTGCAAAACAACAAGTGAAAAGGAAGGCTGCGGCTTTGAAGAGAAAGAAGCTCCAGAAGAAATATCAGCACATCAGGAAAAACAAACTCCAGGACCGTAAACAGAGAAAGTTCCCATCTTGCCTTGAGCATGGGGTCAAGGAGCCACTTGCCAGAAATACTGTGAGCAGTAAGGTGGTGAGAATCTGTTCCCCTAAGCTGTTTACGTCCAAGATGGTGCGAGAGGTGCTAAAGGCATACATTGAGGTCAAAGCCAAGGGCATGGTTAAAAACTTGCTAACGGATGTGTACAACCACGTGGCAACGGAAATAGACCGCTTGAGCCAGAAGAGCCCGTCTGCTACCATCAGCTGCACTGATGTCCAAACGGCCTTGAAGGAGGCTGTAGTAAGGGAATTGGTGAACCACACGTCTGAGCCCCTCAGGAACGAATGTGCTTAGAGAAACACCCCTCCCCTTCTCCAACAGGGCCAAGAAGGGAGAGGACCAAAAACTGCCCTGAAAAAAGATCCTTAAAACTTGAGAAACCTTTAAAAGACTTTGCTGCCTGAATGTGTCTTAAGAAATCCTGTAATCTAAGATACCAGCTTCACCTCAACAATCTTCATTGCTTGTAACAATTGTTCCATTTATGGGGATGTCGTGAAAGACCATGGGAAAGGAAGCTAAATTTGGACTACAGACTACACATGCCCAAGAGATTTTTCCATCGCCATCAGCCAGAATCAGCAGAGTTCAGTGAGGAAGAACATAAATCAAAATACATGAGAGAATTGTTTGCGAGCTGGTTTCTGAAAGAAAAGAAACACCGTATATTGTTCGTCCAATAAATCAGGATTTTTAGCAGCCTTATTCACTGAAGTGTGTGTGTGTGTTGTTTTTAATCTGGGACATTGTGTCATGCTGGTTACTGACTGCAAACATAGTTATACAAAATACTGAAATGTACAAAGGTGTCAGGGTCGTCATATGAAGCAGGAATAAATGGAAGTTCATGAAATGCCTTGAAAATTGTGCAGATCCGATGTGTGAAAACCTTAACAACCCTGTCCCCTCACAAAACGTTAAGGAGAATTCGGAGAAAGCCAATGGGTAGCATTCAACTAATTTTTACTCGGAGTAGACCCACTTGAACCATGACTAAGATTCATTAATTGCAGTGGGTCGGAGTAAAACTTAATTAAATGCCACCCACTATTAGCTGCCGCTGGCCTTTCAGATTGATGCTAGTCATGTAGGAGGTGTTATACAAAACCAAAAAAATGGCAAAGTGGCTATTCAGAGAATACACAAAAAATGAAGGTTTAATTTCTTTTTAAAATGGTTATAAAGCTGGCCACATTCAGGAGTTAAGATTTAAGTTCCTAACTGCTTTGCGTCACTCAAGCTCATCTTTGGAATTTTGAAGAATGTGTAATAATCAAATCTTTATGATGTCATTTGGGCCTTTTTTCCAGTCAGTGGCCACCTGCAGATCTGAGAAGACCCCTATTACAGCCTAGATGATGCTGGAATACAAACACACAGTTTTAGAAGCAATCAACACAAGGACCCAACTGAATACTCTTGAGTTCATTTTCCCACACAAATTATTAAAACACTCCTGCTCATCTTGTTTGACTGGAAAGCACAGCCCAAAGCCCTGATGAATTTGCAACTTTTAAGATAAACCAGTCCTGTGTAGAAAGTGTCTTGAAAGACTACGCACCTGTTCCAGAATGAGCTCTGTCATTAATAACCTGTGTAGCTTAATTCCACTTAAAACCATACATAATAATCACATTTATCATACTTAAGTGCCTTTATCAGCTGCCAGTGTGGGCGACTGCCAGATAAAACCCAGAGCAACCCAAATCCACCCTGCTTCACCTTTTCAGAACTAATGCTGGTTCCTGGAAATGTTTCTCAAGGTTTAGGGCTGCTCTGACTTTGACAAATGGAAATAATATAGTTGGTTTGCTTTTTTTTTAAAAAAGGAATGGTATACGGATGAAGGGGTGGCATTTCTAGAAGATCTGTCCAAAAGAGCTTTCTGTTAAATTGTGGGTAGACATAGCAGACGATGCAGTGATTTCTCCAAAGTAGCTTTTTATTTGTAAGCTGGAACAGAACTGAATGGCAAACAGCTCGGCCGGCCTGCTTTTATAGGCAGCCGGCTGTCAACATTGTAGCAACAACCCGGGGTTTCCTGCCTAAAGTAACTGACGTAGACCTGAGTGAAAACTATGTACACGATACTCCTGGTGGCCAGGCTGAGAACTTCAGTACATAACACTTTCCTTTCAGGATGTTGGTGGTAGTTCAGTTTGAGCTCCTTTGAAAACATTAAGAGCTGCTTTCCTGCCCACTTTTCAGTTGGTTCTGCTGCAGCTTTAAGAGGATTTGGACCCAGCAAACTTTGCCAACCTGGGGCTACCTGGAGAGAGTTGGTGAAAGTTGGCCTTCAGCAACCAGGAAGCACTTGCAAATTGTTGCACACAAAGAATCTTTGAATGGCACTGCAATAGGGGCTGTTGGGAAAGTTGGCTTCTGTCCAGAGATCTGCCTGTTCTGTATTCTACCACCAACAGTGGCAAAATAGGGAGCAGAACCATAGCTGTCAACTTTTCCCTTTTTTAAATAGGATTCCTCGCAAGAAAAGGGAAAATTTGACAGCTATGAGCAGAAGGACTATCCCAGGACCATAGTCTTTAGATACTCAGATTACACACACACTGTTTTGGTGCAGAAACTCAGTTTGTGATGATAAATCAGGTTTGGGGCTAATGGCATATATGTTTACTCCCACAAAACATGCATGGGATGATGAAACCTGGGTGTTGTTTTGTTTTGTTATATGAAAACTGATTTCTGTGGTATAATTAGAAGTGTGAGGTGCAGTTAATATCTGCCAGAAGCCACTGTCAAAACTCACAACTAGATCATAGTAAGGGTAGGTCATAGTCCCGTTCAGGGTAACAATGGTTCCTTGGCTACAGTGAAGCCAGGGGCACCTTCGTTGTCATGCTATATTGTCTATATATGCCCATGCTGACAAAAATATGGTGACATTTGAAGGCTGGAGCTTAAGGAGAGCAGAACAATGGCAGCCAAACAGCAAGGCAAGAAGAAAGCCAGGGTTCCAAAGAGGAAGAACGTCAACAAGAAGCACCAACAAGCGCGATGGAATTGGAAGAAGCTCCAGGCTCAAAAACGTAAGAAGAAGCAGCCTCATTTGAAGCGTCAAGCCAAGAGGACCTCAGCCGCTAAGTCAGGGAGCAGTGGGCAGCCAAGAAAGATCTGTTCCTCAAAGCTCTTTGCTTCCAAAATTCTGCGCCAGTTGCCCAAGGTGCGCATGGAGGCCAAGGCCAGGAATCTGATGAAGACCTTGTTGGCAGACTTATACAGTCACGTGGCGACCCAAGTAGAGGCCTTGAGGCAGAAAGCGGAGCAGGCCCAGGCCCTCGTCAGCTGCAACAATGTCCAAACTGCCTTGAAGGAGGCCATGGAGAAGGAGTTGACCAAGCACATGGCTGAACAGCCCACCGCCATCACCACCACTTAGAGAAGCATCCCTCTTCTTCTCCAGCGGCAGCAAGAAAGGAGAGGAGCAAAGGTTGCCCTGAGAAGATCCATATAATACCCAAGAGACTTAAAAAATATATTGCTGCCTTCATAAGTTCAAGAAATCCTGTCATTTACCACTTTAGACATCTCATCGGACACCAAACGGAGAGAATTGCTATGGAAAAGACACGAAAAAGGTGGCTTTCGAAAAGAACCACAATTCCAGTAAAGCAGGATTTTATTAGGTTTCTTCACTTCTTCCAATAAATCTGAATTTTAGCGGTTTTCAAGTGTAATTGTGTCTTCTATTCTCCGGAACAGAGCTTTGGTTTTGGGTGATGGCTACAAATCTAGTTATATAAAATGCTGATTAAGAAACGTATCCACTGTGTGATACTTAATAACAATCAGATGACTTATTAAAAAAACCCAAGTGATACTATAAAAATGTGGGGAAGGTAAGATTTACAGAAATGAATTTGAATTCCAAATTTAAGACATAAAACAATGCAACTCACAATACTGAAAATAAAATAAATACCACAATATACAGCAGTGCCTTGGTTTTCGAATGTAATCCGTTCCAGAAGACCGGAATGTTCCGGAAGACTGGAATGTTAGAAAACTGAGGCGCAAAATGAATAGGCATTGGAATGCCTATTCATTCCAATAGGTTTACTATTGACTGATGATAACCCCATTTATATTTTTATTGTGAATTGCAAGTGAATCACAGCAGACAAATGCCATCAAGCAGACAAGCAAATGCATACATTTGCTGAATTTATAGCTGTCATGGTTCATCTTGTTCACAGTAATGTCCTTCTTGCTTGATACTTTAAATGTAAGTGAGATGAGTATATTCCTTCCAACTGGTTGATATGGAGGATCTCAAACCTCAGTGCAGCACCAATTCTCACCAAACCTCAATTCTCGCTGCCGTAGTAGCATCCATAAATAATGTCCTCTTCTCTTTCGGCAGATCTTGACCTCAAATACCTAACAGGAAGGTTTCTGGTTGATTAACAAATATTATTTTCAACATTTTTTTCAATTCATTGTATATCGTTTCCCAATATATTTTTACGTTTTTACAGTCCCACCATATATGATAAAAAGTAACTTCAGCCTCACACCTCCAACACTCCTTCTAACAGAAGATACATTTTGAATTATGTTTTTGTGTTTTGTCTTGTCTTTTTCTTTCTTTTTCCTTTGCTTTTCCTTTTTGTTTCCTTTTTCTTTCTGTTTATAGATGTTGAGATGTATGATTTCTAACTTTTAATTCTTTTCCTGCACTTGACAGAACTGACAGTGAAATCCCGTGCGAACTTTCCCGGGGAATGAGTTCTATTGAACTCAATGATACTTACTTCCGAGTAGACATGCACAGCTCAACACGAAGCTTAAAATCTGCAAATGCAGGTCTTCCCACTTACAAACTCACACACGCAACCTGATCAAACATCATGTGGCAACTCAACAGCTCGCACCGAGGAACTTCAAGAGCAAATTGCCTTTAAAAGAATAAACGATTTTAGAACATCTCCTTCCTCTCGGAGCTCTGCACTGAATCTGGGGAACAGGGCGCTGCTGCAGCGCAACCCCGAAGCACAGCGAGGTCGATGCGTGTGTGCGAGCGCCTTGCCGCTTTGACAGAAGGAAGGCTGCTGAGGCTTCTCTGCCTCTGCAAAAGATCGGCATAAAACGCAAAGGAAATGCGGATGGAGGCGCGTAGACCCGTGAATTAGCATACTGCTAATTAGGATTCAGCTAGGGAGAGCCCAAGCGTCAGTGTCAGGATGGCCGAGTGGTCTAAGGCGCCAGACTCAAGGCTCATATCCTTCCCAGGCTCTGGGTGTTCTGGTCTCCAATAGGAGGCGTGGGTTCAAATCCCACTTCTGACACATCCTTTTTTTTTAAAAAAAAAGAATTTTTTTTTTTGTTCCCCCTCATCCCTCTCTCTCTCCGTAATGGTGGAAAAATCCTCTGTGAAGCCTGAAACATTTATCCCTGTCCTTTTCCGCACAGGATCTTAACAGCGATCCCACTGAGCAGACTCTGAACTTACTTCCGAGCTCACACGCGCCTGCCTGCGAGTCATTTCCGTCCTCGTGTCACCTGCTGGCTCGCGCTTTGGCGAGGCGGCTTAGGGGCAAAGGTGGGGTGGGGGGGTGGGGACTGCCGACAGATCGGCAGCGCTTTCTTTCGCCCGCGGAAGAGTGTCCGATCGCGTCCATGCGTTGCATTTTTTTTAAGCGGACACAGAGGTCCCCGGGGAAAAGCCATGCAAGCTTCTTCCTGGGTACTGCCTGCAGCAAAGAACTGCCTTGCTTTGCAAAAAGACAGACAGACAGACGATCGATGTTAAGAAATGAGTTTTCTTGTACCTTTCTGAGCTTGCAGAAAAGTCTCCATCACAGTTTTCTCACCCTTATTTCACTGCATTTTGTACGTTTTCCAGTTCTAATTACACTTATTACAAAATGGCTCAAAATCTAAAAAAAATAGAAAGGTAGAATATCTCTCATTACAAGTCTTCAGGCAACCCTGCTAGTGAGGTTAATTGCTTACAATAATATTTCAAATATTGTATAAATTTACTCCAGTCCTTTTGGAAGGCTTGATCATGCTGGTTTCAGATTTTTCCTGTCAGCTTCGCCTGTTCTGCAAAGTCCATCCAATTCATCTGCCACTCTTCTTTCGTTGGTACTTCTTCTTGTTTCCATTTTTGGGCTAAAAATGCCGCAGTTGTTGCATACATAAACAGTACTTTATCTCCTGTTGGTGTCTCTTCACCAACTATCCTCAATAGAAAGGCTTCTGGGTTTTTTAACAAAAGTATTTTTATACATTTTCTTTAACTCATTATATTGTCAGTACGCCTTTCAACCGATGTGCAGTGACTGGGCTCAATAACTGGTTCTGCCCTGACCCAGCTAGGCGACTGGAGCACTTTCAGAGACCTTCCAATCCTGGAAAACAGGTCCCAGTGCATTGGACTCACATCTGAGCATGGCGAGCACCAGACTCACACAGAGTATAAACCCGGAAGTAACGCGCTCCATTACTTCTGGGTTGCTGCGGAGCGTAACCTGAAAACGCTCAACCTGAAGCACATTTAACCCGAGGTATGACTGTACAGTGGTACCTCGGGTTAAGTACTTAATTCGTTCCGGAGGTCTGTTCTTAACCTGAAACTGTTCTTAACCTGAAGCACCACTTTAGCTAACGGGGCCTCCTGCTGCCGGAGCATGATTTCTGTTCTTAACCTGAAGCACTGTTTCTGGGTTAGCGGAGTCTGTAACCTGAAGCATACGTAACCCGAGGTACCACTGTACTGGCTTGCATGAGTGTTACCTCTCCCACCCAGCCCTCTAGTCACTGCATAGATAAGACTCTCTCGACACAGAGTCAGGCAATCAGTCAGGAGCGGAAGAATAGAAGAGCAGTTTCCGCCCCCTCCTTTCTCAAAACATCAGATCAGGAGATTCTGGCAATGGGAGGGGTGAAAATATCAACATATGTACCATTTCCCAGAAAGCCTTTACCTCTTTAAAAGTCCACCACAAGTTGTAAAAGATACCTCCCTTCACAATTTTCTTTCCTCGCTGCCATCCACCAACAGGGGATGACAGCAGTTCTAAGATTCTCCAAGCTTGAGGGATCTGTTGTTCTTTTTATTACTTATCAGTGATCCACCAGCTGGAGCTAGGTGCACGAGAAAGAAGCTTATAGTTGAATATTTCTGAGCCCAGGTATTTGTTCTGAGTGCCAGAATTGAAGCGAGCTCCCAATTCTTCTATGCAAAATCCACCCCCCTCCTTTCTTTATGTCAGCAGTATAATGCCAGCAGTATAATTGTTGGCAGTATAATTGTTGTTGTTATAATCCTTGCCAATCTACTAAAATTACCCAGAGATCTGTCATGAGATCCTGATTTACCTTTTGCCCATCCCATCTAGCAGACGCAGCTGTGACTCAAGTTCAGCTCCTGAATATGCCTATTTCATTTTTTTTTAAAGGCATAAAGAGAGGAGGTGAATGTGAGGAATCTCAGTGTACGCTGCATATGTGAGAGTGATGGCTGTAGCTCTGCTCAAAAGCAACTCCACCCTTCAGAAATTATTCCGGGGGGCTCTGGACACCCTGGACGCCTCCAGACTGTCAGTGTTTTATGAGAGGGATTCAAGTAAAAACAGAATAATTTTGGCCTTATGTGCTTAAAATGGGTTAAAGTGTCAATCACATCTCCTACCTGGGCAGTTATCTTTCCACAAGGGCCAACATTTGATGCCGAAATCCAGCATCGCCTGAGCTCTGCGAGTGCAGCTTTCTCCCAATTGAAGTGCAGAGTGTTTGAGGACTGGGACATTTGCAGGGAAACCAATATGCTTGTTAACAAAGTTATTGTACTACCAACTTTACTGTATACCTGTGAAACACACACCACTTATAAACGCCATCTCCAAGTCCTCAAAAGATTCCATCAATGGTGTCTCCCAAAAAATTTACACATCACTTGGGAAGATAGGCAAATTAATACCAGTGTACTGGAAGGAGCAAAGATCACCAGTGTTGAAGCGATGATTCTTCAACATCAACTTCGCTTGACTGGTCCTGTTGTGCGGATGCCTGATTATCATCTTCCAAAGCAACTACTCTATTCCAAACTTAAAATTGGAAGGCATAATGCTGGTGGTCAACAAAAGAGATTTAAAGACTCTCTCAAGGGAAATCTAAAAAAAAAGTAGTATAAACACTGACAACTGGGAAACACTGGCTTGCGAGAGCTCCAGTTGGAGGATAGCCTTTACCAAAGGTGTCATGAACTTTGAAGATGCTCAGACTCAGGATGCAAGGGAGAAACGTGCTAAGAGGAAGGCGCGCTTGGCAAACCCTCACCGTGATCAACTCCCGCCTGGAAACCTATGTCCCCACTGTGGAAGGATGTGTGGATCCAGAATTGGCCTCCACAGTCACTCACTGTTAAGACCGTGTTCATGGAAGACAATCGGCTACGAGTGATCGCCGAAGACGAAGATTGTTAGGTTTTGTGGTTGTAGTTGGTTCGCGTTTCAAAGCTCCCTGTCCAAGTGTTCTTTGTCTTGTTCCGGAGCTTTCTCCACAAAAACCCACTCTTTAAAGCACAGTCGGAGCAAATGGCAATCTGCAGAAAACCCGTTTAATCTGAAAGGTAGGTATGGATAAGCCCTTAGTCTCCATGTTGCCCGTGTTGGACCCACCAGGGCAGAGGAGGAGGACAAAAGGAGAACAAGTTGATTTTGTGTGTCATTGCTTCTGGCTCCCCCTACTGTTGGCCTCCCAGTTTTCTCCCTACCAACCCCTATGGCATCCGTCATCACTGGGGAGACAGGGGCTGTTACCTTCATGAATTGCTTGTGAGGCTTCCTAGAGACATAAGTGCAAACCACAGAACTGGATATTGAGAGAATTCCAGTTCTTTGATAATTGCTTGATGCATAATTAGAGTGGGAGGAGGAAGAGAAAGTAGGGGAGGAGCCTGCCAAATGCTTAAATCATTCTTCACTCACTTTCCTGTTCTGTTCGCGTATGAGTGTTTATTTGAAAAAGTATTTGGAGCGCCTCACTTAGCAAAAGAAATGGGCCCAACAAGTTTTGCCATTCAAGTTCCCAAGGCAAAAGGTATGAGCATCTTCTGTAAGTATAATCCTGGGTAAGATTACATCGCTGAGGTAAATGTCTGATTTTAATCTTATTAATGACATTTCTGATGTCAGATTTCACTATGCTCAACTTTCAGAAACTGTTGCTATTTAGAAAATATGTGGGAGGTTTTCTTCTTCTTATTATTAGAGTAGTGGAGAGCAGAGAATAACAAGCGACAGAGAAAATACTGTTTGATATTATACATTTCCAACAAAAGAAACATATGTTAGATAAAAATGTCTTTTTATCTAACAGATGACTGATCAACTATTTGGTGGATTTGACTAATTCAGTATTTGTTCACCAGCATACCTAGTTGTTGATGTTACTGGATTTTGAGAAGGGGAGATGTAAAAATCTTTTGCAAGTTGCTATTAAACAAAAATGCTTTAAATTTATTATTATTCTAATTTGTAAAAGTATATAAAGGAGACCTGGTACTGTGCAAAAGCCCAGCTCACAAGCAAACAGTCTAAAAAAACAAAATCCCAAAGTATTTCCAGCGCAAGATTTTAAAATAATATTCCGCCAAGTTGAATTTCAGAAAGCAAAAGGTGTGGGAGGGCAGGGAGGGGGAGCTTGAACTTGTTGTGGAAAGCTCTATTTTGACTCTTAAGTGTTACCTGTGGGATTTTGCTCTTTTGCAAACTCCCACTCATTTAAGTTGAACCAATGCAGGAAAGCCTCGCACCCAACTAACAGTGCATGTGTTAATCTGAACTTTTGCTATGGTTTACTATTTTACTACTGTAGTCCTTGCATGAGTAAAAGATCCTTGCATGAGTAAAACTTATTGTGGCACGAGATCTTATCTCAAATGTGTCCTAATACATTGAATAAAGATTCGCACGTGTCATCCAGTTCCCCTAAAAGCTAATCGACACCTGCTGCACAGACAAAATGGTAAGATAACTTTAAGAGACGAAGCAGACAAGGAGAACCAGTTTAGTCTTTGCTCACTAGGC